AAAAGTATCCTTTTACGCTGTGTCAAACATGAATTTTGTCCAGTTTTTTCCTCTTTCGAATGGTGCATGGCATTCAATGTGTTTTTTAAGAAATGCAAGCTTACCCTCATCGAGAAGCGATCGCCATGCTTTTGAAAGCCGGAGAGTCGAAGGCGGCCATCCCGCGAAGGCTCAAAACCAACATCAGAAGTGTTCAATGGCTTGCTAAACAATCGAAAGAGAAAGGTCACGTCAAGGAGAAGCCGAAAAAAGGAAGACTTCGATACTATAATCTACTATATCTTTGCAAAGCCATTGGCATTTGTTTAGATGCTTAGATGGGAATATCCCTCTTTCACACAGTCACCATTTTATTATTTGTTTTTATCTTTTAATGTTGGATTTTGATTTAAAGCCAAGTCTGAAAAGCTTAAAAACACACAGATTTATAGGGATTTCTATGCGTACTATTAGATTCTATGCGTACTATTAGATTCTATGCGTACTATTAGATTCTATGCGTACTATTAGATTCTATGCGTACTATTAGATTCTATGCGTACTATTAGATTCTATGCGTACTATTAGAATCTATGCGTACTATTAGAATCTATGCGTACTATTAGATTCTATGCGTACTATTAGATTCTATGCGTACTATTAGATTCTATGCGTACTATTAGATTCTATGCGTACTATTAGATTCTATGCGTACTATTAGATTCTATGCGTACTATTAGACTGGGGAATAAGTCTTTTCGTTCTTTTCATACCTCCGTTGAAAAATATAAAATATTCACCAATTAACCTATGGTTTACTCTAAAAAAAAGTGTTTACTATTCAATTTCCATCTTTTTAAGTCAACCTTTGGATTTACTTTCAAGTCAATTCGAAAGGAACGTGTTTTCGCGAGTGAACGAGACGTATTATTCGTAAAATCTATAAAAACCTCTATGAAGAAATTGGTTGAATGAATTTCTCTGAAAATTTGACTATATACCGAACTTTTTGTGCTCTATCTTGTACCTATTGACACCAAGATAGGTTTCCATTAGCTAAATTGTCTAAACCGCATCATTGAGCCGTCGTTTTTGTCCTTTTTGACTACTCGACTTCAGGTTCCGAAAAAGAATCCAGAAGTAAGACATTTTAAATCCATTTTAATGTTATTTTACAGAAAAATAATTGGCCTTTCTAATGAAAGAAACCGTAGTTTAATTGGTGGCTTTGTTGGTTTTAAACGGAAGTACAAAAAGGAACGAAAAGACTTTCTGGATAGCCTGATACTTAGATGGAATTGATTAGCCCTAAATAATCCAAATGTTTTATCAATGGTTACAAATGAGCTAAAACTTTTCAATACTAATTCGAGAAGCAAACCACAGTCGTTACAAGTTTAGATTTTCAATTCTAAGTTTTTCTGTTCAAAACCCAACCTTGTGGTGAGTAAGCAAAAGCCCAATGTACCCCATTCTTTACACATTGGTGTCCCCGTTAATCGGTTTTAATGCTATTTTGCAGAAAAATAATTGGCCTTTCCAATGAAACAAAGCGTAGTTCAATTGGTGCTTCAATTTGTTGGTTTTAAACGGAAGCGAAAAGGAACGAAAAGACTTGCTGGACAGCCTAATCTACCTGTCTAGCCTAATCTACCTATCTAGCCTAACCTAATAATTCAAAATACAATTTAATAGCAATATTTTAATTTAATGGTACCATTAAATTGTACAATTTAATTCAAATTGCAAAAGTGACGTGTAAAATCTCTTGATTCAAGAGATGCATTGATGCATTGACTCATCGCATTTGTGTCATTCTAGTTTTGTCTAATTGGTCCGGAAATTAGGGTGAAACGTTTGTTGTGCCTTCAACAAAGAAATCAGACAGGAAATCAAATAAGCACAGAAACTAGTCAGGGAAAAGTTGAAAATTCGAGAAATCGATCAAAGGCACTTGTTAAATTTTACAGAAATAAGTGACGTCGAAGTAAACTGTCGGAGCCATCTGTTAACAAACAAAAGGCTCAAAACTTCCTTGCAAGAGAACAAATCACTTTTTTAGAACAGTGCCTCAGCGACCCAGACGTGCAGCCCATAACTGCTACTCATTGTCAGCAAGGCATTAGTCAGAGGGAAAAAGTCCTGACTCTTTTAGCGGATCGTTCAATCAATAATAAGACCTGGGGCTTTCATAGCTCTCTTTAAGGTAGATTTTACTAAATACTCTTCTCTTAAGTATAGGCATCAATTCAAAATTTTTAATTTTCTCTTTTTAATTTATCTCTTCAAGGCCCCCGGTCTTATTATTGATTTAGTAAAAAGTTTTAAAATAGTCAAACGTATTCATCGAGTGATTTATAAAATTTCTCTCTTAAAAATAGACGATCTGGGACTAGGTCAGGGCCTAAAGATTTAGATTTACGGAAATAAGTGATCATGAAAATTTAGTTTTGTGTAAAACGGCTAAAATCTTCTTCTCTAATCATAGTTGGATTTTTGGAGTTGATAGTTGGAATGCTCTTCCATCGCACATTAGAGATATTTCAAGTTTAAACATTTTTAAGAGAGCATTACATTCTATCAAACTTGTAAATCGAATAGAGCCTTCCATTGAACCTTCATCATCCTATTTACTATTTAAACCGGTTGAAATTTATATTTATTGAAAGCTCGTGCTCGTGCTTCGAGCTGCCATGCTCGATTTCAAACAAGGAAAAACCGCTGCTGAATCTCACCGTTCACTGGTCAAATCTTTTGGAGATGATTGTTTTAGTGAAGGTCAGTGTCGTCGATTGTTTCAACGTTTTCGAGATGAGAAATAAGAGCTCATGCACCACAGCTCCACGATGAGCCGCATACTGGACACCCTCTAGAAATCTCAAATGACGATTTGCTCTATGCCATTGCCATGAAATTGAAATTGGTTCCACATTTACGCTTCGGAAATTAGCAGAATTTTTTGTCATTAGCCATGTAACAATTGAAAACCATTTGCATCAACTTGGGAAAAAGGTTTGACATAGAAAATGGGTTCCATTTGAGCTGACCCAAGGTAACAAAATAGTTCGTGTCACCGTGTACTCTATCTTGCTTCAAACTGCAAATTTTCGCTTGCAAACTTTCGACAGAAGCTTGACTTCTGATGAGCCTTGGTTTAGGTATAACAATGTCACTCGAATTTTTGCCATTTCGAATTTGCCATTCGAATTCGAATCAATGGCTCTTTGCTGGTGAAGCCCCACAGCCCAGCAGCCACAGCCTCCAGCCCCAAGCCTGATGCCCCCCATATCCATGGATCGAAGACCAGGCTTTGTTTAAATTCGAAATGATTAGTGGAATTCGAAAGCATTGATGCATTGCTAAAACTTAGACAAACAATCGATGCAGAGCTTTACTCGAAACAACTAGTGAGAGTTAGCAAAGCTTTAAAGAAATTAGGGACCAAACTGCCAAGAGTATAATTTCTGCACGATAAAGCTAAACACCATACTGCAAAAGTCACTCATAAAAAAAGTTGAGGAGCTAGGTTGGAAACTTCTACCTCACGCACCTTACTTCCCTGACCTTGCACCTTGCACCGAAATATTTTTTATTTCGAACGTTGAAACACTTCTTAGGAGTTCTGACAATGTCATTTGAAAAAAAGCAATGGCTCTTTGCTGGTGAAGCCCCGCAAACCACCTTCAAGCCTGATTATTTTAGCCCTGGTGAAGCCCCGCAAAACACCTCCAAGCCCGATATCCATAGGTCGAAGATTATGCTCTGTTTATGGAGGAATTCGAAAGGATTGGTGCATTATGAAGTGCTAAAGCTTAGGCAAACAATCGATGCAGAGCTTTGCTCGAAACAACTAGTGATAGTTAACGAAGCTTTAAAGAAATTATGGATCAAACCGTCAAGAGTACAATTTCTGCACGATAACGCTAAACCCCACACTGCAAGGCCAGTCAAAAAAAGTTGAGGAGCTAGGTTGGAAACTTTGGCCTTTTGCCTTACTCCCCTCCCCTTGCGCCGTCGGATTTTTTATTTCGAATGTTGAAACACTTCTTGGGAGATGTACAGTTTGATAATCATGCTCAAGTCATAGCTCCACGCCTATTTTACCTTCAAGGAATCGTTTGAATTCGCCGATTCGATCCAAGATCTGCGCAGAAGATGGGAAAAAGTGATCGATAAAAATCATGTTTGACTCATTGTGAAATTGCAATGCAATTTATCGAATCAAAAACTTTTAATTTTATATTCTCCTGTGATCATTGCGAACTTGACGATCTTGACTTGACGATCTTGACTTGACGATCTTGGCTTGACGATCTTGACTTTGACGATCTTGACTCGACGATCTTGACTTGACGATCTTGACTTGACGGTCTTGACTTGACGGTCTTGACTTGACGATCTTGACGATCTTGTCTTGACGATCTTGACTTTGAGGTGCGATCTTGAGGACTTTGAATTCAAGTTTGTTGAATTTGAATTCAAATTTTGTTTCTTAAGCGCAATGTGTGCATGCAAAGAATCAAAGATTTGTAATTTTACTTTCCCTTGATGACTTCGAATTGAAATCCAGTCCAGTTCAGGAAAGGGTGTTCAGGGGAAGAGAAGGGAGAAGAGGGGCGAATTTCGCGCATGCGTGCAATGTGTTTGTGTGCGTTTTCCGCCATTTTTTTTCAAATTTCCCTGTTTGTGAAGGGGTGAGGTGTTTTTTGGTGGGCTGTGGGGCTGTGGGGGTGAACGGAATGAAATGAGAAAGAGAAAGAGAAAGAGAAAGGGAAAAGGAAAAGGAAAAGGGGGGCACGTGAGAACACGCGACGCGACCGCCACCGATCAAAGAGTTGGCGGCGTGCCAGTGGTCGGCCCTTTCCGCAGAAGAAAAAGGGGCAACGGTCAGTCAGCTGATTTCTTCTTCGCACCCACTTTTCCCCCCAAAAACAACAAGAGATTTTTGGTAGATTTTTCCCGATCACCCCTTGTTGGGGGTGAGCCGATTTCCAATCTTTCTATTATCCAAAATTTTCGAAATGGAGACAAGGATGGCCCAACCGCCTCCCCAACTCACTCACACTCCACCCCAACATTCCGTGCTTTGTGGAAGCATTCAGGAGAAGTCACATCATATAACGTGAGTTATTTAACGAATCATGATCTTATTTGATTTGATCTTATTTGATTTGATCTTATTTGATAGAACTTATCAAAGACATCTCTTCCCCGATCAATAATTTACTCAAAATTCGCTTAACTTTCGCTTAACTTCAGATTTAATATTGGAAAATAGTTTTAGCAGTAATTTCCTAGATAGTAAGCAGTAAGCTCCTGGATAGTAAGCAGTAAGCTCCTAGATAGTAAGCAGTAAGCTCCTGGATAGTAAGCAGTAAGTTCTTAGATAGTAAGCAGTAAGCTCCTAGATAGTAAGCAGTAAGCTCCTAGATAGTAAGCAGTAAGCTCCTAGATAGTAAGCAGTAAGCTCCTAGATAGTAAGCAGTAAGCTCCTGGATAGTAAGTAGTAAGCTCCTAGATAGTAAGCAGTAAGCTCCTAGATAGTAAGCGGTAAGCTCCTGGATAGTAAGCAGTAAGTTCTTAGATAGTAAGCAGTAAGCTCCTGGATAGTAAGTAGTAAGCTCCTAGATAGTAAGCAGTAAGCTCCTAGATAGTAAGCGGTAAGCTCCTGGATAGTAAGCAGTAAGTTCTTAGATAGTAAGCAGTAAGTCCTGCTTCTAAAAACGATAAGAATCATTTCACAATAATTATTAAAGAATTGTACCAAATAAGGAATAGAAATAGTAATTTACTAGCAAAATTTGCTATTTTCGAATCAATATCAAGTTGATTCTGAAGCTTTTTATAACAATTCCGTCTTTCCATTTTAATCTCCACACTTTTTACTTCTAAATTTGAACTTATAAATGTTATTCTCAAATTTAACAGCTCCTATTTGATCCTGATCTGATTTAAAAGCTCCTGATCTCATTTAAAAGCTCCTGATCACATTTAAAAGCTCCTAATCTCATTTAAAAGCTCCTAATCTCATTTAAAAGCTCCTGATCTTATTTAAAAGCTTCTTTAAAAGCTCCTGATCCTTTGCTTTTTCCTTTTTGCTTTTTCCTTTTTCTCTCTAACTTTAAATCAATTTTCGTAAATATTCGAATCTTTCCCCAGCTGGTTATATGTTTGTTGACAGTTGGAGAACGCTTTTTTGTCGCAAAAAGGCACCGTGAAAGAAATTGATTGGTTTTAGCGAAAGGAAAAATACGCAAATCTATTTCAGTTGTACCAAATTCTACAAAGTGAAACATGAAATGAAATGAATTGTAAGAATTCATTGAAAATGTTTGAGGATTAAAAATCTTGGACCTTTTCATGGCTTCTTTCATTGAAAACAAAGCTCATTCATACTCAAAAAGGCAGTATAATTGGGCAAAAGATGTTTTGATTACATTTTTCAAGAATTCCTACAATTAGTGGCAGCAAAAAATCGTTTTGCTGTAGCTCATTGGTAGTTCGTTAGGCTGGCAAGCAAAGGGTCGCAAGTTCGAATCCAGGCGCCAACCGTTCAGCCCATAAAGGCCAACTTATTCCCAGTTCTATTCCCAGTTCTACTCCCAGTTCTACTCCCAGTTCTGTTCCCAGTTCTACTGCCCAGTTCTATTCCCAGTTCTATTCCCAGTTCTATCCCAGTCCTATCCCAGTTCTGTTCCCAGTTCTATGCCCAGTTCTATGTCCCAGCTCTATGCCCAGTTCTATTCCCAGTTCTATCCCAGTTCTGTTCCCAGTTCTATCCCCAGTTCTATTCCCAGTTCTATTCCCAGTTCTATCCCAGTTCTATCCCCAGTTCTATTCCCAGTCCAATCCATAAAGGCCTTTCAATCCAATTCTTCTAATCTTTAACCATAAAACTTTTTGATCTCCAAGAATGGGGATAATCACTGAGGCATAGATATGCATCTTTCGGCAAACCCACTTGACACCAAAAGAGAACACCACACGTCATTTGATGGGAATCGAGCCAGAGGAGCTCTCTCTCTTCCAGAACTCTTTCTTGGTAACTCTTTGAGCTCTCTCTCTCTTTTCCTTTCTTCAAGGGTAGAACCCATTGAGTACAGTGACGTCAAGGTGACCCTTCGACCCACACCAAAACCCTAGTGAGAGTTAGATCTGGTTTTCAGGCTGGCTTTTTTTCGAATCGAATCGATTCGGCTTGAACCGAGAACGTAAAAAACTAAGAAACGAATCAGTTCGGTTTGGACTTTAATTTTTCCAATGGAATCGAATTGAACCGATTCGATTCGATTAGATTCGATTAGATTCGAAAACCAGGGCTAGTAGGAGTAAATAAGCGAGTTTTAAAGTGGGGTTTTTGTGTTTTATGAGTTATTTGCGAAATTATAATCGTGTTCGTGTATTATTCTTTCGTTACAATTTATGTTTAAATAAAATATCACGCACAAATATTCAGTTTTCAAAGTGAAATATGAAATTAAGTATTTTAAGAAACTTCTGACCTTAGACTTTACTATTAGATCGCAAAGAAACTTAAATTTCAAACGATTCGATTTTCAGGATTCTTTCGGATTTGGAAGTAAATCGAGATTTATTTTACTCGGATCGGACCCTCAACTTTTTGAAGTTTTGAATTTTTCGAAAAGTTCAAAGGATTGTTTTTGTCTCTAGAATATTATACTCTTATTAATTAGTTAGTTATACTTAAATTGTTATTTTATGATTGTTATTTTAGCATAATATTTATCTTGTCAAAAGTTATTTACCGTATTTTCTCTAATAATAGTCGAGCCGAGTTGGCGACGATTTTCCCAGTCGAGCCAAGTTGGTGACGATTTTACGGTTTCCAAGCTTTTGCAGAAGCTCAACACTCTAATCCCTTACTAGATTTCATCGTCAGCTACATTTTCCGACCCCACATCGATAGGTTCTGATAAGCGGTTCTCGAGATATAGAGGAATTTAGGCGACGCTCAAGGTGCACTATTAGAGAAAATGCGGTAGTCAATTACAAGCCATTATCATCTTTCCAATATGTTCCAACAATCGGAAGAGTATACAGGCGAATGTGCCAAAAATCCAGAAGCCAAGAACCTGAGAATGATGGGAAATCAATTTGCATTTAAACTATTAAACTTTGAACTACCGTATTCTCTCTAATAGTCGAGCCATTCGAGCCGAGTTGGTAACTATTTTACGGTTTCCAAGCTTTTGCAGAAGCTCAACACTCTAATCCCCTACTAGATCTTATTGTCAGCTACATTTCCGCCCTCATATCGATAAGTTCTGATAAGCGGTTCTCGAGATTTCGAGCAATTTAGGCGACGCTCCGGGTGCAATACTATTAGAGAGAATAGGGTAACTTCTTTCTCTTCATTCTCAAGAGTCTCGTGAGAAAAGTCCATCTGTTCTCTGGGCCTAAAAAAAGAGAATAAAAGAAATTTGAGCAAATAAAACTCATTCAAGGAGAAGTTAATTAAATGACGAACAAACAGAAAACTTTGGCAAGATTTTGAACAAAATGGTAAATGTCCAAGGGGTACTTTGTAAAAGGCTTGCAGGAATTCACTTCTAGGACTTGTAAAGCAAGCCAGAGCCAGTTTCAAGCATACCTTCTCAAACTACAGAGCTAGATTTGCAGTGAATCTAGTCCAGAAATCAAGCCATGACCTAGAAAATGTACTTTTGAAACAATCCAGTTCAAGATTTCATTACCTTTAACCAAAACAATGGTTTTGGTTTCTCTGACAACGAACAACACCTCTGATTTTTCATTCTAAAGCCAATCTACCAATCTATTCTCAGTATTTTTAAACCTTTCAACTAATTGGACAACTAATTGGACAATTTCATTTTGTTCAATTTTTCCATTACCTGTGTTGTTGACTCATCATTTTTTTGCCTGCCTCAACTTTCCATGAATTGTTTATCTCGGCACTTTCCCATTCTTTTTCTTCCCCTTTTTCCCCTCTTTAAAACCGATCGACTCGATCCCGAAAGGGCCACATTTTTGCAAAACAACCTGCTTGCGAAGAGGGCAAAAAAAGAGCTCAAAGAAATGGGCAAAGCCACGTGAATTTTTCGAATCTTTTCTCTCCCTCAAATAAACAACTTTGCTGAGATAAAGTTTCCATTTTCGGTGAAAGAAAATTTCAAAGAAAAGTGAGAAAAGAAAGTCTTGAATAAATTTAGATGTTCTTCTGAAAGATTTGAGTTAAATTTGGCTTTGAGTTAAAGGATTTGAGTTAACTTTGACTTTGAAAACAAGTGTAAAAAAGTTTATAGAGATAATTAAACCAGGGTCAAGTGGAGAAGCTGATGTTCTAGCTGAAGAGCTCTATTTAGCTTCTTACCGTTTATAGACACTTTAAAACACCTAAAAATTTAGTTTTCGTGCTTTAACCAAGAAGCGAAAAGGTTTTGAGTTTAAAGAGTTCTGGCCGTAAGAGTTTAAAGAGTTCAAAGAGTTTAAAGAGTTCTGGCCGTAAATCATTAAACATATTATTTTTAAGACTACCAAAGAATCAAAGTTAACCTTCTCTTGTCAAGAAAAGCTAGGAAATGCTTTAAATTTTGCTAGCTGATAATTAAAAATTTATCAATAGCTGATAATTAAACCACGTCAAGTGGAGAAGCTGATGTTCTAGCTGAAGATCTGAAGAGCTGAAGATGAAGACATTTAGCTTCTTGCCGTTTATAGGCACTTTAAAACACCTAAAACACCTAAACACCTAAAAATTAGTTTTCGTGCTTTAACAAAGAAGCGAAAAGGTTTTGACAGTGAGGAGATTCAAACCAGGGAAAACCAGGAACCATGGACGCATGGCAAAAGACCATGGCAAAAGCACCATCCTCTACACAATCTGATCACTTTTCGGGGGCTGTAAAGCAATATTCTTTGCGTGTTTGGTACTCTTCACTCAAGACACGTTATTTCTTGTTTCGAGATATCTGATCTCACTTGAACTAAGACACTTTATTCAATAGCCGACTGACTCGGAATTTTTGGGCTCTGTGGCGAGTTGCCACTGCTGGAAGTGCGCAAGTGTTAAAGTGATTGTGATAGTGCCAGTTTGCTCCAATTTGAGCGAAGTTTGCCCTAATAAGGGAAAGTTTTGATAAAGATTTGGTTCCTTTTCTCTAAAGATTTGGTTCCTTTTCGGTATAGATTTATTCCTTTTCTCTATTGTGCATTTTCAAGACATCTACCATTGAACAACACCGAGACACGGTCTCACAAGAAATTATAAAGATCAAAGTATAAATATATTTCTTATAGGCTCTCACTTGAGCAATTTTCACACAAAATCGACAATTGAATTAAAAGCGACGATAAAAACAGAAATAATTTCGTTCTAATTAGGACACAACTTTCACACGATGAAAGGAAAGCCAAAAAAGTAAAAACGCATCAAATAAACAACAGTTGCCTTTTATAGGCTTTAACAAAAGATATTCAGCTAATAAGCTACAAAACAATAAATGATTTGGGGCGCGAAATAGAATGAAGGCGCACGGATTTCCGCAATACTTTTCCAATTTTTAGGTTGTCAGAGTTAGGTAACTTTTTAGTGGCTATTCGCCACAGGGGCAATTGATTCACCAATTGATTCAAAAAAAAGCGGCGGCGCTGTTTTTCCAAACTTTAAAAGCATTTTGCTCAAAAACTGAATGCTATGGAGTAAAAATGAAAAACAAGTATCCCTTAGAATTTCAAGAAAAACACATATCCCTTAGAATTTCCTTTAGAATTTTTGCGCTAGGTCCCATTTCCCAAATCGGTACTAAGTTGAACCAATTCCCTAGTGAGATGACTTCGTTCAACTATCCAAATATCCAAATAGTTCAACTATCCAACTATCCCTTCGTTCAACTATCCAAATAGCTTAACATCAGCTCCACATTCCCGTAATTTCTTTATGTTCGAATTAATGATAACAAATTGTATGTATAGTAATATTTTCTAAACTCGTAGTCAAATATTTCGTGGATATTTTGAAAATTTCCACGAATTTGGGCTAGTTTAAACATCAAGTCCTCTCATTCTCATAATATATTTGCTGTTTAGTTGTTTTTGCGATTTTCGGTGCGTGATGCACTCTCATGGGGGTGGGCCTCCTCCTCTTTTTTCTTCTTCTTCTTGTCCTAGCGCGTTCTCGTTTTCGAAAAGGGCAAAACAACAAAGAAGGCATCTTTCTCTTCTCCCATTCTCCTCTTTTCCTTCAAATCTATCCCCCAATATTTTGTGCTTTCCTCATAAACAACTCACATATACAATCACTTTGGCTCTCTGCATATTTCGTCACTTTTATTTTATTGATTATCGATCGTCGATGCTCCTTGGGATCAAGGATCTGCTTGACGGGGAATCCCTTTTTGCAATCAGGTGCTGAGGATTTATTTACCGTAAATACTGTAATTGGACCCCACCCCCATAATGACGGTGCGGCGTGTTGCTTAGTCTAGCTTTGAACGAGTTTTTCTCGACACTGGTTTATGCTAAAATATTCGTTTTGGTATCAAAAAATAGCCCTGCATTTCAGCTATTTTTTGATACCAAAGACGCAATTTTTGAAAGTACGGGCGCTTTGAAAAGAAATGAAATACTAAAAAACTTTTGCGACTACGCGACTGTACGAGGGGGGTGGGGTACTATTACAGTATTTACGGTACGTATTTCAGCCAAATTTTGTCCTTAATAAAGATATGCACGCTCTTAAATAAAGTTCAGTAAATATTCTAATAAAAGAGCCCCCTATAGGAGCGTCGCGTAGTCTGTTCAGTACTCTCAAATAAACGCTCATATCTCAGCACCAGTACGTTTGTTTCTGCGCGCTTAGATATCAAATTAAAGTAGAGAGAATGGATGATTTTTTGAAATATAACACATATTTTTAACTTTAACCAGCGCTTAGAAAAAAAATGATTGAAAAATGATGAAAAATCGGCTTTTTTTGCCACTTTTTAATCATTTTTCAATCATTTTGCTTTTTACTCATTCAATCGAGCGCTGTTTAATGCTAAAAATATTGTGTTTTGCTGTTCAGCCAACATAGAACCAGCCTTATACATGAACTCTGCTCAATAATATAGCTGCATTTAAAGTGTTGCATGCTTTTTGATGCTATGTACCTATTGTACATATCCAATAGCCAACTTTGCATAGCTTTAAAGTAGAGTGATGACAAGCATACCCCATTATACCTATTCTTGATCTTTCTGACTAACGAGGTGCTTGTTATTACTACTATGGTTCTGTTGGACAGCTAAAGTTGCGTAGCTGCTTGTTTTTTTTGCTATATCTTTCAAATAGATTCGTTATTTTTCAATCTCATTTCTGTAAATTGTTTTTTTTAACGATTTTCAACCCATTTTTCTTTTTCCGCCCTTTTCCTATTCCCTTTTGACTCTTTTCCGGTTGCCCCAACCGATAAACAACCCCCGATTTTTTGATCTTTGATGTATTGAGCCAAAATCAATAACTTTTTGATTAAAAAAAGCAAAGAAAAACAAGATTATTCATTAGTTACTAGGATTGTTGATTAAGACAAATAAACATTGAAATAAATACTTTTTATCTAGATATTAATAGCTTATTAAATACTAATAGCTTATTAATTTAGTTATTTGGAGGGTTTTCGCGTCGAATCGTGTCCCCTCTTCAAACAACATCAATGTCAACAACACAGACCGTACACTTGTTTTAATTGGCACTTCGCGAATCAGGTATGATCTTTTTTTCTTTTTTTCTTTTGATGTTTTGATGTTTTCCTTTGTTTTGATGTAAAAATAGTACCTTATTTTAGAGGAGAAGAAAACCGGTGAGAAGAGTGGATGGTTCGTTCAACTACTCGCCCGATATCTACTGTGATAAATATGATGAGAACACTGGGATCTGCCCGGATGGAGATCAGTAAGTGCTAGATCGTCTTGATTATTTAGTTGTGCACCTAATGTTTATTTCAATCTCTGCAACTTTAGATGTCCATACCTTCACCGAGTCAGTGGAGATGTTGAGCGAAAATACCACCTTCGCTATTACAAGACGGCTCAATGCGTTCATCCGACTGATCAACGGGGACAATGTGTGAAGAATGGGGCACATTGTGCTTTTGCTCACGCACCACAAGGTTGATTTTGAATAGAAAATCTAAACCCGTAACAACTTTGGTTTGCTTCTCGAATCAGCATTGAAAAGTCTTGGCTCATTTGTAGCCATTGGTAAAACATTTGGATTGCTTAGGGCTACTCAATTCCGTCTAAGTATCCCCCCCCCCTCTTCACAGAAAGTCTTTTCGTGCCTTTTCGTACTTCCGTTTAAAATCAACAAATTTACCAATTGAACTACGGTTTCTTCCATTAGAAAAGCCAATTATTTTTCTGCAAAATAACATTAAAACGAGTTTAAAATGTCTTATGTCTGGATTTTTTTGAGAGCGTGAAGTCGAGTAGTCAAAAAGCACTCGATGAAGCAGTTTAGACACTTTAGCTAATGAAACCTACCTTAGTGTCAATGGATAAAAGATAGAGCACAAAAAGTTAGGTATATAGTCAAATTTTCAGTGAAATTCATTCAGCCAATTTCTTCGTAAAGGTTTTCATAGATTTTTACGAAAAACAAGTCTTCTTCACTCTCGAATTTGCTTAAAAGTGAACCCAAATTGACTAAAAAGGATGGGAAATTGAACAATAAACACTTTTTATTTAGAACAAACCATATATTAATTGGTCAATTTGTTATTTTTCAACTGAAAGTATGAAAAGGAACGAAAAGACTTTCTGGACAGCCTAAGACAAACTTTTCTTGCGTTACATTGAAGTTGAACTTCTAGTTCTTTTCCTGACACATATTCGTGAGTAATAGTTTTGAATTCCAGATCTCCGACAACCCCAGCACGACACAAGTGAAGCTGCTTACGCTGGCTGTGTTGGTGATACTGATGGAAGAGATAGGACATCGTTTGTCATCGATGATCCACTTTGGCATAGTAAGCGTTATATTTATTTCAAGTAAAAATTTTTAATGATGACTGTCTAAAGTTTTTTCAATAAAATTATGGAAAACGAACCCAAAAGCACCTATTTCAGGGCAAGATCATGTGCTCTCCTGTTACAAGACTGAGCAATGCCGAAAGCCGGCCAGGCTATGCAGACAAGGGTTGGTTTATAGTAGTATGCTATTAATCTCAATAGTTGAGTATCATGAATTAGTCATTAAAATATATTAATCAAATTGTTAATGACTTTTTAACATATCTTTCAACGCAGCGCAGATCTTTAAAGCATTAAAGCTTTAAAGATGTGCAGCTTTAAAGCGGTTATTGTTTTTACACTTATCCGAGTTCCGTTTGGGTTTAAACTAGACTAAATTGGTTGTACTGTAAGCTTGAAAGATTTGAGATAATTAAAAAAAATGTTATAGTTTATATATGCCAGAAAATTTTCCAGCTACGCTTGCCCTTTCTATCACAACAGCAAAGATCGGCGGCGACAACCGGCGATTTTCAAATATCGGTACGTTTTCTATTTTTACCAGCCTTTCATCAAGCTCACCATTTTCCAAAAATACCCCGATGAATAGTTGAAAACATTGTTAATCTTTCAGATTATAGCCAGCAAAAATCTCATAAAAATAGCTTCTAAATATAGGGCGGTTGTAGCCAATGGAAACAAATCGAAAAGAGGCTCAAATTCTCGAAGCGGCTAATTGTTTACCCCCATGCATTTCAGATTACAGCTTTAGATTTAGTGGATATTATTTGCAATAAGTTTTTGCTTTTCTGCTATATTTTATCTAGAAAGTTTTCAGATCAACACCCTGTCCGGCGGCGAAAACTGTGGACGAGTGGCTTGACCCGGAACTCTGTGAACAGGTTAGTTAACTAAAATTTAGATTTAAAAGCTATTTTTTTCCTTGCCCTATCACCTTCATTTGATACATTTCCATTTCAGGGAGACAACTGCGGCTATTGTCACACGAGAACCGAGCAGCAGTTCCATCCCGAGATCTACAAAAGCACAAAGTGCAATGATATGTTAGAGGTGGGTTCTTGAAATAGCTTGATACTTAAAAGATACTAAAGATACTTAAAAAATTAAGTTGTCTAATTTTTCACGAAACTTATTACGATATTCAGTATATTCGTTAGTTTTCAATTCAAATCCACAAGCTTCATTTTCAGCACGGTTACTGTCCGCGTGCCGTTTTCTGCGCCTTCGCTCACCACGACTCAGAGATGCATGTACAAAGGTAGGCCACTAAAAAAATTGATAAACTCTATCTAAAAATAGGTGTTGATTAGAAGAAATTTAACGAAAACTGTCAAATAAATCATATTTTAGAACTCCATACGCCTATTCAAGTCAACACTCACCGAAAGAGCATGGTAGTCCGGATTATCGCCTCGGTTCGCCGGCGGCTTTGAATGGAAGCATGAATGGTCTCAATATAAATGGAACATATCAGGTGGGAGAATTTTGAAAAGGAAACTTTAATGAGTCCCAAATCTATTCATTATTGTACTTACAAACCGTAAAAACTCGAATAGTATCCCATCGACTCCTCGAAATCTTGAGTTTTTAAAATATTTTTAGCTAAACTTATAGATATGGGCCCAGATAGAATAGTTTTTAAGAAAAAATAAATTTTTAATTCATATAGGGGACCCTTACCTACTTTTTTGGCTGGCTGATTTTGCGGGGTTGAAGAATAGAAGACCCGGGTCAATTTTCAATTCATTAGAGTTTTTTTCTAGTTGAAATTCATCCAGTTCACTTGACCAATCCTCAAGACTAAACCAACTCATTGATTTTAACAATATGAATTTATTTTCTTTTTAAAAACAGCTTTCTTTCTAGTCAATGGTCAAGGGTCGGCCCATTCCCAGCTCACAGGCGATTCCGAACGCACAGCGAGCTTTCTCAACGAGTCGAGACGATCTCATGTCAAATAGCTATCCGAAAGCACCTGGTTTTGAGCGAGGCCCATTATCGGTTCGTTTTTTGAAACAAAATACCGTTTATACCAAAACTTTCATTTTATATTAAAGCTAAATTTTTAGCCAAACTATCAACCGGATCAACGCAATCGCACCTACTCGCTGAACATTGGGAATCTGGATATGGCGAGAAAAGGTAGTTCTAGCTAACTGATCATCAGGATCATAGGCAGGATCTTCAGCATTCATAACCAGGGTTCAAACCCAGGCTCCATAAACTAGGCTATGAATTATTTAAGCTGATTAGACTATCATATTTACTAGCCAGATTTTGACCCTATGAATCAACACGTCTTTTGCTGGCAGACGGCTTGCCTTTGTCTACTTGTAACATCAAAATTGCTACAAGAAAAAAGAACTGGGTGCACCAGAGAGTGTTACTTTTGAGCCCAAAGGACAACCAAGTGTACCTGTAAATCAAAAATGAAACGTGTTCTCGTTTAAGTGGCAAATTTTAGCCGCTCTTCTCTCCGGTCAATGGGGTCCAACCCAAGTTGGTGAGACTGGAGGCCTTGCCGCTGCATCAAATCTCTGCCGTTCCGATTCGGGCTTCCACGCTGTTTCATCAACAATGGAGGAGTTGAGCCTCGACTTGGCGCCCATTGATGAAAACCGTGACTCTTCGAAGTTCAGCGATCTTTTCAGCACATCTTGTAAGTTCATTAGTGTGCATAACTGTACTGATGTTAACTTGAAATTCGTTCTAACAAGTTGACTCTCTGGAAGTAACATTAGACTTGATCAATAACAATGTTCTGACTATCTAATCTTCAGTACCATCACCAATGCGCCTGAAAATGCCGCCACCGGTTCCCCAGCAAATCCCTCAACAACAAGACGGTCCTCAGCCATTCCACACTCCGCCATTCACCGAGAATCAAGCGATTTTCCAGCAGAAAATCCCGATGACCTCACCCGGAGGAGCAAATGTTTTCACAGCGTTTCCAGCTGCTAAACACCCGCATGGTTAGTCTAGATAAACTATCAGATTATCAGTACATATTGATACAAGTTATTAGGCTGTCCAGAAAGTCTTTTTGTTCCTTTTTGTACTTCCCTTTAAAACCAACAAATGCACCAATTGAACTACGTTTTCTTTCATTAGAAAGGCCAATTATTGGCCAATTTTTCTGTAAAATAACATTAAAACCGATCAACGGGGACAACAATGTGTAAAGAGTGGGGCACATTGTGCTGTTGCTTACTCACCACGAGGTTGGGTTTTGAATAGAAAATCTAAACCTGTAACAACTGTGGTTTGCTTCTCGAATTAGCATTGAAAAGTCTTGGCTCATTTGTAGCCATTGGTAAAACATTTGGATTATTTAGGGCTACTCAATTTCATCTAAGTATCTCCAGAAAGTCTTTTCGTGCCTTTTTGTACTTCCGTTTAAAACCAACAAATTTACCAATTGAACTACGGCTTCTTTCATTAGAAAGGCCAATTATTTTTCTGTAAAATAACATTAAAACGGGTTTAAAAGGACTTATGTCTGGATTTTTTGGGAGCGTGAAGTCGGGTAGTCAAAAATGGCGACTGCTCGGTGACGCGGTTTAGACAATTTAGCTAATGGAAACCTATCTTTGTGTCAAAAGATAAAAGATAGAGCACAAAAAGTTGGGTATATAGTCAAATTTTTAGAGAAATTCATTCAGCCAATTTCTTCGTAGAGGTTTTTATAATTTTTACGAAAAACACGTTTTCACTCTCGAATTTGTCTGAAAGTAAACTCAAAGATTGACTTAAAATGAAGGGAAATCGACTATAATTAACGATAAATTGACTATAAACACTTTTTATTTAGACCGAACCAAAGGTTAATTGGTGAATTTATTATTTTTCTACGGAAGTATGAAAAGGAACGAAAAGACTTTCTGTACAGCCTAATACAAGCTAAAGAAGGATTATGAGACCAAATGACAAGGACAAACTTTAGATGTTGGCATGGAGTACAATGGAGGTGCAAGCAGTGTACCGGATAAGGTAAGTTCTTGGCTTAATTGAATCATTTAATGAAGTGAGATTTAATTTAATTTAAATTAAAATCCTTTAATGAAATCCTTTAATGAATTAATCCTAACCTTTGTCCAGTTCCAAACTTCGATAATCGAGGAGAGATTGAAAGAGGCGCGTCACGCTTGCGAGACGTGGAGAAACAGTGCCGAGTACTACAAGATGATGGCTGACAAGGCGATGTTTGAGAATAATCAAGTACGGAAATTTGGATGTAGCTAATATTCTTGAAATTACAAAATCTTTACAATCAATCGATTTCCAGCTTCGTCAACAACTCGACGGCATCCGACTCCAGGGTGGCGCAGCTGTCACTCCGACCGTTGATTTCACTGCTCCACCACCAAACGCTTCGGCGAATTTCAACATTTTTGGGGTAAACTAAAGTTTTCTTAGTGATAGAGCATCATTTTGTTATTTGTTTTGAAAAGTTTGCTCTACCAACAAAACCCGAGCCTGGATTTTAAACTCGACCGACTACTGTAAGATGGGTTCCTGTAGATCTGTAAGATGGGTTACTGTAGATCTGTAAGACGGGTTCCTGTAGATCTGTAAGACGGGTTCCTGTAGATCTGTAAGACGGGTTACTGTAGATCTTTAAGACGGATTACTGTAGATCTTTAAGACGGATTACTGTAGATCTTCTAGTTTAAAACTCTACGGCTTACTATAGATTTCTAGATCCAAACTGTAATTGAGGAGCCGTATAAGAACAAAACTTTATTCTATGGCAAAGCAAGCAAGCCTAAAGCTTTATATGCCTGTGTATTTCCAAACAAAAACAAAAAGCATTAATGTGTATTACACAACGATCTAAAACAAGAAATTCAATGAAAAAGCAAAATCTCATGAAATGCTCAAAGCTTTCATTTCAGAATCCAACCGACGACGTCTGGAGACCCCTTCCCGCTCCGGATTCCCCATCCAATAGCCACTAAATCTTAAACTTTTCCAATTCTAGTTCTTTTATCCCCTTTTTCTCTATCTTTTCACTTTTTTTTCTCTCTTTTCCGCTTCTTCACTACCCCAAATAGCCCACTAATCTATTTTCTTGTATATATTTTTGTTAGACAATATTTAAGCGATTTTATATGTTTTATATGTTTCGAATTTTTTAGAGTTTTTCAGAATTTTACCCTTCGATATCTTAGGACTTGTAGTTGTGTCAAATTTGATGATTTTTTTTTTACGGTTTGCAATATAATTTTCTCTTGTTAGAGTTTGATTTGATTTTTCTAGCATCTCTTCTGAAATGATTTCATCTCTTTTCTTTTTGCGTTTTGAATTTAGAATCCCTAGCTTATGAGAGAATTGTTTGAGGAAAATGTTTAAATATCCCCTAAATCCTACTAGGTTTTTTTCGGTTTAGGTGTCAATCGGAAATAGTCTTGAAAATGTACTGATCTAAAGTGTTTTTGAGATGATGTGAAAGAGTTTTAGATGCATGGTGAGGACCGGGAACAAATCGTAGTATCGTACAACTATTGTAATCTTACTTTACTTTGTAATCCTACTTCCCTAAACGGCCCTGGTTTTGCTGCATAAGGACTGACTGGCAAAGGCATCTAGGTCTGTCAATAACCAGACCTGCACCTAGCTTTTGACTAGACCAAGCAAGACTAGGATCAGGCCTGAAGAGAGGTTGGCTGTTAGGTTTGGCTTCTTTAGGCTTCATTAGGTTTGGCTTGGTCTGTGATAGTCCGGGCTATCCGAAAGTTAGACATTTAGGCTCTGAACTGGCTTGCAAGTCCAGTTTTGGTTGGCTTGCAAGTCCAAAACATGCTTGTCGACCAAAAAATGCTTGTTCTTTTGTTCCCGGTCCTCCTCTCCCTCCTCTCCCTCCTCTTCTTCCTCTCCCTCCTCATCCTCCTCCTCCTCCTCCTCCTCCTCCTCCCCCCTCCCCCTCTCCCACAGTTCCTTACTCTAGTTTACCTCGTCATCAACAATTCTCGCACTGTCATCATATTTAGGCTAATCTATTATCCTTTTAAGACACAAAATTGTAAATTCCAATCTCTTTTAGAATTTCTATTTTCTCGCTTTTGTTTTTTATGTTTGTGCTTTATTTTTGAGTTTTTCTTTTTTCGTTTTTCGAATTTCGGACGATTTCGTGTAGTGGGCAATTGCGGTTTTTTTTGGATTCTTTTAAAATTTTACTTTTTAGTCTTTACATTTGTTATTTATATTTAAAAAAAAAAAGATTTTGTAGTTACGGATCAGAAATTTCTTTTTTTTTGTTTATCGACCCGGTTTTTTTAAAGAATTTTTGTGTGGAAATGGTTTGAAATCACAAAAAAAAGCACAAAGATTCTCGAAATTTTCATTTCTTGATTTGTATTCTGTTTAGAGTGTTAATTTTATCTATTTTCTGATATATCTACTCTATAATCTATTCTATAATCTTCCTATAATCTATTTTAGAATCTATTTGCATTAATCTATTCTTTTTAGTGAGTGAAGGAACAAATCAATCAATCACTGGATTGTAAAGTGTATTTTGTGGCTGGAAAAAAAACGAAACTCCTGTTTCTGGTGCACTCAGTTTCTTTGGTAATTTGCAGCGAAATTTAGTTGTTTTGCTTTGAAAAGAAAGAATTGAGTGCACCAGAAAGGGAAGGATGGGAAGGATGGGCTCTGCAATGATGGCTAAGGTCTAATGGCTAAGGCAAGGATGCAATGATGGCTAAGGTCTAATGGCTAATGCAAGGATGGAAGGATGGCTTCATACCTAGTTTCGAGCCTACCCCAGGCCTTTAAATCGAGAGGTGTGGAACCTTCTCGTCCAGAGAAGAGGGAATTTAACTCCCTCTAGAGTACGGGAGATCGAGTGCGTTTTGGTTTAATGGTTAGTACACGAAGGTTCCACACGTCTCGATTTAAAGGCCTGGGGCCTGGGGTAGGCTCGAAACTAGGTATGAAGCCATTACCCGCTAAGCGAAAGGTAGCCGGTTCGAGTCCCGACCGCGCATGGGTTTTTGATCTGCCCCAGTTCCAACAGCCGACCACGGAAGGATGGGCTCTGCTGGCTAAGGTCTAGTTTCGAGCCTACCCCAGGTCCTAGGCCTTTAAATCGAGACGTCTGGGACCTTCTCGCCCAGAGAAGAGGGAAGTTAACTCCCTCTAGAGTACGGGAGACCGTTGTTTTGGTTTAATGGCTTACCCGCTAAGCGAGAGGTAGCGGGTTTGAGTCCCGACGGCCCATGAGTTTTTGATCTGCCCTATTTCCAACTGGAGTGCAAGGCTAAGGAACTGGCTAAAAGCTAAAAGGAACTGGTCAATAAGCTCTGATACAGTTGAAAAAGCACTTAAGCATTTAAGAATACGACTAACGGTGATCAATTTTCTGATTACAGGATACAGAAAGAAAAAAAACCAAAATTTAGATATCTTCTTAGAGTTAGATATTTTACTTGCAAAAAGTAAAAGATCAATCTAGTCGGCTGAATATTTTATTACGGTAGCAAAAAAGAGGCTAGGCTTAAAAGTACCTTTAAATGTTTAAATAAAAATTGAAATGACCAATCAAAGAGTGAAGTTACAAGTGTTAAACTTAGATTTCGAAAAATCCTATCCATTTCCCTACCCACTCCCCTGACTGACTTGTTCTTCCCACTCCCCTGACTGGCTTGTCCTTCCCATTCCCCTAAAATCCTCTCTCATTTCTGTCGAATTGTGCGAACGATGAATACGCTTCATGCTGGTAGCCCTTCCGAAAACATTACGATTATTCTTTTCTTTTCCCCCTCCACTTTTTCATTTCATTTCATTCTTCTATTTCATATTTATCCACACACAAAACGTGTTAGTAATAAACTATTTATTGAGCTATTGAGTCTAAAAACTCCTGCAACATTTGACATTTTATCAAATACAAATATTGGGTTGATGGAAAAGCCCTTTCCGATTTCCGAAACTGAGAATTTGTAAAGATAAATTTGTATAAGTCGCGTTTTTCTGACCTTCATTTGGATAGCAGGAGTGAGAGGATCTCACATGATTGAGCGCTTCTTTGGTGGAGCACGAGTTTCTGCAAGAAGGATTCACTCGTACTCAATACTATTGGGTTGTCCAGTTATGAATTCGCGTTTTTTACTATTTTGTAAATTTCTCAAGATACCGAAATCAAGAAAAAGATATATATGAGTATTATTCGAAAGCTGAAGATCTCCTCTACATTTTGATATAAAAAGTTTTTGAATTTGTTCAGCTTTTGGGCAAATTGGCTGCACAGAAGAAGAAGTGGCCAAAAAATGGAAGGGTGCCTTTGGATCAAGTTTTGGCTCCGCTCAAATTGAGTTAACCGTTTGATGTTTGGCCAATAGATATATCAATACAACTTTTTTAAAAATATAACAGTTTCAAAGCATCTTTTCTTTTCTGGCCGGTTATTTTACACCATAAAACTTGAGGAATAGCTAAGCTGGAATGAGTTTTTTTTCGAAAACGACCTCTCCCCTTGTGCAGTCAATTTGCCCAAAAGCTGAACAAATTCGAAAACTTTTTATTCCAAAATGTAGAGGAGATCTTCAGCTTTCGAATGATATAAAACACTCATATACATCTGTTCGATATCTTGAGAAATTTACAAAATAGTAAAAACGCGCATTCATAGCTGGACAACCCAATATTACTCGATGAATTTTACGATTGAAAGATGTTACTGCAAAGAATTTCTTCACCTTTTCACCGAGTGTAACCAATGTTAACGCTGACCAGTAAAAACGCAAGCTGTACTGCTTCGAGAAGTTGCTAAACTTCATCGGAAAACTTCTGAAAGCTCTATTTATTAGGTTGATGCATAAGTCTTTTCGTTCCTTTTCGTCTGCCGTTTCAAGCCAACAAATGCACCAATTAAACTACGGTTGATTTTATTAGAAAAACCAATTATTTTTCTGCAAAATAACATTAAAACGGGTTTAAAAATATATTATGCCTGGATTTTCTTGAGAGTATGAAGTCGGGTAGTCAAAAAGGGCTAACTCGATGATGCGGTTTAGACACCTTAGCTAAAGAAAACCTATCTTCGTGTCAATAGATAAAAGATAGAGAAAAAAAAGTTTGATATTTCGCCAAAATTTCAGAGAAATTCATTCAGCCAATTTTTCCGTAGAGTTTTTTATAGATTTTTACGAAAAAGGCGTTTTTCACGCTCGAATTTGCTTGAAAGTGAACCGAAATTCATTTAAAAAGATGCAAATTGAACAAAAAACACTTTTTTTATAGAGCAAAATATAGATTAATTGGTGAATTTGTTACTTTTTAACAGAAGTACGAAAAAAACGAAAAGACTTATGCATCAACCTATTAGATCAAATAAGTTTTTAAGGCTACCTATTACTCCAAATCTCCATGGTGTTGACTATTTTGCCACAGGAATGCCCCACGTATCCGCACACAAAGAACGCAATCTGTTTTGATGTTGACGATTAAGATTGTGAAAATATAATCCTTTTTTCGTGTTATGCGCTCGTTGTCGCAAGTTTTCACAGCTTGAAAAAAATCAAAGTAATCCGATACGGGAACTCCAACCAGAGATCTTTAATCTCGAACACAGACGCTCTACTGTTCGACCACGGCCTACTAGAATTGAGAGCGCGCACAAGGCCCCTAAGACCCAAAAACCCATATTATCAGAGTGCTAACAAAACTGTAGACGCTTATAACTCCTGCCAGAATAACGTTCAGCAAAAACGGAAAGCAGATTCGTTCTATTGAAAAGGGGGATTCCGTGAGTGATAGCGACGTCTACGACGAGCGATACACAGATTTTCGTCTGTAAAAAAAACAATGAGCGCATTTGAAAAGAACACAAATGAAAACACGGTAGATGGGCAATCTTTTTGAGCGTGAAACCTGAAAAATAGCTCTTTATTTGGTCATTTTACAAGCTAATTTGAAATGCAAGGGGTCAACGATGACTAAATTACCCAAAATTACCCAAATTGGGTCATTTGGGGGCACTCTGGTCAGACAAAACGTTCGATTTTCTCCGCATTTTTTTTGACTATTATATTTCGAGCTAGATTTCGAGCTATTCGAGTTATATTTCGGACTATATTTCAGCTTTATTACGATTCTTGATTCGAAAATTCGATAATAATGAAGCTCTTAATAGTAATTCACATTATAATCGCACTATCCGTTGCTGAAAGATTTCGAATCATGACTTTTAATCTGTTTCATTGTGGAACGCATGTCGATAATGGGATCGAGAAGATCAACAAACATTTGGCTGTCATTGATGCAGATATTGTCGCTTTTCAGGTTTTCTAAAGTTTCATTGAGAGGATTTTGTTTGTTTGACTTTTGTTTGACAAACAGCTCACTAAAAGCCTTTCATACAAGTGTACAAGAAAAAAATAAGGATTTGCCTCAAAAAAATAAGGGTTTCCTTTCCTCTACTCGTTTTCAGGAATCAAATGAATGTCGAAAGAACAAACGCTTGCCATTGCTTAGAAGGAACAATTCGAATGCGGTGTCGGTCGTTTACAAGTACACGGGTTTACTGATGAATACTCGATTTCAAGTAAACATTTAAGCTACACTGCTCCAAAATAGTTTTTCCCTAGAAGTCAGGTCCTAGCCTGGCTTGTTGCATGTTTTGCTCACAAAAACTCTTGTCAAGTCAGGCCCTAATGGCCGGGGGAGAGAGTGCGGGGATGCCTAGACTTCCAACACGATGTCTAGGATACCTAGACTTCCAACACAATGCCTAGGATGCCTAGACTTCCAACACAATGCCTAGGATGCCTAGACTTCCAACACAATGCCTAGGATGCCTAGACTTCCAACACAATGCCTAGGATACCTAGACTTCCGAACACAATGCCTAGGATGCCTAGACTTCCAGCACAATGCCTAGGATACCTAGACTTCCTACACAATGCCTAGAATGCCTAGACTTCCAGCACAATACCTAGGATGCCTAGACTTCCAACAGTTCGCATTTCACGGGTGCTGTTCCATGTGGTTTTGGGCTGACAGGGCGTCGACATCTTACACACCACAATTGTGCGCCCCCTTCGGATAGGGCCAGTTAAACACGGACCAGAACAGATTGCCGACGATATGGGTAAAGAGCCGATCTTATGAAAAGGCCCTGCGCCAGACGGCGCCAGACTGCCGCACAAAGAACACCTTATGATCTCTTTACAAAGAAATTTCTTTTGTTCTGTAAACATTGCTCAGCTGAGATCTAACACCAAAAGTTTGTACCCGGGGGTTTTTAGGGTCGGACAATCGATTGGCGGGGTCCATTTGTTGTCTCTCCAAGCAAAATCTCTAATTTGTGCTGATCTTGAGTCATTTATTTCGTATTTTGGCTATAATTGGTTATAATTATCGCTGGGGGATCTACTATATCCAGGCCGGGCGACCAGGGTTGGGCGCCGGGCCTGGATCCAGGTTTTAGCAAACGAGCTTTGTTTGCTAAATTGAAAAAACAGTGTTATCCAAGATTTAGCAAACAAAAATTGTATTTTAAAACGTGGATCCAGGTCCGGCGCCCAACCTTGATCGCGCCGAGCGTCCCAGTAAAGATCTCGTTGATGCTTTGGGCTCTTTAACTCGAGACATCAAACTATGCTTCAGCCCCCAAACATTCACCGAAAAAAAACTCGCCATTAAGCGGGTTTTTTGGCTGGTAACCCATAAGAGCCCATTTAGCCCATTTAGCGAAGCACCCGGGCCATCGCTTTGACTTATTTGGCCGTCTTGTACGTCTTGCTTTGACTTATTTGACCTGGCCTGACTTTGTTGCCTGAAATAGTTTGACCTGGCTTTAGACTCCAGTTAAAATATCCCATCGGACAAGAGTTCAAGTTTATTATGCCAGAAACGTCTTGTATTCATTTTAAACACAAAGCAAACATTAATTCAATCTAGGTCTTGAACCACTCTGTCTTGGAGGACTTCATGATGTACGTGAGACTCAATTTATCAGAATCTTTTCAACTTGATGTCTATAATATTCACCTTGATTGGAGGTAGGATAAAACAAAAGCAAATTGTAAAATAAGTTTCCAGAAATGGTGGATCTTATTGTGCGGCTCGAGGAGCAAGAGTTGAAGAGCTTCTGGAATGTGAATCAGGTAGAGAATTGTTTGTTTGTTTGTTTGTTTGTTTGTTTGTTTGTTCAAAACGTTCAATCGTTTAGGTAGACTCAATCAAACAATCGAATTGATCAAAGCATCTGGATTGGATCAAATTAAACAAAACGAGAAACCGAAGATCATTCTTGGGGATTTCAACACGCCAAGTCACTTGGATTGGGTTGATTCAACGAGGTTTTTTTCAACAAATTGCCTTTGCTATTCCGTTTGTAAGAAATCTATTGGGTTGGGGAGAATGAGTCGGCGCCGAAAATCAAAAAAATGTCTAAAACTTCCAGCAGACTTTGTCAACTAATATGCGTTTCATATCAGTAGAATGGTTAACTAATTCTCTACAAAATGACATTTAAAAGAAAATTCAAACGGCGCCTCCGCTCAAGAAAAAGCCATTTTTTCACAAAAACTACAAACTGTCATCTAAAAAAAACCATTGGTGGGATCTTCCTGCAAATTTGGCAACTTAAGTAATTGAATGTGCTCTATCTTTTTTATATAAACACCAAAGAAGGTTTATGTGAAAGAAACTGTTCAAATGATGAGTCGGACTCTTTGCCATTTTAACCCGCTGCGTTTGGAAGTTCATAAACTCCACGAAAGAAAAGCTTTGTGGAATCTCTCAAAAGTCATTTTGTAGAGAAATAGTGGATCCTTTTGATGAAACCAAACGTATGTTTAAAGAAGGCTTTATGTGTGCAAAAAGTCCCTTTAAAGTTGGGCGCCGACTCATTATCCCCAACCCAATATTTATACTTTGATCTTTTTAATTTCTTGTGTTTCTTGTCGGTGTGGTTCAATGGTAGATGTCTTGAAAACGCACAATTTATCAAAACTTTCCCTTATTAGGACAAACTTTGTTCAAACTGGAGCAATCTGGCACTATCACAATTGCTTCAACACTTGCGTGTGAATAGAATAGAATAGAATAGAATAGAATAGAATACAAGGGATGAATAGAAAAGGGAGCACACAACTGACTCAAGACAAAGCTTAAATAATGGGTTTTTAAGTACACAAGCTACGACGGGATGTACAGTACTGGACAATGAAATATGATATTTGAAAAAGATCGTCACTTTCGCGGGTCTGTAACTCCCTTGTCTTTGAGTTTAAACTATTAGTGTTATACATTTTCTGAAAGCTCTTTTCAAGGGCTATACAATGGTAATATTAATATTTAGAAATACGGTAAAGACAAGGGAGTTACAGACGTGCGAAAGTGACGATCGTTTTTCAAATATGATATTTCATTGTCCAGTAGTGTAGTTAAAACAGCGCCGAATAGAAAACGTTCAAAACAGCGCCGTCAAATTTCTCACAATCCAAAAAACCAAGCCGCATCAAGTCTTATATCAAAAAATTCCTTGCGTTCTTGGCTATATGATGGGTGGAACAGTTTTTTTAAAAAAGTTAGTATTGATAGATAAAATTAGCTTTCAAAATGTGTGTGTCAAGTGATAGTCAGTTGGTTAACTGAATATCTTTAAAGGCCCATTTTGAGCGCTCTTTTTATCTATTAAATACTAACTTTTTTTAAAAACTGTTTCGCCCATCATGTAGCCAAGAACGGAAAGAATTTTTTGATTTAAGACTTGATCCGGCTTGATTTTTTGGATTGTTAGAAATTTGACGGCGCTGTTTTAAGCGTTTTCTATCATCGCGCTGTTTTAACTACATCCCGCAAGGACGAAAAAAGGACAATTGAATATCGTCTAGTGGTTGATTACGGTAGTTTATCCATCAACTTTGAATTCTAACTTGTTTATTGAATTTTGCCTAGCTGCTGAGCAGTGACAATTCGCTACACCGTTTCAATTACCGAATACAGTTTTTACTTTGTCTTTTATGAAGCACAAGTTCGTCTGATCAATTTGCATTTAAACTATTAAACTTTAAACTACCGTGTTTTCTCTAATAGTCGAGCCAGTCTAGCCGAGTTGGTGACGATTTTACGGTTTCCAAGCTTTTGCAGAAGCTCAACACTCTAATCCCCTACTAGATCTCATCGTCAGCTACATTTCCGCCCTCATATCGATAGGTTCTGATAAGCGGTTCTCGAGATATAGAGGAATTTAGGTGAGGCTCCGGGTGCAATACTATTAGGGAAAATGCGGTAGTCAATTACAAGCCATTATCATCTTTCCAATATGTTCCAACAATCGGAAGAGTATACAGGCGAATGTGCCAAAAAATCCAGAAGCCGAGACCCTAAGAATAATGAGAAATAAATTTGCATTTAAACTATTAAACTTTAAACTACCGTATTCTCTCTAATAGTCCAGCCATTCGAGCCGAGTTGGTGACTATTTTACGGTTTACAAGCTTTTGCAGAAGCTTAACACTCTAATCCCCCACTAGATCTCATCGTCAGCTACATTTCCGCGTTCATATCGATAAGTTCTGATAAGCGGTTCTCGAGATTTCTAACAATTTAGGCGACGCTCAAGGTGCACTACTATTAGAGAGAATACGGTAACTTCTTTCTCTTCATTCTCAAAAGGCTCGTGAGAAAAGCTCTGATCATTCATCTGATCATTCATCCTCTCAAATCATCTCTAATAGAGATTTTTAGAGAAATCCACTTCAACAGAACCGTTGAATGGCCAGTTACAAAACTCCTAGCCGATATTGGATTTAAAGACTCTTACCGGGAACTTTATCCCGATCCAGTGAACGATCCAGGTGAGCTAATCAAACAAGAATCGAAAACCGGGAAAATCAAGTGAGACCAAGAACAGGATCTGGCTCTGGCTTTAGACTGATCCAGCCAATTTTGGATCAGGAAGGGCCGGTCCAGACCAGGATCAAGTCAGGGCTGGATTTTTGAAACTTTGGGCACCTCCGGAACCCAGAAACAGCTGGAGAACAGCGTATGAAATAGTTTGACAAAGTTCTCAGGACTCAGGAAATGACGGATTGACTAAGACTCAGGAAATGTCCCCAAATTTCCAGCAAACACTTGGTCAACCACCGAGAAAACGAATCGACTATTTGGCCGAGAGCCACAGGATCGCATTGATTTCATTTTGTATCGGGGAAATTTGAGACCGATTGAGTGAGTGGATTCGAGTTAGAAAGTGGCTTTAAACTTCATTTCATTGAGAAAAATTTCATTGAAAAGTCGACAATTTCCGATCAGAAATCTACGCCGGAAGATCTCCGTTCGATCGTGGGCAAAAGAACGATTGGCCCTCTGATCACTATGCCGTGTACACCGATTTTGAGTATTGAGATCAAAAATAAGGTTTTTTTAAATGGCTCAAAGCTTTTCCAGGGTTTAAAATTTGTTCAAAGCTTTAAAATTACACTTTCAAAATCAGCTTTATAACAGATTTTCAACCTTAAATCCATTTTTAGATGATTTACGACTGGCTGGAACATTTTTTTCCTAGTCTTGTTTCTGTTTTTTCTTTTCCTTAATTAAATTCGCTCTATTTACACATTAATTCAATTACCGTAATTCAATTATTCAATTACCGTTTTCTCTAATAGTAGTGCACCCCGGCGAGCCGAGTTGGTGACGATTTTACGGTTTCCAAGCTTTTGCAGAAGCTCAACACTCTAATCCCCTAATAGATCTCATCGTCAGCTACATTTCCGCCCTCATATCGATAGGTTCTGATAAGCGGTTCTCGAGATATAGAGGAATTTAGGTGACGCTCCGGGTGCAATACTATTAGAGAAAATGCGGTAGTCAATTACAAGCCATTATCATCTTTCCAATATGTTCCAACAATCGGAAGAGTATACAGGCGGATGTGCAAAAAATCCAGAAGCCGAGAACCTGAGAATAATGGGAAATCAATTTGCATTTAAACTTTAGACTTTAAACTACCGTATTCTCTCTAATAGTCGAGCCATTCGAGCCGAGTTGGTGACTATTTTACGGTTTCCAGCTTTTGCAGAAGCTCAACACTCTAATCCCCCACTAGATCTCATCGTCAACTACATTTCCGCCCTCATGTCGATAGGTTCTGATAAGCGGTTCTCGAGATTTCGAGCAATTTAGGCGACGCTCCGGGTGCAATACTATTAGAGAGAATAGGGTAACTTCTTTCTCTTCATTCTCAAGAGTCTCGTGAGAAAAGTCCATCTGTTCTCTGGGCCTAAAAAAAGAGAATAAAAGAAATTTGAGCAAATAAAACTCACTCAAGGAGAAGTTAATTAAATCGCGAAAAAACAGAAAACTTTCGCAAGATTTTGAACAAAATGGTAAATATCCAAGGGGTACTTTGTAAAAGGCTTGCAGGAATTCATTTCTAGGACTTGTAAAGCAAGTCAGAGCCAGATTCGAGCATACCTTCTCAAAGCTACAGAGCTAGATTTGCAGTAAATCTAGTCCAGAAGCCAAGCCATGACCTGGTCTGACCTAGAAAATGTACTTTTGAAACAATCCAGTTCAAGATTTCATTCACCTCACATCGATAGGTTCTGATAAGCGGTTTTCGAGACATAGAGGAATTTAGACGACGCTCAGGGTGCACTATTAGAGAAAATACGGTAGTTAGCTTGAAAGAAAACATTCTTACGATGTTTACACAACAAAAAAACTTGTTTATACATTTTGGCTTTATGAATTTCTACTGTCGGAACGTTGAGATGTCTCTAAACAGTAATAAATCTTTTTTTTTTAAGCGAATTGTTCCTAGCAACTAAGACAAGCAGTCTTAGCAGTCTTTTAAGAAACTTTTCATTACAAAGTTTTCTAATTTTATAACTATTACTCTTAAAACAACAAATTTAATATAAAATTTTTGAAATCGATCCAATTCTCTACAATTTTCTAGTCTTTTTTCAACCGCTTTCGATTTCGATTCTCATTTTTGTCAATATTCATTTGCATTTCCAGGAATAAACGTGGGTAAATAAGGAAAGTATGGTAATTTCTGATCATTTTCGAAAAGCCGTTTCGAAAAGCTTTTTTCCCTTTTTCCCTTTTTCATATTGAATCATGAAATAATGTGGAAAATTTGGAAATTCTCATCAAATACTCTCTTCAAATGGATCTTTGCGGTGATCTTGGTGGTATTCTTGATTCAAGTAAGTTGAATCAATCGTCCCTGTGTCTCTGAGTCTTGAGTCTCTTCGAAACTAGCTCCAGTTTCGAACCTGAAGAGACTGAGTGCGACTTTCCTGATGGGTTCTCGAGTTCCCATCAGGAAAGTAGTTCTGAAACGCATTTATTTCGATGACAAGGTGGCTTCTTTGTTTTGAAGACTTTCTGATTGGTTTTGCAGAATATTCTCTAGCTTAAGGTAGCTAAAGAAGCTCATTCTGCTCTTAAAATTTTCTAAAACGTGTCTTCTTTCTAGAGCTAACGTAATCTTGACTTTAGCCTTATCCTTACGAGGAATTCATCTCGTAAATGAGCGTCTTATGGCGAACAGATTCAATTCTATTCTATTCTATTCTATTCATTCTATTCTATTCTATTCATTCAATTCAATTCCTTCAATTCCTTCAATTCCTTCAATTCCTTCAATTCCTTCAATTCATTCAATTCATTCAATTCCTTCAATTCAATTCATTCAAAGACAAAAGTCTAATTTCAAAATAGTTTAAAACTTTTCAAAGTACCCTAAAGTCTCGAGTATAAGTTCTGCCTTAATTTACATTTGCTTTAATTGCTTTGAATTTCTTTTTGTTGGGTTTTTATACATTTTTATTGTTATATAAACTTTTATTATTGTTCTTGGAGCGCGGGATACTACAGGGTGACAGCCTATCACCATTGCTATTTGTTATGTGCATGGATACATCCAGACGATAGTGTTGAAGAAGACGCTGGAAAGCATCTCTTTCGACCGTCGACGTGGACTTTGGCCGGATGAAGAGGCCAGGGAGGGATCCATAAGACTGAGCACCGGAGAGGAGCAGGGCGGACGCGCCGAGCCACGCCCGGAGCAACAAATAACAGCATAAAATTGCTATAACCCTCAATAAATTTACTTCTATTATTGTTCTTAAAAAGCAAAAAAGTTATGCTGCAGCGGGGTTCGAACCCTCGACACACCGCACCGGAGACAGCCGTCAATTTGCATGCGAAAACCAAACAGAACTTATACTCGCGACTTTAGGGTATATGTCGTAGCCGATTATGAATGAATTTTTTTTGGCAAAACTTTCTAGTAGAGCAACCCTTTAATGTATGAGGACAATAATATGTAGATGTAGAGATTTCCAGCGAAAACCTGGCTTTTATGTTTTCCCTCATGTCAGAATGCACAAAAAAAAACATAAAATTATGAGGGGAAACGTTTTTAGAGAAAGAAAAATGAAAACAAAAACCGTGGGACCGTAAAGTGTACTTACTTTACGTGGTGTATCTACAGTAAGTACACTTTACGGTCTAGGGTCAAAATTAGCATTTGAAACACAATTTCCCCCAAAAATTGATGGCAGGAGGCAAATCCACCGTGGAAACGATGGTTTTTTTGTGTGGCCTTTGCACCTTCTGCACCTGCTTATAAGTATCGCGTTTTTTTTTGGTTTGTGCCTGAGTGAGGCGCACGTTTCGTCTAACCCAGGCATAAACCACAAAAAAGCGCGATACCTATAGGCACTTGCGACTGGTGCGGGCGGGCACTTGTGTCGCATTCGATTAGGATTCGATTCCGGTTTGGTTACGATTCAATTTCCGATTCGATTCATATTCATCTTATAGCGAATTAAATTCTGCGTCGATTGGTACCAAATTTGTGGGTTTAGGTTAAAAATTGCCGGCGCTATCCAAAATCGGCGGGACTTCCGTAGCCGATTATGAATGAGTGGGTCTAGGAGCGTCCAATCAACAAGTATTTGGTATCATTCAACGCAGAATCATTGATAATTATGTTAAATTTTTTAAATTAGCAAGACTTGATAAAAAGAAAAAAAATTAGAGCAAAAAAACTGTTTGTTCAAGAGAAAACTTTGAAGTCCCATAATTTTTTTTCTTTTTATCCAATCTTTCTAATTTAAAAAATTTAACATAATTATTAATGATTCTGCGTTGAATGATACTAAATACTTGATGGTTGGATGCGTCCGCACCTACTCATTCATAATCGGCTGAAATTCAGAATCGGCTACGACAGCAGCTTGGGCTGCTACCCCCTCGCCCACGCGGCCCCTGACCGAGCCCTCTCGAGAGTGCCCTTTAAAGAGTGCCAAATCCCCAAAATTGCTAATTTTTTTTCGGGATTTACATTCTTTAAAGGACTTTCACTCTTTAAAGGGAACTCTCACAGGCAGTTGATGAGTGGGCAAGTGGACGAGTAGGAGTCCGAGCTGATAGCCGGAAGCTAGCTAGTTCGGCTCCGTCTCCGGTCTTTATCGTGACTTTTTATCGTTAAAGGTAAAAACAAAAATAAAAAATCGGCTGAAATTCATAATCAGCTACGACATATAGATTTTCAATCGTATTACTTCTAATAAATGAAGGATAACAAAGCTACCAAGATTAGATTGATTGTTCAATAACTGGAGACAAAATTACTCAGTTTTCAATCTACTATATACAAAAATCAAACATCCGTCCGTCCGTCTGTCACGCCTACGCGACAATACAAATTACGTTAATGTAAAATGACAACAAAATGAGCTAGAAGGCTGAAAATTGGTACTCAGGGGTTTTCGGGGGCGAGGAATCCGAATTTGCGATCAGATTTGTGCTGCGTGCCCTCAGTACCTTTAAGCAGGAAGATCTGTAGCGAACGCCCAGCGCAGCTGGTCGTTGACACGTTTTAGGAAACGGTTAAACCAGTTTCTAAGCTTTCTGTACCAAAGAAATATCAGATTACGGTAGTTTTCAATAGTTTACAAGTTTTAGGAAACTTTTTAGTTTACGCTTCGTTGATAAAAACTCTGATATGCTAGCATGATACGATTTTCTTTCAGCATTTTGAAAATCTCACCGAGAAAGAACAATGCCCAGCTTTAATTCGCATTTTTCGTCAATACCAAAGCTGTATCAGAGAAAAGGTGAGTGTTTTACTCGAAAAAATAAAGAATGATCTTTTCAGTTGAATAAGAACGTTGATATCTGGTCGAACATTGCAAAAGTGGTTGATTCTTGCGGGATCAACGCTCTGAGCCGGCTATTTAATGTAAAGCATTTATCGAATTCGGTAAGTGGGCAATAAACGTGAGGAAAGTTCCAACCGGAACCTAATTCCATCTTCGTTTTCTCTTTTTTTCTTGACCGATTCCTCTGAAATTTTGTTTAGAAGCTGAAAATCTATCTGTAGACAAAATTTCAGCCAGCCAAGAATCGGCTGAGAAAACGAAGATGGAATTAGGTTCGAGTTTGAATTTCTCCATATCTAATGGACAAAGTTTTAGTTTAAGACCAAAATTGGTTTAGGATGATGTTAAGGCTTTTGTTTATCCTGTTTCACTGGAGGATAGGATTGTCTCGGTAACTCTGGGAATTGGTGGAGATGTGCGCGTTGAGAAGGAGCTCAATGTGGGAGTTTGAGTTTGAGTCAATGTGGGAGTTTTATCAGGAACTCAATGGCTACTTTCATTGTAGAATCCTGAAGATTTCGATACCTAATTTGGTAAAGATTAGAAATGGATTGGCTTTTGATTGGAAATTGGCTTTTATCAGAGCTTACCCGAAATATTCTTTGGCTTTAAATGAAACTAAAAAAAAAACTCTAAATACAACAAGTACATAATTTAACTTTTGTTTCCAGAAAACATTTGCAAACATTGAATTCTTTGGAGCTGATCCGTTTGAAGAGACAGCTGCTGTGTTCCGAGAGCTTGGCGATGTTCAACTGGTAGGCTGAGCGTTTCAAACGTTTGTATCTCAGCATCTCTTTGTATCTCTCTTTGTATTCGTAACTTACAGCAATTAAAACCCAAGTTTCAATTGGTATCTTCAATAAAAATAGCTTCCGTTGATTCTCCGACTCTGAAAACCCCTGGGTACAAATTTCCAGCTGAATATCTTCTTTCGTAGAGTTTACAGCTTAATCTCTTCTTTATTACAATTTACAGCTGAATAACTTCTTTTTATACCATCTATAAAGCAAAAGTGAAATCTCTATTTAAATTTTTAGGCCATGAAAGCCTTTATTAACTTCAGCTTCAGCTTCAGCATGATGATGTGCTTTAAAGTTATTAAACCAAGATTTATAACTAGCGAGGTGTTCTTTGTGCGGTCGCGTAATCGGTCGCCATCTGGCAAACGTCTCCAATAGATAGTCGCCCCTTTTCGCCTTTTTCGAACCATACCCAGCTCTTTCCAAGCATTTAGACTACAACTAAAAGTTGCCATGTCCAGCTTCAACTAAAACTAACGTATCCATGACTTTAGCTAAACCTTACCTTATCCCTAGCTTCATCCGGCCTTATCACTATGCTCAAATTCTTGAAAGCAATTTTCCCCTCAAGTTTGGCTGTATTTTTCCGATTATTCTTCTATTATCCTATTATCCTATTATTCTTCTATTATTCTTCTATTATCCTATTATTCTTCTATTATCCTCAAATTTCTGGTCGCAATTTTTACCCCTAATTTAGCTGTATTATCCTATGATCCTATTGTCCTATTAAATGTCCGTAATTGTCCCGTTATTCTACTATCCAATTGTCCCATTAAACCATTGTGTTACTATTGGGTTGTTCTATTATGCCTATTATCCTATTATTCTTCTATTATCCTATTATTCTATTATCCTATTATCCTATTATCCTATTATCCTATTATCCTATTATTCTATTCTTCTTCTATTATCCTATAATCCTATTATTCTTCTATTATCCTATTATCCTATTATTCTTCTATTATCCTATTATTCTATTATCCTATTATTCTATTATCCTATTATCCTATTATCCTATCTGTTCGATATCTTGGAAACTTCTATAATCCTAAAATCCGCATTATTCTTCACTATTATTCCTATTATCCTTCTAAACCAAAACCATCTGAACCACTAGCTTCCTAGCTGGAAAGATTAAAATCAAATTTCTAAGCCATGAAAGCCTTTATTATCTTGAGCATGATGATGTGCTTTAAAGTTATTAAACCAAGATTTCCTTTCGAGAACCTTAAAAGAAAACTTTTTGAAACTTTCTGAAACTTTCTGAAACTTTCACAAAGAATCCTAGGTTGGAATTGGCCCAACTGATGGAATGATCAACTCATCGATTCTTTCAAATGGCATCTATACACCAAAAATGATCGCCTCAATCTCAATGAAAAATTTTCTACATAAAGTCATCCTGAAACGATATCAGATCATTTTAAGTTTATAGATCAAGAAAAGCTTTATCGATTTTCTTTTGATCGATATCGAGGGACCTGAATATTTCATTATGCCAGAACTTTTCGAGGCCGAGAAGAGAAATGAATACACGATTTGTCAGGTGAAAAATTCGACAGATTTCTACAGATTTCTGCAGATTCTACATTTTGTAGGTTAACAATGAAGTACAGTAGCCGTACAATGGCAACAATATGCTGCTGTGCTCGTTGCTGAAACTCAATTTGCCCTAAAACAAATAGACCGCTCGACTTTGACCTTAACTAATGTAGTACAGTAGCCGTACAATGGCAATGGCAGACGTACAATGGCAGCAGCTAACAAAGTACTTTACACAAGATCAATAACGCCTAACAGATGACGCTATCTCTATCATTTTCAGTAAGAAGTCTTAGATGAATGTTAGATTTTAGATTTTAGAACTTAGATCTTAGAACTTAGAACAATCTTAGATGGGTTTTGACTTGAATTGTTAACGGGACTGTTAGAATACTTATAGTAGGCTTACAAATACTCACTAACAGTAAAAAGCTCTTCAATGACACTGCCGGTACCTAAAAATACGTTTATTGACACAAATAATGTGTTACAAACAATACACAAGCAAGCACAACCCTTAACCAGGGAACCCTTTAAAGTTACATGTCAGAAGCGATCTCTGGGGCCGATTTCACCACCATTTTAAGTCAGTAACCTAGGGAGAGGTGTCTTAACGCACTAGCACTCAACCTCTAAGATCTAAATGTAGGAAAGAAAAAAAAAGCCATATGTATGAGAAAAAAAGAACCAATAATCTATTGAACCCTTGACCTCTCGACTAGAACACAAAGCTCTTAGCCAGTTGGCGATAAAACTATGATAAAACTATGATAAAACTATGATAAAACTTTACCAAAGTTTTAGATAAATGTCGAGTTGCATGGACCACTTGCTAATTATGGCGTTACAAGCAAAGACTTTGACGAAATAGTGGGTTTTAAGCTTACTAATCTACATAAAACCTAAGAATCTCATGAGTTAGTCAAAATGTAAAAAAAATTGACCTATCCTTAAGCTGAATAGCTTCAGTCAAACGGCCTCGATTTTTTTGACGTAAATTTTCGAGAGTATCGCTTACCGGATGTTACCATCCGGTAAGCTGAAGTACTGAAATCAAAAGTTGGGCATTATTCGGCTAAGCCGTTGAGCCTTATTCTTACTTATTATATATCTGTGTGTGTCTGTCCGTTGTACGGAAAAAACGGCTTAGCGGATCGAGCTGAAAGTTTGACATTATAAATCTAACTTTTCACGTAGTTTCATAAAAACTGATGATTATTGACACATACCGTGTGTCAATAATCATCATGTCACTGTCAATAATCAATGTCAATAATCAATGTCACTGTCACTACCAATCGGCCAAAGCGGTATTCGTTAAAAAATTGTGGGGTGTCACAGATTGTCTTGATGTCTCGAATATTATGCCGTCGGAGAAAGCGAGGTGAAAGCTTAATAAGCTACGATTTGTAAAGCTTAATGGTTACTGGGTGAGAATACAGTAATTGGGCGGTTCACGGTCAAAAGCCTGTCCCCCAAATTATTTGTCAATTACCATATTTTCTCTAATCGTAGTGCACCTTGAGCGTCGTCTAAATTGCTCGAAATCTCGAGAACCGCTTATCAGAACCTATCGATGTGGGGTCGGAAAATGTAGCTGACGATGAGATCTAGTGGGGGATTGGAGTGTTGAGCTTCTGCAAAAGCTTGGAGACCGTAAAATAGTCACCAACTCGGCTCGGCGGGGTGCACTACTATTAGAGAGAATATGGTAATTTGACTGTTTTTTTGGCGATACACGCTACCGCACTAGTGGTAGTGCGTTCACTCTGCCAAGTTGAGCAACGTTGGGCTCGGTTAGTCTCGGGTTCGATCCCGGCTCGATGCAAGCTTTTTTTGCTTTCTTTGTTTTTACACTTTTTGAGTGAGAAAGGTCACGGGTTCGATTCCTCTAAGAATAAATCTTTTGCTTTCTCTGTTTTTACGCTTTTTAAGAAACTATATTCAATCTAAATATAAATGGAAAATGTCCGTCCGTGCAGCCGAAATCTCAGCCCCAAGTGAGCCGATTTAAATATTTTTTTATTAGATAGGGAATTTTATTTAGTTATGCATCTCAACTTTTAATATTTTTAGAAGCAAAAATAGGGGTCCTACGGGGGATCTAATGGTATCTACGGGGTACCTACTGGCGGTTGTGGGCGAGAGACGGTCGCGCTACCTACTAGGCCATGGTTACAAAAGGCGAAAATTTGCATTTTTCCCGGAAATTTCCCTTTTCCATTAACCATTTCCATTTCTATTCAATTAATTGATAGAATATCTTTTATATATATCTTTTATTAGCGTCAAAAGCGGGAGGGAAAGGACGGAAATTTCCCTTTGACTTGAAGGCTTCAACTATGCGTTAACCCCAAAATACCCAGCCAGAAAAACTCGTCGTTAAGCGGGTTTTTCGGCTTTCGGGCTTTTAAAATGACATTTCTTTACAAAGCTTATGTTTTAAAGGTTTAAAAATGACTATGCTTGAACTTGAATGAACTTGAAAGACTTAATCTTCTAAATTTTGAGATCTACGCCTCGCTAGACTCTTCCTTTTTGCCCCTCTACTTTCCCGCTCCTGCCTATCATCATCGAATCTTTTACATCAACTGGAAGAATAAACATTGCGTGCGAAAGTTTTTAGACGATTTTTGTTAGTTTTCATTATAGTTTATTACATTTTTCTGTTTTCATTATAGTTTATTGCATTTTTCTGTTTTCATTACACTTTATTTTGCATTTTGTGATCAATAATCGGGTGGATCAGTCTTCATTTCATAAAGGAATTCCAATTGAGAGAAAATGCGCCTCATTTGAGAAATTGAGTCGACAGAAACACCGTCTCATTTGGGAAAGCGTTTAATAATAAGGATAATAAGGAACGTTTAATAAACGAAATCCAACCTGAATCACAGCGATTCCACTGCTATAAACGTTCCACGCATCCTCGGGCATTGCATCCTTTGAAACATACCTGAAAACGATTTCAAAATGTCGTATTAATGAAAATGTCGTATTGAAGATGTCGTAAGTCTCAATTTGTCTTCAGACTTTTCAAATTCAAACCATTTATGCGTTGTATCTCGAATCACATTCCCTTGATTCAGCCGACACGTGAAACATCTCTCTTTTGATATCTTTTTAATTCTAATTTCCTCAAAGAGCCAAAAAATGTCAACCAAAATGTCATCTGAATAAAGAGATCATGAAATTATGAAAACACAAAGAACAAAGAGATTTTGAGCAAAAAAAAGTACCATCAATTTTCAAGACCAGCTCAGTGTCAGGGCAAAAATCGCGAACATAACGCATCCACATTAAATACTGAAACAAATGACAAGTTTACTTCAACATTTTAATCAAATTTCACCTTTATAGTCAAATTTCTATATGAATCCAAGAAATCGGCTTGAATTATGTCTTCATATTGAGCTGCTTCTTCTCGAAGGTTCGCCTCTTTTGTCAAGTTTTCACTCTTTCCCTCGGCAAAGAAAAGTCGATAGTTGAACTGAAATTAGGGACTGAAATTATGGACTGAAATTAGGAGCTGAAATTATGGACTGAAATTATGGACTTAAAACATTGAACTAAAGACTGCACTTTGCAGTATACCTTTATCTAAGCTTTCCAGTATAACTTTATCTAAGCTTTTACCATTTCCTGGTACTTTTTCTTTCCATAGGTTTCACGAATCGCTTTTCGATAGAGTGAGTACTGATTGGCGGAATGGACGACGATTAGGGTCTGAAATTTGATGTTTCTTTGCAATTTTGGAATAAAAAGTTAGCAGTTTTTAACGTTTCATCGCAAAAACTGATCCTGAAGTAGTATCATTTGAGCATTATTTAAAAGTCTACCTAGAATTGATATGAATTCTATTCAAATGCCATTATCAGAAAAAGGGTTAAAGAGAACACTTCTTTAAGAAGATAAGTAATAAAAAAGCGGATAAAAAGAAGATAAATAATAAAAAGAAGATAAAAAAGAAGATAAATAATAAAAAAGAAGATAAATAATAAAAAAAGAAGCTAAAAAAGAAGATAAATAATAGAAAGAAGATAAAAAAGAAGATTGTCAGCTCCAAGCCAAACTGATATTTTAGTTACTATTGTTATTATTGAATGATTTGTCTATTCTTATGCAAATGTGTCCTCCCCTGTGCTTATCCCTTTCATCGCCGAGAAGGGGATTGCCTAGGAGTGATTGCCTAGAGTCCTTGGGATTGCCTAGGAGTGATTGCCTAGAGTCCTTGAGATTGCCTAGGAGTGATTGCCTAGAGTCCTTGGGATTGCCTAGGAGTGATTGCCTAGAGTCCTTGAGATTGCCTAGGAGTGATTGCCTAGAGTCCTTGGGATTGCCTAGGAGTGATTGCCTAGAGTCCTTGAGATTGCCTAGGAGTGATTGCCTAGAGTCCTTGGGATTGCCTAGGAGTGATTGCCTAGAGTCCTTGAGATTGCCTAGGAGTGATTGCCTAGAGTCCTTGGGATTGCCTAGGGTGATTGCCTAGAGTCCTTGAGATTGCCTAGGAGTGATTGCCTAGAGTCCTTGGGATTGCCTAGGAGTGATTGCCTAGAGTCCTTGAGATTGCCTAGGAGTGATTGCCTAGAGTCCTTGGGATTGCCTAGGAGTGATTGCCTAGAGTCCTTGAGATTGCCTAGGAGTGATTGCCTAGAGTCCTTGGGATTGCCTAGGAGGACGAGTGAGACTTTCATTTGGAGTCCCCCCTTCCCCTTACACTTATTTGTAATCTATTCGTCTTATTATACTACTGTAAATAAAGATACATATCTTCCGGGCCTATGGAACTGCAGTACAGGTCGGTCATTTCACAGCTCCCCTCTAATACGTTGGAGGAGTTGAGTTGGGTTGTCGGGGTGTTAGAGATGGCGGGATATCAAAAGGGATCCACTCTCTTTAACTTAACCCAAATTCTAGTCTACATCCGTTTATACCTAGGAACGAATAAGATAAATAATAAAAAAGAAGCTTAAAAAGAAGATAAATAATAAAAAGAAGATAAATAATAAAAAAGAAGATAAAAGTAACGTAAAGCTAAGTCAAATTTGATTAAAACTTTTAAAAAATGAGCTTCAAAAGCTTTTGGAAGAAAACGTTTAAGAAAAGAGTCACAACAACATTCATTTCATTCTTATCAACGCATTCTATCATTCCTATCAACGCTTGTAAATGATTGAAAATTACAAGTTCAACCAACCGTCACATTTGGACCGCAAGTATTGTTCTTTGGCAACAATTTCCAAGCAAATGGTTGATAGAACTGAAAAATTTTTTCATTGAACAAATGAAAAGATGATTTACACGATGTCCAATTGTTGAATTGAAATTTTTTCGTTTTTCGGGAGGTTTTGGGTGTAAAAGTCTTTCTCTCAATTCGGCCACTTTTTCCTTGTCAATTTGAGGTTTTTCTAGCTTTTCAAGAAAAGCTTGATAATCCAAATCAACTTTTTTCTTTAAAGAACACTTTAAATGAACTAGTAGGAATATGGAAAAGATTAGGAAAATGCATAATAAAGTGTAGCGAGTAAGAAAAAGCATCACAATATGCTCATTCTTAGCATTGATTTTTTGGCGGAGATTTCCCCTCGTTTTATCAGATCCCTTGTAGACTCGGATGGCGAAAATAAGAAGGCGAAAAGATAAGGGAAAATCTGTGCGAAAGCTCGAATTTATGGGCTTTTTGAGATGAGTTGATTAGTGAAATAAAACCCTCACTTCTAGCAAAACCCTCACTTTCTCACTTCGGATTGTAAATCTGAGAATTCATAAATCTGAGAATTGTAATCTGGGCAAAAACTGAAAGATTACAAGATAGATTGATCTGAGAAAGAAAGCGATTTACTTTTAAACTGGATAGCCTGGTCAAATGAGGTGCGCCATAGACGATAGAAGGTGAGCCATAGACGATAGAAGGTGCGCCATAGACGATAGAAAGTGCGCCATAGACGATAGAAGGTGAGCCATAGACGATAGAAGGTGAGCCATAGACGATAGAAGGTGCGCCATAGACGATAGAAGGTGAGCCATAGACGATAGAAGGTGAGCCATAGACGATAGAAGGACCATAGAAGTTCAAACCAAAGTGTACATCTTGTTGGCGGCTGGGTAGTACTTAACCGGAGGCTTTGTGCCACCACCCTTAAACAATGCTCATGAGAAACTCTTTTAACAACGACTACCCATTGATAGTCGTACACGGCCTCGTAGTCGTGTCATCTTTGTTGACCCTCGACCACTTTCGAGCGATGAGCGATGAACCTCTGAATGTCAACATGATGTGGTGTCAACAATGACATGAACCACATACTAACCGACGCAGAATTTCACATTGATTCCGAATTTGCTTTCCGTTTTTGCTAAATAGCACTCTGTCAAAAGTTATAGGCGCTTAAAGTGTTTGCAAGGAGTTTGAAAAAGAAAAAATAGGCCTTAAAGCCTGAGCTTTCATATACAAAGAAGGGCAGTCGGGGCCGAGTGGTTGTAGGTTACGATACAAAGCAAGTTTGGTCAGTTTAGTTCCGGGGTTCAACTTTTTCTGACTGACTTCTGAAAGTCAGTTGACTTAGCGGGTTTGAAGCGGAGAACACGCAAGCCATTTAAACCTAACTAGGGATGCTTTTGAATTTACACCTCGGTTTTATTTGAGCCTCGGTTTCCTACAAGATATTCAGCTAACAAGCTACAAAACAATAAATGATTTGGGGCGCGAAATAGAATAAAGGCGCACGGATTTCCGCAATACTTTTCCAATTTTTAAGCTGTCAGAGTTAGGTAACTTTTTAGTGCCTATTCGCCAAAACAATTTTTAAAAGATAATGAGTTACTTGCTTCCCAAAATTTCTTTAATCTGAAAAATGAGCAAGTTTGGGAGTAATTTACGAAAGAAATGGGATAACTTGGTGAGAATTTTGGCAAATAAAGGGAAAATGTACAAATGTAATGTGTTGGGTAGTTGATTTTTCAATGATTTCAATGATTTTAAATGATTTCAATGATTTTAAATGCTTTAAATGATTTTAAAAGATTTTTTATGAGATTTGAGTGCTAAATAAACAGAGTTGCTTGATTTTGACTCTTTGAGATTCCTGTTTAGGTTTTGACGAGATTTTAGTTGCAGTTCTTAATAACTAATGTACTGTAAAGCATACTGTAGCTATAGATTGGACTATCAAACTAATTAAACTAATTAATATCTGAATTTTACATCGTTCAATCAAGCAACCCATCGGGAATCAAACCGGGAACCCTCGCACGGCAATGATCCGCGAAAATCTTCTCGCAAAACACCCGTTCTAGCAATTTTTTTGCGACGATCTCTGGAGAATCCGATAAATTTGCATATAAATTGTCTTTTTGTCTTTGTCTTTTTGCATTTTGTAAAGATTCCGTTCAGCTAATTGTTGAAGAGTCGCCCGTTTGCCAGAATTCATCTCAGAAAACGTTAGGAATAGATTCCGCAAGAGTGGTCCGGGCAGTTCAGTTCTCAAAGAGCGCTTCGAGTGGACGCAAAGAGTGGACGAGTGTTTCGTTGACTTGTTGACTTCGTTGACGAGTGTTTCGAAGATTTTCACATATTTTTGGAGACTTTCTTTCTCATTGCTTGGATTTGGGGGTTTCTTTGGCGGGGCTCGATGGCTGGGTGAAATGGTTGATGTTGAGGCTTGATCCTCTTCGTCAGAGCTCACAATCTCCCAACAAACGTTCGCGAGCTTCATTGTTTCTCCGGAAATTAGAATTGTTGGAATGATATTTTCAAATTAATTCAATTTTTAAGTCTTCAAACAGCAAGCTATCAGGCTGCTCGGAAAGTTTTGGAAGAAGCTCGGAAGGAAAGTTTTTGCTCGGAAAAAATGTTCCTGTTTGAGAAAATGTCTTTTCCAATGCTTGAGCGCGTTTCCTCCTTTGCCTTCATGAGTTTCTTGCTGCCCCTACGGACCGAAGTCCTTGGGATGAATCCAAAAATTCACAGCGGCTCCCTTCAGCACCCTTTTACAGGCACTTGGGATCCCATCTCGACCGACAGAGAACCCGCCATAATGGTCAAAATGAGCCGGAACTGGGTTGGCCAGTTCTACAACCGAGGTTAGTTTTGGGAAGCGGTGACCACAAGGGGCAGACAACGGATTGGTTACCGGATGACCCAAAATGGACCCTTCCGATTTGAGAGATGAAAAGGGAACTATATGAGGAAACATAGGATGCCAGAACGAGCGCGATTGTGCTCGCGCACGGAGAACAACCTGTCGATCTTTGTTTTTGCATTTTAAAGTTCAAAACTTCAAATTTTTGAACAGAAAAATCGTAGCGGGGGTTTTCGGGGTTGGAAAATTAACTGACAGTGTTATTTTTAATGTTTTTCTTGCCCCAAATCAATGATTTCAATACATCTCCCATTGAAGGATGGCTCTAATTTCTCAAGCAATATCTTATCTCTTCTTTCTCGCTCATGTTTTCCAATTTAAACTTTTTCAAACACCTCTCGAAAAGCTTTTCACCAAAAAAGCTAACCAACAGCTTTTCCAAGAGCTCTTTTCGTGAGTCGAGTTTCTCAAATTTTTTTTTGGGATTTTGGGAATTTTTGGGGATTTTTCGAAATATTTTTTCCATGAGAACGAAGCAATTAAAATTACTCCGGTTTGTGTCATTAGAAAGGTAAATTTGAAAGGTAAATCTGTGTTCTACATTGAGCTTCTCAGCGTTTTTGAAAAGCTTCAGTTTTGGCCATTTTTCAGGGATCCAAAAACAAGTAGTCAGAATCGTTAAAAATCGGTCAGTTGGCAACTTTTTTTTGTTCGAAAGTTAGCATTAATTTTTCGCTCAAATGAAAGCCCCAGCATTTACCGTATTTTCTCTAATAGTAGTGCACCATGAGCGTCGCCTAAATTTCTCTATATCTCGAGAACCGCTTATCAGAACCTATCGATGTGGGGTCGGAAAATGTAGCTGACGATGAGATCTAGTGGGGGATTAGAGTGTTGAGCTTCTGCAAAAGCTTGAAAACCGTAAAATAGTCATCAACTCGGCTCGCCGGGGTGCACTACTATTAGAGAGAATACGGTATAAACACTCGTCAAAAAGAATTTAAGAGGCGCATGCCGGAGTGGGGAAGCGTTTGAGCAGCTTCCAAACGGCTTCCAATCAGCTTCCAAACATCCAAACGGGTCGCTATCATGCGGTCAGTTAAGCCGTCGGCTTTTTGGACCTTATATGGATATTTGTGAAGCTTCTTGTGGACAATCGAGCGAACAGATCCTTCGGAAATTTTCTCTTCTCGGGCCATTTGCCGCATCGACCTTCTTGGGTTCCTTCGAATTCTTTCTCGGATTCGTTTCACAATTCCTGGAGTAGTGGCTGTTTTTGGCCGTTCCGAACATGGGCGATTGTTTGCCGAATCGATAAGCTTCATTCTCTACAGGTACATTCTCTACAGCTCTCTCTACATTTCTTGTAAACGGTGCTCTTTGGAATGGCGAGTTTGTCGGCGATTGTTAACGGTCCTACTCCGGACTTCGATAGACGCTCAATGGCTGGTTGAAGATTCGCAGCCATCTAAATAGTTATGTTAAGAAAGAAAGTAATAAAATAAAATGCAAAAACAAATACATCTGGTCAGCAAACTAGAAGATCGCCTAAAAAAGCATACGCGATTGGATTTCAGGAACTTTTTACGCACCCTGTATATGCCCTGTACTTAAACAGATTCACAATTTTAAGCTGATCGACGGGCAAATCAGATCCACTAATCGCAGGCAAATCTAGCTCTATTTTCAAATTTTAAAGACTCAACGTCATTTGCTCACCATTTCCCATTCACCAGCTGCAACCGTCTACTACCAACCACGATAACTTGCGCTATTTCTTAAGGAAAGACTTTCATAGACAAATCCCAGTCAAATTAAGAAACATATCCCACTCAAGCTGGTATAATTATAGGTCAATGCGTGAAATGTGCTGCACAAAAAAAATAGTTGAATCTATTGTATGAAAGGTGTGCGAAAAGGGAAAGAAGAAAGGCAGAAAAGAAGAAAAGAAGAAACCCGTCCGCTTTTCTCTTTCAAATCTTTGAGAATAGGTCGATCTCTACCCTCTCCAAATTGAACACACATCAAATCCATTTCGATTTTTCTTTACATGATTTGTTATTTTTGTTTTATTATTGTATTGTTATTGTTGCTTATTGTTGTTTATTGTTACTTATTGTTGCTTATTGTTGCTTATTGTTGCTTATTATTGCTTATTATTACTTATTATTGCTTATTATTGCTTATTATTACTTATTATTACTTATTATTATTACTTACTTTTAAGCTTCAAGCTATTCTATTGGGTTGGTGAATTGAAAACTGCGGGCTATTGTCATATGTGACAGTTTGAGCACTTTCTTCAAAAGAAACCCATTTTGGTGTCAATGGAAAAGTGGTAGAGAATCAAAAATTAAGCTTATATCCAAATTTTCAGAACGATTCAAAAAATGGCTTTCTAGAAATGCCGAATTTACGAATTTTCACAAAACTTGCATTTTAAGCGAAACTATTAAGTGTATCTTTTTGGAAATTTGGATATAAGCTTAATTTTTGATTCTCTACCACTTTTCCATTGACACCAAAATGGGTTTCTTTTGAAGAAAGTGCTCAAACTGGGAGTCCAGTCCTCCATTCTCAAAGCCCAGTCCTCCATTCTTGAGTCTCACACTTGTCTCACACACAAACCAAAATCCTACTACGAAAGAGGAATCCGCAAATTGCCTGTAAAATGGGCAGAAGTCGTCAATAATAATGGAAATTATTTCGAATGAATTGATGGTTTTATGTTGAATTAATTTTAGTTCAAAAGTCCCGCAGTTTTCAATTCACCAACCCAATACTTGAAAAATCTAGTTGATCAATCAACAGATTGATTTGTTGATATTGCTTTATTTGCTTGTCTTTTTTTCCTTTTAGTCATTTATTCTAGTGTTGATGCAACTATCCTCACAAGCAAGCCACTCAGAAGCCACCGATGCCAATCGAAAACCGTTTATTTCAAGCACAACTTTGCGATTTCTTTTCTCATTGATTGTCGTAATAATGGTGAATTAAAGCTGAACAGCTTACAGCTTAAAGCTTAAAGCTACAGCTGAACAATTAAAGCCAAGTTACAGCTGAGCTTACAACAGCTTTATTTTTAGTCTCTATATGGTAAAAGCTTTTTCGATTCACCGGAGTCAAGCGTAGCACAAGTCGACAAAAATTTGAACACAAACTTTTCTACAATGACACGAGAAACATTCTTGGATAAGTTGGCGGTTAGTTTATGCAATATTATTTAAAAGTTTGATGAAAATCAGGTTTTCTGTGATTTGATGAAAATCCGGTATTCTTCTATAGTATTCCTTTTTATTTCCTTCAAACTCTTGAAGCTACCCTAAAGTCTCGAGTATAAGTTCTGCCTTAATTTACCTTTGCTTTAATTGCTTTGAATTTCTTTTTGTTGGGTTTTTATTTTTATTGTTATATAAACTTTTATTATTGTTCTTGGAGCGCGGGATACTACAGGGTGACAGCCTATCACCATTGCTATTTGTTATGTGCATGGATACATCCAGACGATAGTGTTGAAGAAGACGCTGGAAAGCATCTCTTTCGACCGTCGACGTGGACTTTGGCCGGATGAAGAGGCCAGGGAGGGATCCATAAGACTGAGCACCGGAGTGGAGCAGGGCGGACGCGCCGAGCCACGCCCGGAGCAACAAATAACAGCATAAAATTGCTATAACCCTCAATAAATTTACTTCTATTATTGTTCTTAAAAAGCAAAAAAGTTATGCTGCAGCGGGGTTCGAACCCTCGACACACCGACAGCCGACAGCCGTCAATTTGCATGCGAAAACCAAACAGAACTTATACTCGCGACTTTAGGGTAATAATATTCACTTTCACTATTAATAACTGAACACTTCATATTCCAGCATATTGTGTAATTTTACGCTTTAGAAAATCTAAATCTAGATAGGAATCTAAATGCAAACTTCTAGGAACAACTTGGTTGGTATGGAGCGGATCGAGGAATCTTTTGCCACAGAGAAGATTGCTTTTATGTCAAAGACACTTTTGGAGGAGTTACAGCAAGGTTGAGCTTCGAAAATCCTTTAGAACATATTCATTTATCTAAAGTTGATTCAATTCAAAATGATTCAATCATTTCAGAGATCGACCAGTTCGATCAATCTACATCTACGGCTTTTACACGGTGGCTGTTTCCCAAGCAATACTCAATATTCCGACACGTAAAATCGCAGAAATAGCTTTATTTTCAACTGTTCAGTGTACAATGATGGCAACTTGGACACATCAAAATGGTCGATTAACAAAAGCTTTGTTCAACCAATCGGATACATGTTTCCGACGGTTTCTGGGATTTTTGCCTCACGGGCCTTACCGAATGATGGTGAGTATCGGTAGAAAGTTGTTTTCTATGAAAAGCTCCACCAACGGAGCTAGTGAGAGGTCAGAGGTTCCTTCAACTTCTAGTTCAAAATCTTAAGTCATTGGCTCAAAGTTGGCTCAAAGTTGGCTCAAAGCTGGCTCATTGGCTGAAGGTTGGCTCAAAGTTGGCTCAAAGCTGGCTCATTGGCTCAAAGTTAGCTCAAAGTTGGCTCAAAGTTAGCTCAAAGTTGGCTCAAAGCTGGCTCATTGGCTGAAGGTTGGCTCAAAGTTGACTCAAAGCTGGCTCATTGGCTCAAAGTTAGCTCAAAGTTGGCTCAAAGCTGGCTCATTGGCTCAAAGTTAGCTCAAAGTTGGCTCAAAGCTGGCTCATTGGATGAAGGTTGGCTCAAAGTTGACTCAAAGCTGGCTCATTGGCTCAAAGTTCTCAAAGTTGGCTTAAAGCTGAAGCTGATTGGCTCAAAGTTGGCTTAAAGCTGGAGCTGATTGGCTCAAAGTGGAGCTGATTATGAGTCAGTAACCTTCAATAACCAGCTGTTTTCAGAAACAACCAACGGAAATGTTCTCTTTATCGGACTTGGCGGAGGAACGCTGAACAACTTGTTGACAGCCGGTTTTCCCAATGTATTCAAGCATTGTCTCGTTGTCACCTCAAAAACATTCAGATAAACGTAACGTCTGTTGACAACAATCCGGTGATGAAACGTTTAGCTGTTGAGTTGTTTGATAATGTTGAAAATGAGAAAAACCATATTGTGATCGGCGATGGAGTCGAGTTTATGAAGAATGAGACGAAAAGAGGTAAAGTTGCACCTTTTACTGAAGATTTGAGCTGATTGTGAGTCAACTTGTGCTGAACTTGTGTTGAAACTATGGGCAGAACTAAAAATATTCTTCCAGGAGCTCAATATGATGCAATAATCGGTGACGTTTGTTACAATAACGGGGATAAGCCGAATATTTGCCCAATTGATTTGTTTTTGAATGATGATGTCATTGAAATTTACAAGAAGCTACTGAAACCAACAGGTTTTCAGACTTGCTCTGCTAATAATTGCCAAAAATCTTCAGGTTTTCTTGCTCATAATGTTGTAGCTAAAGGTGAGATTGAGATGCAAGACGAGATCATTCAAAATGTAGGTTTCAAGAATATTTTATATTAGTTAATTATCATTCTACAAGATTTTAGATACTAAAACTCCATATGAAACACTTTGGAGAGGAGAATTGTGTCATGCACAAATGTCATTCGATCAGGAATTTTGTGAGTTTCCCTGTGATCTTGTGCTCTTGGATTTGCAAATGATTTTGAAGAAAATGGAAAACGAGTCCATTAGAAAAGATATATTTCCACTTTAAGCACAAGAATACTTGGAAAAAATACTCATTTTCAGGGTTATAAGACTTGAATTAAAAGTTTCGGACAAAGTTCAACTCTTACAATAGTTTATGCTGTAACTAACTAGTAAGCACTACAGTTCTATGTCTGTTCAACTTTTATTTAAAGAAAGGGTCCGAATTAGGACCGATTCTCACTAAAACCAAATTGGCGGTAGTTGGTCCAGAATGGTCCAGAATGGTCCGGAGTGGTCCAGAATGGTCCAGAATGGTCCAGAATGGTCCGGAGTGGTCCAGAATGATCCGGAGTGGTCCAGAATGGTCCAGAATGGTCCGGAGTGGTCCGGAATGACCCAGAATGATCCAGGGTTGTGCGGAATGGTCCAGAATGATCCAGAATGGTCCGGAGTGGTCCAGAATGGTCCAGAATGGTCCGGAGTGGTCCAGAATGGTCCAGAATGGTCCGGAGTGGTCCGGAATGACCCAGAATGATCCAGGCTTGTGCGGAATGGTCCAGAATGATCCAGAATGGTCCGGAGTGGTCCAGAATGGTCCAGAATGGTCCGGAGTGGTCCAGAATGATCCGGAGTGGTCCAGAATGATCCAGAATGGTCCGGAGTGGTCCAGAATGGTCCAGAATGGTCCGGAGTGGTCCGGAATGACCCAGAATGATCCAGGGTTGTGCGGAATGGTCCAGAATGATCCAGAGTGGTCCAGAATGGTCCAGAATGGTCCGGAGTGGTCCAGAATGATCCGGAGTGGTCAGAATGATCCAGAATGGTCCGGAGTGGTCCAGAATGGTCCAGAATGGTCCGGAGTGGTCCGGAATGACCCAGAATGATCCAGGGTTGTGCGGAATGGTCCAGAGTGGTTCAGAGTGGTCCAGAATGGTCCGAAATGGCCCGGAATGGTCCAGAATGGTCCGGAGTGGTCCAGAATGGTCCGGAGTGGTCCAGAATGGTCCAGAATGATCCAGAGTGGTTCAGAGTGGTCCAGAATGGTCCGAAATGACCCGGAATGATCCAGAGTGGTCCAGAATGGTCCAGAATGAGCCGGAATGGTCCGGAATGATCCGGAATGGTAAATCGGCTCAGTCTCTCACTACTCCTTTCCCTTTATGGATTCCAAAAAGGCACCCCTATACCGGAGGGGTTTGCCCGATAGCGAGCGGTTATACGGCCGCACAAAGACCACCTTGCAAGTCGTTTTGGCCTCTTTCTTCAGGGACTTCTCTTTTGCTTTGTAGATGATACAAAGAAAGATGTTGCGTTCTACTGTTAAACTGTTAACTACTATCCCCATTTGTAGACAATTTGGTTTTAGTGAGGTCCTAATTCCTAAATCGGTCCTAATTCTTTGTATCCTAATCCCTCCTTTAAGTCCTACTGTATTTCGAGCCTCGTTTGTAGCTCTCTTGATCGTAGAGAAGCCTGTAACAAGCCGGCTTTGAGGACTCATTTGAAAAATCTGTTTTGTTAACTATTTGTTAACTAAACTCAATAGTAAACGGACTTTTCAAAAACCACTTTTTGGTTTTAACTGTATTTATATGTATCAAAATCAAAATCCAGGTCCTGATGTGTCGCTCAATCGGTTTCCCATCGAAAGACGACTATCGACGCGTCGAAGAAGCGTTCGCTGATCGTTTTGAATACACAATAGTCGAAAATGAACAATAATCTCATGTGAATTTTGATATACGGGTCGATAATATTAAATATTTTATAAGTATTTATTTCTATCGAACGTCTATCATCAGTCAAATAACAAGCAGACTACCAAATATCACACAGAAAAGAATTGAGCAGATCAAGTGAGTTCCGAAATATAAATTTGCATGAAAATTATGTATAAATCAGATTAATATCTGTTAACTTTAACGAATATCTGTATTTATATAAAACCTGAACCTGTAACAATGATGAGCAAGAGTTTAGAATGTTTAGATAACAAGGGGTTACGGTAAGAGACTAAAAATTGCACTTGAGGATAGAGGATAAAAAGGAAATGATAATAAATTGGGTAATAAATTAGTTAAGAGTTCATTTCATGTCTTTGACTACTTATCCTTTGTGTTCTGGGTCTTTGAAGTAGGCCTCACAGTAGTCCATGACGTGCTGAATTTGGTCACAAGAGGCGTCACTAAATAGTGATGTTAAGTCAAGAGATGATATGCAAAAATCCTAAATAAACTTATCTATGTCTATTTTTAAGAAAATTAAACCAAAATGGGACTGGAATTTCAAATTACATTGCTCGGTAGGCCTAATCATTGCTAAAGAACACTGTAACGTTCTAGTCAGTCTGTATCTCATATCCTTGACTGACTAAAAGTACTCAAGGCAAAGCTTTCAATTGCATCCAAAAATACTCAGCCTTGGCACCTGAACACTTTTATTTAGGTTTCAAACTGAAACGAGCTGGTGAGCTTGTCTTCCAAGTGGCTTGTCTTACACTCTGTCAAAAAATTATAGACGCAGTTTATTTAACGATTTATTCTATCGATAATTGTTAGTTTTTGTTTGTTTTTTTGCTTATTAATTATGTTTGTGTTTTTTTCTTCATTTTCAGACATGCCACTTGGAAAACAACTGGATGTGGTGGACAAAACGCGCGTCGATGTACTCCACACGCTTACAGGAACATTGCTCGCCGCATTTGACGTTCTGAGAAGTGTATTCGAACGTATCTCAAGACCAAAGTGACTCCTAAGAAGAAAGAAACACGGGGCTGGAAGAAAAAGTCGACAAATGAGACGAACGAGCAATTACAAGAGCAATTTCCAACGCGCCGATATTGCTCGGAGAGGTTCGCAAGGAGATGAAGCTTCCGGTGACTCGCCAAACTGTGCACAACGTGACCAAAAGGTTTCCAATACTCAAGCACAAACTCGTGAAACAAGCTCCACGATCGAGCAATTACAAGACGTCTTTCCAACACGACAACAACTCGAAGAGGTTCGCAAGGAGATGAAGCTTCCGGTCACCCGCCAAACTGTGCACAACGTTGTCAAACGATCTCCAATACTCAAGCATGAACTCACGAAACAAGCTTACACGACTTGCAGAAGATCATAAAACCGCCCGTGTCGACTTCGCTATCGACTCTGTAGCTCCCCTTCTCAAACATTTTCTTCACTCACTTATAGAAGCTGGCAATGAGGCCACAGTTTGTCCGAGCGAATCCTTTCATGTCATCAATTGCGAAAGCTCTCGAAACGCCTTTGATTGAGAGACACAATTGGTTAAGCTGCTGGTATGTGAGATCGCCGTGTCCTCCGCCTCTTGGATCGGTGATTCCCTAAATGATTGGGATTTAGAAGATTTAGAAGATTCATCCTTGAGCAAAGCACTTGGCTAATATTTTATCTAATTCTTATAGCAAATCCCGCCTCAAAACACTTACAAACATATTTCCTTTTGTTGCGGGGAGTCCAGGTGGGACTAGCCCACTCAATGCACCCATTCCACCCATTCCACCGCCGAGCCCCATCATTGCTTGGAAGGGATTCGTGGCTCCTCCAAGTCCTCCAAATGAAGACGGCAATTGTAGATTCTTCAATGGCACTGATTGGGATGATTGGGATGGTTGACTTGGTGCAACAGGTTGATTTGAAGCAATCGGTCTACTGATTGGCATTGTTGATTGATGGGCTGGTAGTGGCTGAATAGGAGCTGATTTCGAAAAGCAATAGAGTCAAAAGTCTTTAAAATCAACTATTTTTAAGTAGTATCTTAAAGTTTTCTAAGCTTTCTTACCCCTTGAAGAACTTGTGGCCCAGAGGGGATCGCTCCGTACATAGCGGTCATCAACGGGACAGGCTTAGCACCTGTATCGAAATCCCTTGGTACAGGTGTTGGCGGAGCTGCCTCTTCTCCATTTGGCATCATTCGTGGCCTTTGTTTCAATCCCTGTAAAAGCTTCTATAGACAATTTATAGTTAATAGATTATAATGATAATTATCAGTACCCGCAACAAAATCGATTGCAAAGTGGTTGTCTCCTCGGAGCTGTCCGTGACAGTTTTTGTCTGATTCGCCGCCCATTCTCGATAATATTGTTCATAATATTCCCTGGCCGTTTCCTGTGACCATTTCTTTTCCTTTCTTGGTTTATCTAAAAGCTTTTTATAAAGCACACAATTTTACAGTACTTGATTTCTTTGCTTTCGTGACTCTTGTGGTTGATTGGGTGGTGGTCTCCCAAGATCCCTTGAAAGTCGCTTCGTTTGGATCAACCTCGGTGATTTCTTCTTCATTCACTGGGAATACCTAGAAAAAATTGAGATATTTAGTGCGCTAGAAAGGGTGCATTTAGAGCTCAAAGTATAACCTTCAGTGTTGCGAATCCGGTCTGCTTCTCGGTCTCCTCTTTCTCCGGCTCCATCATCGGATTGTAAGTGTTTAGGCCGTGAATTTTCGTTCTAAAACATAACAATCATTAAAGTAGTTAGCTCCGCAGATAACAGTAGCGTAGTTAAATTTCAATTCCACTCACTTCTCTCCACTGTCCTTATGAGGAGTGATTTTTGTGGCAAAGTTTGGTGCTCGGCTCAAAATCTTGTCGGCAAACGACTCTTCCTCCTAAAGGTTTAAAAGAATTAAAAAGAAATTCAACTATAAGCACATTTGGGAGCCTAAGAAATAAATATATTGCTTCAAATATCTGACCTCAACTTGGGGAAGCGGTTGTGGTCTTTGGAATTGTGGTGGCTCAACCTCGACGTGGTTCATCGGCGTCTCGGGAACTCGCATTGAGTCGGGGATTGGTGGGAGCTGTTGTCTCTTAAAATGAGTTAATTAGTTAAGAAGCTGGGCCTGGATCCACAAAACTACCATCTAGCAATTTTGCTAACCAAATTTAGCAGTTTAGCATTTACGACCTACTTGCTCTCCCTTTGACCGCATCTTCTTTTGCCCTCCTCTTCCTGGCCCTTTCCGTTTCTTCAACAAAGCTTTACTCTTTACATCATCAGCATCATTTTGTTGCTCATCCTAAACAAGTTTTTTTTGCTTATCTTTTACCAGTAGTTAACCATCAGCCAGCCATGTTAACTCCGCCTCTTTTTCGGTCCTTCGGTTCTTTTGCTTTTGGTTCTTTTGCTTTCATTCTACTCGAAATCAAATTTTCTATCGAATGAAAACAAATTCAACGTTTTTCAAACAAACGCGGCTAAGATACGAGCAAAATTCGTAGATTGCCAACGGCAAACAGACCAAAAAAAGAGGCTGAGTTAACATGCCTGGCGGTTAATCGCTGGTCAATTTGAACCGACGCATAGTTTACAGGAGTCAAAGTTGGGTATTAATTGTTAGTAAATGCACTACAGGTCATTATTTTACTACTGAATTTACATTTCAATCGCTAAACAGAGCTTGAGAGGCAAATTTTACCGTTTACCCGCAATCCTTTTAACCCTCGCTTTCGACCCTTTAAACCTTTCGGTCTTTGACGTTTTCTCAAAAGATCAAAATGTTTCGAAATGTTTCTAGAGCCAAAAAGTTAAGTATATTTTCCTTAATCTAGAGAAAATGAGCCAAAAATGCATTTTTAAAGTACCCCTAGGCGACCTTTGATCTCGCCGCTAAGTTAAGTTTTTTCAACGTTACTCAAAAACGGTTAAAGATTTCTCAATTCTGTTTTGATAGGTCAAAGCGCCGTCGTCGATTACATAGTGTCCCAAAAAATCAGAATGAAATCTCTACTGGGACTCGAGTTATGAAGTGAACAGAGAGACACACACAAACATTGCGTCTTATAATGAGTAAGAATATCAAATCAAATCAAAGATTATCTTGTACCTCTTGTTCACTCTTCTCATCTTCTTTCATTGATAGATTTTTCTCAATTCTTTCTTGTGCTTTGAGTTCTTCTTTCTTTTGTCGGATCGCCTCTTGGAGACGTTCCAGCTCGGCCTTTTTCTCGTTCACTTGACGCTCCCTTTCGTCTTCGATTTCTTTCAATCGTTTGGCTTCTTCTTTTTCTAAATTTAGATATTATACTCTGGACATGGGCACTGCAAACTACAAATGTAAACTACAAACGCTTCTAACTTGCTTCAAAACGGCTGGATTGACATGATCTATAGCTTAAAAAAATAGAGAATCCTAAGTGCTTTCGAATGGACTAAAGCACACTCAAAAATATCAATGGTAAAGAATTTAATTGACTATTAGTATTGAAGCACTTATCATAGTTAAAAAGCCAAACAAATTACCCCTTTCCGCTTCCAATCTCTCCCGTTCTTTCTCCTCGTTCGCTAATCGGATACGCTCTCTTTCTTTTGCTAAATTCAATCGATTCAAGAGGATTAAAGATATTTAATCGTTTAAAACTTTTAAAAACCAAAACTACGTAAACCAAAACTGATCTACTAACCCTTTTCAGCTTGTTGCCGCTCTCGTTCAGCTTTTCTCTCCTTTTCCAAGAGAATTCGAGCCTCTTCCATTGCTTTCAACCGTTTTTCTTTCGCTTTTTCTAAAATTTATTATTGTTAGTTGAATTTTATAAGTATTAATTCTTTAGTTTACAAAAATAACTCTAAATCTTAAAGCTGAACCAACCTCTAGCAGCTTGCTCTTTCTCCAACTCTGCCTTTTGCTCGACGAGCCGAACCCGCTCATCTTCCATTGCCTTCAATCGCCGAGCATCAGCTTTTTCTTAAATTGTCTCAACGTTTGATTTTTATTATATTTTGAAAATCTAGGATATAGATTTACTTAAAATCCTAAAATCTCTTGAACATCTATGTTCTATGATAAAGATTCATAAAGATGGCTCAACTCTTCAAAAAGCCTTACCCCTTTCTGCTTGTTTAACGATCTCCTCCTCAACCTGGCGCCTCATTTCCACCTCTTCATCTGAAAATTTACCACGATTTGCCGATTAGAAGATAAAATCTTAAAAAATATATTTACGATTAAGAAATTGAATAAAATTACTTGACACTTCTCTCCATTCCTCGTCCTCTCCTGAAACACTTGCTTCCATTGTCGTGGCCATTGTCGTTGTGCTTCTCAACTTTTTGTACTTTCTCCTTCGTTTCTTCTGAGCAAGTTCTTTTTCGATTTGGTCAGCAATATCACTCTCATCTTTCTCTTTCTTGTCCTAAATGGGTGAAACGAGTTAGAAAAGTGTTAGTAAAGGGAAAAGAGCAAATTGCAGAACTACCTCAGCTGAAGCAGATTTCATATACTCTTTCTCGACGATGAGTCGCTTGTTTTGTTCGAAATGATCGTCGAAGAGCTCTCGTGACTTTTCCAGGGATTTTTCAATGTCTGGTTTCTCGATTCCGAAGACTTGACGTAACTCGGGTGGAATTTCGCGAGGAGCTGTCTAAATTTTGACTCACTTTTGTTAAAAATAAGGCTTTCAAAGCTATAGACTAGTAAACTTGATGGCACTGAGGAAATTTATGAGTAGAATTTCATCAATTTTTTGTTAGGAGAGTGAAAATATGCTTAAAATGCTGTAAAGTGATGTCAGATTCTTATTTTACTCCAAAGACAAAGTCATCATCGTCAAGACCGAATAGTTTTTAAAACCATCAACTACAGCTAGAGCTAAAGCTAAAGCTAAAGCTAAAGCTAAAGCTACAGCTAAAGATATTCAACTTGACACCTGCCACTCAATTCAATCAAACTTTACTGTACCTTTAATGTTAACAAAAAGAGAAACTCATGGAATATAGTACAATAGACAAATCAAGCTCACCGTCACACTGATCACCACCGGCTTGACGGTATTACTCATTTGGTACTTCTAAAATTGATCATTTTGTACTCATATAAGTTTCCAAATGTTTCAAACCCTGTGCTTTCTCCTTTGCTTCTTAATCCTCATCTCACTGCTTGTTGTGGTGATCGGCTCTTCCGTTGTCGCCTCAACACTAGCCTCTTTAGTCTCAAATATTGGTCGATCTCCTCCACCACCAATTCCGAATGATCCAAATGCGGCTCTCAACTCGGGCGGGATTTCATTTGGGGCCTAAATAATTCAAATATATAAAAAGTAGGTAATAGAAACGATTACAAATAACCTTGCTATATTATTGACTTAATTTTTATGTAAAAACCAACTGGAGGAGCTCGGCCATCAGTTGCGAACTCTTCGACCGGAAACGGTGGAGCCTAAATTTTTCATCGTTTAGAGAGTCGATATGTACCGTAAATACTGTAATAGCACCCCACCCCCATAATGACGGTGCGGAGTGTTGCGTAGTCTAGCTTTGAACGAGTTTTTCTCGACACTGGTCTATGCTACAATGCGCGCTTAGGTATCAAAAAATAGCCCTGAATTTCAGCTATTTTTTGATACCAAAGACGCATTTTTTGAAAGTACGGGCGCTTTGAAAAAAATGAAATACTAAAAAACCTTTGCGACTAGGCGACTGTACGAAATTGATCTCGGCGAATTGATCTCTGACTATTAGTTAATATGCAAAGTTTGAAATCTAAGCGGATCGACACTAAGGTTTAGATTAATTTTAATTTAGTACAATTAATAAAGTAGTTAGAGTCAGTATCACATCAAAAAAAACTGATCAACTTACTTCCGTCGTTGTTGTCGTTGTTGTCAATGGAGGCGGCCTTGTCGGTTTTGGATTCCGTGGACGAGTCCTTTTCTCTTCACTCGTTCTTTTTAATTCCCGAGAGTTTCTCTGGTGCTTCCTCGGATGCACCACTGGAGTTCCATACTCAAGGATTTTTGAATCATCCGTCTAGAAGGCTTTTTTGAAAGAATGAAACTCTTTGAATTACCTCTGGCGCCCCCTCGACTCCTTCACCGGCATATGGGATCAGTTGGGGCTGAAATTAAGTTTTAGCTAGTTTTTTTAACTTTGAGCCCAAGCAAATTGTTCCCTGTTTTATCAGCTGTCTGACTTTTGGGGTTAAAGTTTTGTTTTTTCAAAGACTGTGCCTGGCAGACTTTCAAATGAAACAAAAACATCTATCTACAGGGTGTCCGAAAAAAAAGTGGTCATCGGTTTGAGTCTCTTGTTGGTAAAAGTTTCTTGTTGATTTTTCAAGACCCATCGTGGTTTCAAAAATTCCAATCATTTCTCCTCAAAAGCTAAATCTCATGCACACACAGATTTCGCGCCGGTTTTTCGGATATTACGTGAAAGGGGGCGATTGACTCGGAAATGGGAAAGGCGAAAATTTGAAGCCGATCGACTATCATCGGCAAACTGGCTTGGATAAAGGTGCATATGATGAGAAAAAGACGAACAAATCCTTGTGAGATTCGATCAGTGGAGTGGCTGCTTTTTAAGGAAGCTCAAATTGATTGCCTTTTTGTTTCGTTGATGATTTATATGTTATTTTTATGCTGGATTGAGATAAACGAGTAAGAGAGGAAAAGCTGAAAAGAAACAAGTAAGAGGGAAAGAAAAGGAAAGGTTGGGAAAAGAATCGGTTTACTATTATTGAGTTTCAAGGTTTAAAAGCCAAAAGATGCATTTAGCGGTACTGTTTGTTTATATCTTGTGTCCAAGCTTCACTTTGGCTTGTCGGTATTCAGGCTATTCAGTCTTTACAGGCTAGTGGCTGTAAAGGCGCCTAGTTGGGTCTGTGATTCGAGAGTTATCAACTGTTAGCTGTTTTCTTTTCTTAAGTTTACGAAGAATCCTATTAATAAGCTCAATATTGTGCATATCAATGAGCATTTAGAAAAATCAGATCCGGAGTTGACTCTAGAAAAGGGAAGAGTCTAATGAGCAAGTAGCATTGGCTAGACAAAATGCGGCATTTATCGATTAAACCTACAACAGCTAATCTACAACAGCTAACCTACAACAGCTAACCTACAACTTGTGTAAAATATCCACAACAATTCTAATTCATCTCCATTTGGCTTTTTTTATTGCCGATCAAGTGACTCGAGAGAGAAGTGAAGCGAGAAATTCAGGCTCTTTTGTGCCAATTTCAAAGGAATGACTCTATCCGGCTTTCCTTTAGCCTCACGTTTTTTCCCGTGCAAAGTTTTCCCAATCCCTTGCAAATTGCCGTAGAAAAAGAGTAAAGAGTCATCACTTGATGCTCAGAACTTGTGGATTTTGTTTTTTGCGAAGTGAAAAGCACGAATTAGGGTATTTGGCAGGGGTTTTATAGAAAAATTGTGGAAAACGAGCTCTATTAGTCAAAAATTCTAGAAAAACTTGTGGAAAAAAGACTCTATTAGTGAAAAGAAAAGTGAAAATGGTTGAGATGTACGGGGTATGGGGAATGGAAAAAGGAAACAATGGTCAGCAGAGAAAAGGAGAGAGTATAACAAATTTTCAGTACGATAGGAGCCTTTTCAGGACTGTAAGAATAATTTTGAAGCATAATTGTTATTATTGTAAGTCTAATTGTAATGCTAATTGTAATGCTAATTGTAAGTCTAAGATGGATTTCAAAGCTTCCTAATGCTCAGCGAATCTCAATGACACCCGGACAAAAGAACCAATTTTGTCAGAACCAATTTTGTCAGAACCAATTTTGTCAGCCCAATTTTTACAAATCCTTCCCTATTCAAATTTTTATAACAACAAAACTCTAATGAATGAAGTTCTGTAACAAGGAAAGATTTTGATATATAAGTTTTAATTCTTGAAATTCACCTGATCATCATCAAAGTTCTCGAATCCGACAGAAACCTTTCCAGTGTAGTAATTTCGAAGACCTTGTCCGTTGTGCTAAAAATGAATTACTCAAATTCTTTCTAAACTTCAATACTTCAGATGCCGCTACAAGCAGCGGTCCCAAGAGGATCCACAAGATCCTCATATTATTGTAGAAAGTCTTCTACTATGATGCCTTCACTTTGCGGATCGGTCTCTAAAACAGTTTTTTGTCTAGTTTTAAAGTTGTAAAGGTGATCAGAAAGAAAGCCAAAAAACCCGGAGCTAACGTTTGATGGCTGGATCAATGAAAAGAAAATAAATGTTAGATCGGATCTCGGTACAAGACTCCCGCGGAAGGGCGGACAATCAAAGGAGTCCTATGACGGCAAAACCGGAGCCTTCACAAGAGGACGAGGTCTATTCCAGAGATTGGTGTTTCTGTTTTCAGGCTAAGGCAGGGGAAAATAAATGAGAGAAATGCCAGATGAGGCAGGGGAAAAGAAGGAGCGAAATACCGGAGATTCGACTTTGGAAAGGGGTGAGTGAAAGGCTGAAGAAGGGGAAAGGCGGAGAACACCTTTCGGTTCGATTTTCGGTCCATCCCTCTTCAATTTCTTGAAACTGAAGTCCTTTTAGAGTTTTGAAAAACTCTTTTTTCTAGAGTTTGTTTCTCTGGGTGTGAAAGCTTAGTAGTGAGTTTTGTGCAAGTGAAAGGGCAATATGACCTTTGCTCAAAAAATTGTTGACTTGGTTGGACAAGATCTAGATCTCGATGAACGGGTTCGATTTGAGATTAACTTGTCGAAAAGTTGAAGAGTTTAGGAATAGTTAGCTAAAGGGATAAAGTGGTTAGAGATAAGGTACTTGTGTTTCTGACTAGAGTGTGTTGAGATCGTACAAATAATTATTTGGATAATTTTGAGCAAATAATTCTTTATCCAAATAAATTGGTCAAATAATTGTTGGATAATGACATTCTAAAATGCACTATCTTTTTGCTTGCGTATATAGACGCGGACATGATTATTTTGCAATCACTTTCATTTTCGGGGTAGGCTAATTTCCGCCATTTTATTTGCGCAACAGGGTCATTTGCTCAACTCGCCATAGCTTTCTTCTAAGTGACACAATCTTTATGATTTTGTCACTTAGAAAAAAGTTATGGCGAGTTGCGCAAAAAGCCTAGTTGCGCAAATGACCTGTTGCGCAAATAAAATGGCGGAAATTAGCCTACCCCTCAGTTTCGTCTTAAGTTTTCAAGTCGATATGTTATTAATAGTAAGTTTGTGTTTTGTTTTACCATAATCTTTTTGCTTTCTATGTTTTTATTTTAGATAACAACCGGCAAAAGAAAAGAAGAAGTAGAAAGCGGCGCAACAACAGGACAGTTTTTTTCTGAATATTTTTCGTAATGTAAATTTACTGGGGATTAAATGTGTCTTTTCAGAGATATGAGCAAGAAGTAACTGTGATCAAATAAAAGCGATGACAAAAAACAACAAGGATAAAGGTTAGAACTTTAGTATTCTATTGAGTTTTCGTCTGTTAAGCTTTCTTTTTCCATTTCCTGTCAGCCAGTCGTTTCAGTCAGAAATCCTGATTGTGGCTCGGACTCATAGTGGGATTAAAAGAGAACGCTATAGCTAGATGTTAAACATATTCTAAACTTCTTGAACCTACGAATTTTCTGTACCTTCTGTTTTTTGATACTGCTATTAGGAAGAACTTCCAGTTTTCGATTCTAAAGGCGGTTTTATGTATATCCGATGATCACCAATTCAATGATAAACTCTCCCGTACATGCTTTTTGCAAAATATTGCACTCTTAAATCATCTCTATTTAGAATTCATCCATGCGTCATCCCTTCACTTTCAATGTGCTATCCAACTTTCGAAAGAAACGAAGCCACAATTAGCCCACGAAAAGAAGGAACTATGGTCATCCACTTGAGAAGAGAACGGTCAACGAAGGAAAAAACAAATCCAAACGCTAAATTTATTGCCATAGTGGGATAGGAAAAGGGGAGAAAAAGACGGTATGGATTAGAGCCGCCTGGGATTTGAGTATGGAAAAGAGAAAGCCGGCTGGCTTTATCACCAACGTGCCACCAGAGTGAATCCACCTCACCCTCATTCTCACCCATTTATCCATAACGAATTGTTTCGGTGGATGAGGGAAAAGTTTTGATTTTGATGAAATTTGAGCATTTTTTTAAAGCAGGCTTGGATATTTGGCGTTAGCAAAGGCTAGATGTTTTACATGTTGTTAGCTAATCATGATTGATCAATTAGTACAGTCGACATTTAAAAAGTTACGTCTAACAGCTCGATAAATCCAACATCTACTGCCATGAGTTCGGCTTTAATTAGAAGGCCTTGCTCGATATACTCAAAGCCTTTTTGGAGCGTTTTGCACTAATCTAGATTTAACAAGTTGTTTGCAAAAACCATTTTTAAGCTAAATCAGAAAAATTTTTGCGAAATCTTGAAAACCTTCCACCATTTATAAATTTCTTCCAAAGAGAACAAAATGAATTTCCCAAATTTGCCGCTTTCTTGTGTTCTATTCCGCGCCCTTTCTACTGTACACGACGCTCCGCGACACATTCGCGACGGTTGTCTTATTTTTCTCGTCCTAAATTTTTTTGACAAAAAAAGATCACGCGTGAAATTTTATGGTCTTTTCTAAATTTTCCTGGTTATGTTCTGCGTTTTTGTGCTTGAATCGGTTTGTGCTCGTCAGTTTGTTAGTCTTGCATACTCAATGGGCGCATTTGGCCCGAAACTTGATTGGCGTTTGTCAATGTTAGAAAATGTGTCTAGATTTCGAAATATGTCTGTCTGTTGGCCAAAGTTCGTTAGTTTGTCCAGAGACATTCCAATTCTTGATCTTGGATTGAATCTAACCCAAAAACAAAAACGTTCGGTTGTGATTAGAGCAAAACGATTATGATTTTTCAGACCAACTACTTAACTAGCCTTGAATTTGAGTCACTTTGATTCGTTTTTAATTTTCTGACGCATTGCTTACTTTTACCGTGTACTAATTTTCTATTTACAGGTAATACACGGCGTACTGCACTCAAGTACAATGCTGATCTACAAGGACGTCTTCACCGGTAAATTTTTTTGATGTTTTAATATTGAAACTCCGCCTTCCTTAAGTAGGATAGCTTAACGATTGCTCTTTTTGTAAGAATGCGTTTTGCCTTCTCTTCAAAAGTGTGATTGTTGATAGCTATTTTGCGAGTTACAGGCGGTAAATCAGACGGCTCGGTCTTAGTTTTAACTTGTTAAAGCTCAACTTGCTACTGTTGACAATTTAATGAGATCAGAAATTAGCCTACATATCTTTGTTCATTTTGTACCTATTGTTTTTAATTTAAGGAGATGAATTGGCCTCGGACTCCTTCCCAATGAAGCTCGTTGATGACCTCATCTTCGAATTCAAAGGAAAGCACGTCATCAGAAGAGAGGTATTACTTTTGAGTTGGCTGAACGATTCGTCTTTCTATAAACACTTTTCTAGCAACAAATTTAGAAGCTGAAGTTGAGACGAGCTTAAAGATAACGATAAAGTATTCTATGCTGTCTATATCTTCTTTAGGGCGAGATCGTCCTTGCCGGATCCAACCCATCGGAGAACCCAGAAGAAGAAGCCACTGACGGAGTTGACGATAGCAGTGTCCAACGAGGAATCGACTTCGTCCTTAACCACAACCTCCAAGAGATGAACTGCTACGAAGACACCTCAATCTTCAAGAGCTACGTCAAGACGTTCATGAAGAAGGTTGGTTACTTTCGTTTAAATTCATGGTTGAATGATCTCTTAAGTGTTCGCAAAAACTAATATTTATAAGTTTATTTGGAAATTGAAATAGCATTTTTATTTTAGGTTATCGAACACATGGAGAAAGAGGGAAAATCGGCCGACCAAGTCAACGACTTCAAGAAGAAAATCCAAGCCTGGGTCGTCTCTCTTCTCGCCAAGGATCGCTTCAAGAATCTCGCCTTCTACATCGGAGAACGACAAGCCGAAGGAAACGGAGAGGGACAAGTCGCGATTGTGGAGTACCGTGACGTAAATGGAGAAGAGGTTTATTTTGGATTGTTAAAATATATGTCGTAGCCGACAGATATTTATTATTTGTGCACCTTCGTTCAATTTGAAACACCATTAATTATTTAAAATTTAGGTGCCAACGCTAATGCTCGTCAAGGAGGGCCTCGAACAAGAGAAATGCTAATCTTCGTCCATTAAATTTCGTGCTATTACATATTGTTGGCTGTTTTTGTTGACTTGTCATGGTTTATGTTCTTTCTTGTGCCTACCGGTTTTGAAGTCCACTACATTTCTAAATTATCATGTCCAGATCAGCCTGTTGTCCACATTTAATTTATCATGATGTCTTCAAATAAAGTTTTGCGTTAAAAGTTATTTTAAAAGCTAAAGTTTTACTTTAAACTTGGAAATATCTGATAATTTTGATCAACTTATGATTTTGCAGTCCTAATTGAAACTGTTCTTGTTTTTGCAGGGTTCGAAATGGCAAAGCGCACGAAGAAGGTCGGAATTGTCGGAAAGTACGGCACACGTTATGGAGCTTCCCTACGTAAGATGGCCAAGAAACTCGAGGTATTTTTGTGCTCGTATCGTTGATGGACTTGGTAATTTAGACCACACAACACGCCAAGTACACTTGCGGCTTCTGTGGAAAGGACGCTATGAAAAGAACGGCCGTCGGAATCTGGAGCTGTACCAAATGCAGCAAGGTATTTGTACTTGCCGCTTAATCTTTTTACAAAGTATGAAGCTGATAATGAGTTTGAGGGTATCGAAGAACTACTTTTGAACTCTTCGTAGCATATTCCAATTAAAATCTGTAAAACTAGTAAGAGCATTTAAATATTTTGGATTTTGAAAACTAATAAGTATTCTTTAGAAAGTCGCTGGAGGAGCTTACGTCTACGCCACCGTCACCGCATCGACTGTCAGATCTACCATCCGTCGGCTTCGCGAGCTCAAAGAATAACAATAAGCTGTCATACTTTTTCGTCTTCTCATTGTTTGTTGTTTTTATGGTCGTAAATAAACGACTACTTAACATCGAAAATACAAAAAAGCTTTAAACAGAAAGCAACGGTCCTAGAGCCGACTTCAGTCTTTAATTCCAAAATATTGCTTTCCAGGATAGGATATAGATTTTTTCTTTCTTCCTGTAAAATAAAAGAAGAAAAAGGAATGTGTTTGTAAGCGAAAAGTGACCCTTTTTCCTTTGTATTGAGTTTCGTCAAAGCTGAGATGCAGATTGAACTTCACTCTGCCATTATTGCAATGAATGTTGCCTACCCATTTTTTCGGCAAGGTACACAACCGATTGTCCTCTTAAAGTCTAACGACAAACATTCGCTGATTGTTTCCGCTGAGAAACGTTTACTGACTAGCCATTTCAAGGGGCGGCGGCCTCCTTTTCACAAGCAATATTGATTTTATCCAGACCCACTTCCTCTCTTGGTGATGTTAGGGAGCCTACTAGTTTTCGTACTCGTCTCACACTTTTTGACATTGACAACCAATGTTAACCTTGAAATTGTTCGACATTCTCATTTTCAAATGAAAATTTGTTGGTTTTCATGTAATTGTGACTCAGCCTTTGTCTAAATCTGACAAGTAAAGGGCCTAAAACTTAACTTTGTTTCAAATTTACATTTAAACAACACCATTTTTCATCGAACGATTAGAAATGCTGAGAGCGGCTGCAGCCGAACGAAATCGAGAGCCAATTGCTGAGGTTTTGAAGTTATATTTCAAAGGACGATTAAAAGTTGGTTTGCTTTTGTTTTAGCTTTACATTACCGACTTTAGCTACTAGAAATCGCTTCCGGAACTGGTCAACACCTTGCGCATTTCGCTCCACTTTTCCCGGAAGTCGTTTTTCAGCCCTCAGAATGTGAGCACCGATCAATTCATTCAATTGTGGCATATGTGGATGAATTGAGGGTCAGTTTTGTAAACAAAGTTACCGTTTTAGGGTTGATAAACAATAATAACTTTGTGTAAAGTTTGACAGTACGAAAATTGGGTATCATTGAGACGTAAGCTAAAATGTACTCTTTTAGCTCGAAAACTTCCGTGTACCTTTGTTTATCGATGTGACAAAGCCGGCTGGGCAATGGGCCTTGCCGGACGATTATGCACCAGAGCAAGTTGGTTTTGGCTAAAGATGCTGTAAAGGTTCGATAGTTGTACCATTACCAGCTCAATAGGCTGGACTGAAAGGTTGTCAGACTTTGAAGATTGCTTTATAATAATTTTGGGCTCTACGGTGGCCTTGAGCTTACTGGACATGGGAAAATTTCAACCCGAACCTAATTCCAGCTTCGTTTTCTCGGCCGTTTCTTGGCCGATTGCTCTGAAATTTTGTTTACAAGCTGAAAATGTCGATTTCTATCTGTAGACAAAATTTCAGAGCAATCGGCCAAGAAACAGCCAAGAAAATGAAGATGGAATTAGGTTCGGGTTGAAATTTTGCCATGTCTAGAGCTTACCAAACATTGCCAGCTTCATTCTTTTCAGCTTGACGTGATCTATTCGGCGAACATGATCCATATAAGCAGCAACGCGGCTGTGAATGGATTGTTCGAGGTGAGATTTTATCCGCATAGCTCGTACTCGAAATCGTTTAGTACAAATATAGAAACCCGATTATAAGGCTAATAGTAGGAAATAAAAGAGTTTTCAAATGAACTCTTTAGGCAGCCGGCTATTTGTTGAAGCCATCTTCCGGCCTCCTCATCACTTACGGACCGTACGCAGTAAATGGGAAAATCACGCCACAAGTTTGTTAAACATTTACAAGTCATTAATCACAAACTATCCCCAATTACGCTTACTGGCGAATTTAAAACTAAACCTAAACAAACGTGGTGATTTCCAACTTTGAAGAGCATTTTCAGAGCAACGTCGACTTTGATGCCGGACTACGGACACAAAATCCGGAATGGGGTCTACGGGATATCGAATTTTTGCGACAAGTAAGTTAGAATTACTGTAAAGTTCAATTGCCTTGTCTAATTACAATAAATGAAATGAAATCAGCAGTAAGACTTCAAAATTCCTAGCAAAAACTAGAAAAGGAGTTAAAAGATCAAAAATGTTTCGATGGAGGACTTTCCTTTACTGTAGTGGGGCAAAACACTGTAACTTTAAGTATTATTGAAAATAAAGTGAAAAAGATCAACTAGTTGATGTGATTTGTAATACTTTCGGCACTTGTGGATTTTTTCCCCGCAAATTTCTAAAAAAGGGAACCGGCAAATTGGCAGATTTATGTAAATTGGAAAATTTGCGGGGAAAAAATCCACAAGTACCATATTTTCTAATATTTGGAGTATTTCTAGTTGGCCGCTTCACACGGACTCGAGTACGAGAAGGCACACGATATGCCCGCGAACAACAAGATTTTAGTTTTTCGAAAGAAGCTATAGAAATGTGATGGATAGCTGTACTTAGTTTTTTTTTCTAATTTGTGCTATTTCTATATTGAAACTTTACATCGTGATACAAATTACCAGTAAAAGCCACTATTGATAGATCTCTGCAATATTTGAATAAAGATTGCCATCTTATCAACGCAAACAAGTCATAGAAAATAAGTAAATGTAAAATTTCGAGATGAAAAATGAACACTAAACTTTAATACTAGTTGAAATGCCATCTTTTTTTTTTAAGATTAGTCACTTTTTGCATGTATTACGGCACAACCGAGGCTGGTCCAAAAAGCCAACAGATAAGCCAAGCCAAGCTAAGCCAAGCCAGGCCAAGCCAAGCCAAGCCAAGCCAAGCCAAGCCAAGCCAAAGCCAGGCCAAGCCAAGCCAAAGCCAATGGCTTTCAATTGGCTCAGGCTCTGCCTCTTTTCAGTCCATTTGCCATTAGCAATCTACGTATTTTGCTCGTTTCTTAGTCGGATTTGTTTAAATAGTGTTGAATTTGCTTTCATTCGACTCGAAATCCAATTTTCTATCGACTGACAGCAAAATTCAACGTTTTTCAAACAAACCCGGTCAAGGTACGAGCAAAATTCGTAGATTGCCAACGGCAAACAGACTGAAAAAGGAAGTGGAACTGCCTTGGCCTGGAATTTTAACCTTACGGTTGGATTTAACCTAATTTACCCTAAAATCTTGGCTTTGGCTTGCTTTAACCTGGAATTTACGGGTAATTGAGCACAATTACCAATTGGGCACAATTTAATTGAGCACAATTTAATGGAGCACAATGAATGGAGCACAATTAAACCATTGGAGTAATTGGCATGCTGAAAGCAGAGCAATTGAGACTTGAGAAACTCTTGAAAAGTCTGTTTTGTTGCTTTTTCAGATCCAACACTTTCAAGCTACCCGTCCTACTTTCAAAAATGCCCTTTCCCGTTCAACAACTACCATTTTTACTCCAAGAATCGATTCTCGAACATCTCGCAATCGGTGAAGCTCTTCAACTTTTAAAAGTCAAGAAAAACTTCCGAGATTGCATCCAATTTCGTGGCCCATTTTTAAAGAAATTCAACTCTATTGAGGTGAATCATTGGAAACAAATTACAAGAATAAACGAAGATGGCTTCAAAGCTGTAAGCATCAAAATTGATGATTACATTTTCGAGACGACAACGAATTTGCTTGCCAATGAGGTAAATAAAAATCAAATTTTGATTGATCAACGCTTCTCCCGACTCTTCAATCAACTCCATTTCTGCAAGAAACTCGACGTTTGGGAGAGAAATTTTCAGGGTGTTCCCAGCGATTCAAAAGAGTTTGACTTTCTCAAATTGTTACCGCAAAAAATTCGCTCCGTCGACAATCTCCTGATCTCTGCATTTCGCTTGTGCAGTATGAATGAGATTCTGCAGAAACTCGATCGGATCGCATATCGTGCAATCTGTATTCGCTTTTATATGACTTACTCACTTTCTGCGGAAATCTCCCGTGTACGCGAGTATTTGGAAAGAAAGCGAGGAATGCTGTGGCGTTAACGCTCGGCAATTCCCTATCGATCTACTGGGAAGCGCTTCAGAAAATCAGCTTCCGAACGATTTTAGTGCTTTTGAGTCGATTTGCGAGCTTTGCTGAAACGGTGAAATTGGTGCTTCAGGCTGGGATCCCGAGTCAATATGAAACGGTAAGAAGACAACCAGAATTTTCATACCGTAAAGATTAATAGTACCCCCCCCTTACGTCCAAGTTTTTAGTATTTCCTTTTTCAAGCACCCGTCTCAAAAATGCTCTTTGGTATCAAAAATTAGCTGAAATTCAGGGCTCTTTTTGTGCTAAGCGCATTGTAGCATAGCCAGTGTCGAGAAAACTCGTTCAAGCTAGACTCACACATTCCGCCCGTCATTTGGGGTGGGGTGCTATTACAGTATTTACGGTAAGTTTCTAGTCATTTAAGATTGTGGAACATTTTCGAAAACATGTCAACTTTTGAAAGCTATCGTAAACTTGCCTTTAGCTTTATCCAATCTATTGGATTCCAATTTATCCAATATTTTTGGATCTTTTATTTCCCCAGCGAATCCTTATGAAATCAGAACAGATTCAGTGTGGGTTGAACAAAGACTAGAGGCAAGATTACGGTAATTCTTAAAAGACAAAACAAAAAACCAAACAAAAAGAATAAAAAGAACAAAAACAATAAACTATTGTTAGACTAAATCGTCATTTAAGATTGTGGAACATGGCCTGCCCTTTTTGCCATTCACAACCCAACTTTTAGCTCAAATATTTCGGTGTCAGGCTGTCCAATTTCAAGCTTCTTGATCTCATTGGATGCGCCAAGTCTTTCTCTGTCAATTGGTACAAAAACTATTTAAATAGGTCAGCCCAACACCAAGATATTTGAGATCAAAGTTGGATTGCCAATGGCAGGCGGCAACAGACCTTCCACGCCCCGCCCCCTTTTGCCATTGGCAATCCAACTTTAAGCTCAAATATCTTGGTGTTGGGTGGTCCAATTGAAACCGTTTTTTACTAATTGACAGAGAAAGACTTGGCGAATCCAATGAGACCAAGAATCTTGAAATTGGACAGCCTAACACCAAGATATTTGAGCTCAAAGTTGAATTGCGAATGGCAAAAGGGGCGGGCCTGTGTCAAATGTTCGATAATCGTCATTTACAGGCAATCTTCCGAGCTCGCTTTGATGCAGTTGAAAATAACGGAAACGAGATTTTTGAGGAGATCAAAGAATTGACCATGAGCTCTTCTGCAATCGAAGAAACTCCTTCAATCAACCACGAGTTGACTTTCAAAGTTTTTAGGAGGAAATTTGACGAATGCCAAAAGAAAGCTTTCTTCAAGAAAACGTTTGCACAATCGAAATTTTCCTACCTTGGCTTGTTTTCTCACGATTCACGCGTCTATTTTTGTTGTGCGAAATTAAAGGCACCATTGAGTTTTTGAGACTTTTGGGGAGCTCAAATTGAACCACCCAACACCAAGACATTTGAGCTTGAGTTTAATTTTCTATGAATCTTAATAATTGACAAAGAAAATCGCTATATTCGCAATATTTAGCTCTTATGAACTTTCAAATCTTGGATTTTATTGGTTTGAATAAATTTTCTGTGAATTCTTCTTTACAGGCACAATCTGCACGTATCACTGGTTATTTTCAGTTCAAAAAGTGGTTTGATGCTATTTTGCGGTAGATTTTTGACTGACAATGACAATGACAATGACTGACTGACTGGCTGACTGACTGATCTTGGACTCTTTGACTTGTTTGAACTTTCATAAAGATTGAGAAGGACTTTATTTACAGAGTTAAACCTTGGAAAGTACTTTGAACTTGATGGAAAGTACTTTAAACTTGATGGAAAGTACTTTCACTTGATGGAAAGTACCTTGAACTTAATGGAAAGTACTTTAAACTTGATGGAAAGTACTTTAAACCTTGGAAAGTACCTTGAACTTGATGGAAAGTACTTTAAACTTGATGGAAAGTACTTTCACTTGATGGAAAGTACTTTAAACTTGATGGAAAGTACCTTGAACTTGATCCAATCAATATTTACTAAATACTGACATCACAAGGAGATAATGGTGCCAAATTTTGTTACACCTTTGACACCTTGACTGGAGGAGGGGCTGTTTGGGTCAATGTTAGGGCCTCTTCAGAGCTAAAGAGCAATGGTGGCCCTTATTCGTTTTTATACCTGTCATTTACACCAATCTCTTACCGATCTCTTGGCATTCGTCCAGCTCAGGTATTTAGGTAATAAAAAGTGTTTACTGTGCAATACTCAGGCAATAAAAAGTGTTTATTGTTCAATTTCCATCTTTTTAAGTCAATCTTTGGATTTACTTTCAAGCGAATTCCAGAGTGAAGCCGTATTTTTCGTAAAAATCTTTAAAAACCTCTACGAAGAAATTGGCTGGATGAATTTCCCTGAAAATTCGGCTATAGATCTAACTTTTTGTGCTCTATCTTTTATCTACTGACACCAAGATAGGTTTCCATTAACTAAAGTGTCTAAACCATATCATCGAGCCGTCGTTTTTGTCCTTTTTGACTACCCGACTTCAAGCTCTCAAAAAATCCAGACATAAGACATTTTAAAGGGCTTTAATGTTACTTTGCAGAGAAATAATTGGCCTTTCTAATGAAATGAACTGTAGTTCAATTAGTACATTCGTTGGTTTTAAACAGAAGTACAAAAATGAACGAAAAGACTTTCGGGACGGTTATCGGAAAATCTAACTTTGAGCTCAAACAGCCTGGTCTTCGGCTGTCCAATTTCAAGATTCTTGGTCTCATTGGATTCGCCAAGTCTTTCTCTGTCGATTGGTACAAAAACTATTCAAATTGGACAGCCCAGCATCAAGATATTTGAACTCAAAGTTGCCAATGGCAGTCGAGCCGTCGTTTTTGTCCTTTTTGACTACCCGACTTCAAGCTCTCAAAAAATCCAGACATAAGACATTTAAAACCTGTTTTAATGTTATTTTACAGAAAAATAATTGGCTTTTCTAATGAGTTCTTTGGTTGGTAAATAGCTGGTTTTAAAAGGGAAGTACGAAAAGAAACGAAAAGACATTCTGGACAATCTAATAATTTCAATCTCTGGACAGCCTAATAACTTTATTCCAGCTCCAACCGAGTCCTCAACCGAGTCCGAGTCCCAATTTCAACTAAAAACAGTTCAAATTGCACTCTTGATCAATCGCGAACCCAGATTTGTGATGTTCTTTTTTCTCGAAATCGCTTCTATTTTTTTTTAAAGATCACTTTCTTCTCCACTCTGTCAGCTGGTCTTTGCACCTTTCATTTAGAAATTCGATAGCCAAAGCTTTAGTTTCACGTATCGGTCACCACTTTTCGAGTGTGAGGAAAAAGCACATTTTCACAGATTTACTACATGTTTCATGAAATGTAAATGTAAAGTAGATTAAGTTTATCAATTAGAGGCATTTAAATTTTGAATTGAGGCAAGTCTCACTAGAAAAGTTGTTCCAAAGGCCGAGCCAAGACTCTGGCCGAGCCAAGACTAAGGCCAGAATCGGAAAAGGCCAGGGTCAGACCAGTTTTAGTTTAAAATTCCTTAGGCTTACTTTAGCGTAAGCCTGGCTTACCATAGCTATACTAACAGAGCGTAGAACGCGATTAGAGCATCTCTACGTATCTAGCACTATCAGAGCCACCTAACAGAGCCTCACTATCAGGGTTAAACTTTTACATTAGCTAAATTGAACCGGTATGAGCTGAATCAGATTAAGAACTCAGAGTTTTGACTCTAGGAATCATTATTAACTAGCCGACATCATTATTAACTAGCCGGCATCATTATTAACTAGCCGGCATCATTATGAACTAGCCGGCATCATTATTAACTAGCCGACATCATTATTAACTAGCCGGCATCATTATGAACTAGCCGGCATCATTATTAACTAGCCGGCATCATTATGAACTAGCCGGCATCATTATTAACTAGCCGGCATCATTATTAACTAGCCGGCATCATTATTAACTAATAAAATTGTAGAACTCTATCTGCAGCCAGCTTAAAGATAGGGCTATCAAGCTTTAGCCCAATTCATGATGACCAATTTGCTTCCTGTTTGTGGCTGGGGGTTCCAAAGGACTCAGCAAGAGAGAAAGTGATGGAAGGGATATGGAAAAGGGGAGTCTCGGGGAATTTCTTAGTTGAGGAGAGGAATTGAGAAGAATTGGAGGGCACCCCAACACAGGGATTGCCCCTCAAGAGAGAGAACACAGATCGGCGGCAGAACAGCTGCCTGTCCCACTCCACATTCCCTGTTACCCCCCAACTTCTACCACCAAAAAGCGCCACCACTTTTCTCTTTGACCTCTTTTTGCTACTTTCAACAATTGCCTCGATTACTTTATCTCTTTCAGCTCTATTGGAACAAGTTGTATCGGTTGAGGCTTTTGAGATGCTCACCTTGATCACCTATCGTTTTGATCACTTTTGCTTTATCTAAACTTTTATTCAACTCGTTTGAAAGCTGTTCTATGTTGTTCTGTAAGCTGTACATCGTAAATCTGGCTTGGATTTAGTATCTATGTTTGTCAGAATCTGCTTCTGAATCGGATTCTGAGGTCAGAAACCGATCCCATCCAATCCTACAATTTTCGATCGGATTCTGGTATCAGAATCTGATCTAAAGGAAGTTTAAATGAAAATTAGCCGAATTTTATTTAATAGAAAGTTACTAGCTTTCCACAATAGCTTTCGCAAATGATTTCAACAAAAAACTTATAGTCTTCTTTAAAACTCAAAAGCAAATCGTAGGATTTATGTAGGATTCTATGCTAGCTGGCTGGTTGTAATCGGTTTAACCTTTATTGAAAGGTTTAATCTTTATGGAAATGTATCAAAAAAATTGAAAGCTTAGCAACGAATGAGCAATCAATTCATTCAAATCAAATTTTCGTTTAAAATTGCTTTCAATCGGATTCTGATATCGGAATTCGATTTTGGGTAGGATCGGATGCCTCGATTACTTTATCTCTCTCAGCTCTATTGGAACAAGTTGTATCGGTTGAGGCTTTTGAGATGCTCACCTTGATCACCTATCGTTTTGATCGCTTTTGCTTTATCTAACTTTTACTCAACTCGTTTGAAAGCTGTTCTATTGCTGTTACATCGTAAATCTGGCTTGGGTTTAGTATCTATGTTTGTCAGAATGTGCTTCTGAATCGAATTCTGACGTCAGAATCCGATCTGATTTTAGGATCGGATTCTGGCATAAGATAGAAAAGTCTGGGACTCTGGAACACTAATCTGGCACAATTGCATCAACCAATTGTAAGCTCATTGATCTTTTTGTAGCATCCAGCCTGGATTTGACTTGTTCATTGAAGAATACTTTCTATTTCTAACTAGGGAAAGGCACAAATTCAAAGTGCGCTTTTGTCTGGATAGGTAATGCAGAATCGGGTATGAGGAGTTCGAATCTGAAATCAAAACCTGTCAATTGTCTTCCCAGACGTGTAAAATTTCAATCAAAAATTTGGCTGTAAAATTAACCGCAAAATTCGCTGCAAGATGCTAGAAGTTGCTCCAAAAGAAAAACAAAAACAAAAGATTGCATCAGGGACCGAACCCTGGTGAATCAGGGACCGAACCCTGGCGAGAACCTAATGCGTTATCCACTGCATGCAATGCACCATTTCTCCGCTAGGAAAAAGCCTTTTAACGGACATTTTGACGTCAAAGCCGGACATTTTGACGTCCGTTTTGATGTTCCTTTTGATGTTCGTTTCGACGTCTGTTTTGACGCTAAATTTTCAATTGAAGCTTTACACGCCTGGAAAGTCATTTGGTAGATTTTGATTTCAGATTCGCATTCCTCATACTCGATTCTGCATTAGCTGTCCAGACAAAAGTGCACTAGACCAGACAAAAGCTCACTTTTAGTTCGTGCCTTTCCACAGTAAAAACAACACACCAATACCGGCATCATCAACACCAAAGCTTAGCGTTTAAGCTTCCCATGCTCGGCTGTTTGATTCGTTAAAACTTGTAGAAGATGTAGAAGAAAATTGGATGTCCTTTTTTGAGCTTTTAGATGAAAACACAACTTGTTTTGAGACTTGTTTTGAGACTTTTCTGTCTCATAAATTGAATAGCTGAGTGGCACAATTGAATCAATTCTTTTTCAAATCAAATCGAATCGAGAATCGAATTGAGAATCGAATCGAGCCAATCAAACGCCGCCTAAATCTGTGCATTTATTGATATCTTGAAGTATTTTACTCTCTAATTGTCTTGCGCTTTTGTTGAATTTAGGAAAGAGTCTTAAACACCGATCACTGAGATTTGAAAACGTTTCCCCAAAACAAAATCCATCTCTTGCAAAGTGAACGTCTCAAGATCGAAAAGAAGTTCTCTCTCAGCCACGGGTTCGCCATTACAATTCGATAATTGGCCTTAAAGACACGACCAAAAGCTCTCATCCCTGCCTCTTTCTTCACAAAAAAGATCGCAAAACTCTCACAATTACATGTGTCTTTCTCTTGGCTTAAAAGTTGAACTGCTTGAAGATTTATTGAACTTGAACTTGAACTTGAACTTGAAATCAGATTTCTGCCAATTTTCTCAGTTTGTAGAGTTTAAAATAACTTCTTTACTACACTTTGCATTTATTGGTGTTGTTTAAACTTAAATGATCTTTATTCAGATAATATTCCTGCGTACAAGGCTGGAGTTTTTGAGAGAGGATTGCTGTAAAAGCAAGGGTAAGTTTTAGGCTGTTCTAGAAATCCAGAAAATTCTAGAAAGCTTTTATTGTAAAAGTCAAACTAGGGAAAGGCACCAGGTCAAGGTGGCGTTTTTGCTGCACACTCAGTGTATTTGATAGAGCTTTAAATGGGGATTCCAAATCCGCTTTTAGTTTTTTCGATGGAGCTCTGTCTCACAAAATATCTGGCATCAAAGTTTGCGAGCTTTTATAGGTCAGAGTCAGAGTTTCGGAGCTGTTATAGGTCTTATTTTACTCGTACAGTAGTAGCGCAGTGGTTATTTAAAGCATTTGATCCATTAATGAATTTGTGTTTAGTCAATTCCCATTTAGTACATTCGCATTCCATCTTTCTTTGTTAATTGCAATTAATTTTATTCAAAAGGAGCAAAAGGAAGCGCGGGGACCGAACCAGGGTTCTTCTGGCTGGATTGGCATCGATTTACCTCTAGATTTACTGGATTGGCATCGATTTACCTCTAGACCACAGCTGCCATAGTCTAGTGTGGGAATTGGGCTGAAATACTGTCTTAAACTATCAAAATACTGTCTTAAACTATCAAAATACTGTCTTAAACTGTCAAAATACTGTCTTAAGCTTGCCATATCTCTTATGATACAGAGCTCCATCAGAAAAATTAGAAATTCGTTAGAAAAAGCGAATTCGAAAGCGGATTCGGAATCCCCATTCGGAATCCCCAAAGCTCTATACTAGGTGCGCATCAAAAAGGCTACTGACCTAATGCCTTTCCCTAGTAAGAAGATTCTTAAGAACAAGAAAGTAAGAAGGAGTTTTCTAAAATCTAAGAGCTATCAGTAAGAACTATCAGTAAGAACTATCAGTAAGAAAAAGATTTTAAAGATTTTCAAGCTATCAGTTTTTCCTTCAGAATGAAGAGATGCCTGGGTCGTCTCGGTCTCCGAGACCCCTCACCAGATCCCGATGAAAGCCATTTAAACAGTCGAACTGATGGAGCCACACATGGAGGACTCAATACGTTACATGTAAGTTTTGATTTATTCGATTGAGCTATTCGATTGAGCTATTCGATTGAGCTTTTGAACGATGCTGTCTTTGTAGTTTCCAGGACACATTTCCCTGCCTAGAACTAGTTTTGAGTTCTAAATTGAGTTCACATGAGTAAAACTACTTTCAGGACAACACTTCTCATCACTCTCACTCCGATCCAGAGGCGCCATCGATTAGCGTGGAAAGTCGGGAAGATGAATCAACCCGATTAAGTCGAAGGAGCTCCGTTTTGGTATGGAAAAATAAAGTTTCAATGTTAGAAATCGTTTCCCCAGCAGATTGAGAGATTTTTGAACAATTTAGCTGACGCAGACGCTTAAAATAGCTTAAAGTAGCCAACTATAACCACAATCAATCGAAGATTTGATAAAAAATTGATTAAAATGCAAATACAATGATCCAATGTTTTTTGGTTTAGAATGACTTGATGGCACTATTCCGAAGATCCTCCAGTTTCCATATTAAAGCTCATCGCATCAAAGGGAGCACTGATGAGTGAGTCGACGGGAAATTCTTGAAAAAGAGCTTTTAGTATGGATGAAGACGAAGAGGAAGAAGATAATCGGAACTTTACAAAGGACAAAATATTGGAAGCAATCCGTTACAAGAAGGAGATCATCAGCAATCTGAAGAAGCAGAACTGGAATATGAAGCGAAAGAGACGGACGTTGATGTAAGAGAAAAAATGGAAATGATTTAACCTTGCCATTTAACCTTATCACTTAAATGCTAATTAGCTGTTCAAATATTAGTTATTAGTTGTTATTAGTTGTTATTAGTCGTTATTAGGGAAGTGGGACAAATGCGACCTTTTTTTGCGCACTTAGCCCATTAGCGCACCTTTTTTCGCGTTTTAAAAAAGCTCTAAAAAGCTAATATTAACCAATTTCTATTCCAAATGTTGTTTTTCTAGGTAATTTGAGGGTGTCGAATTCAAATTTTGACATAACAGAGCGTGTGGAACCAATTTGAAAGACAAAACGGCTAGGTCAAATTACAGAAAATTGTCGATCTTTCTCTTTGTATAACTCCGTCCGTTCGCTTCCACAAGCTCTGATATGCCAAAATTTCGATTCTACGCCCTAAAATTACCTAGAAAAACAACTTTTGGAATAGAAATTGGTTAATAATAGCTTCTAGAGCTTTTTAAAACGCGAAAAAAGGTGCGCAAATGTCCGGGTGCGCAAAAAAAGGTCGCATTTGTCCCACTCCCGTTATTAGTTGCTTAAATTGGTTGTTTAAACTATTCAAAAAGTCGTCTTTTCGTTCCTTTTCCTATTTCCGTTGAAAAATAACAAATTCATTGGTTTTAAACGTACGAAAAGGAAAGAAAAGACTTTCTGAACAGCTAATAGATAGATAATATATATGTCGTAGCCGCTAACGAAATTCAGCCGCTAACGCAATCGTAACCCAGCCGCCGACGGAACCGTTACGGCCGCGATCACGCAACGGCCAGCCGATTACGAATGAAATTTTTGCTAGCCGTGCCATTTGTAATCGGCTTCGCGAACATGGCCAATTCAAATTAGTCTTTGATTTCAAACTATTTATGCAAAACGCAAATCAGCAAACTAATCACAACGAGTGAAATAAAATTTATAACATTTAACATTTATAACATTGTTGTTATGACATTGTTGTCAATATGTTCACATTTCATCGTATTTTTCGTCGTTAGTATATGCGTTCGCTTTTTCAGAATTTGATACGCGTTCGCAACATATTGACATATTGACCGCAACATATTGACCCAATTTCAGAATGGCTTATTGACGCTGTGTCAAGCGGTTGTAGAAATCGGTTAGCCCTCCTGGAATCACAGCCGCTTCGAGTGTTGCTGAATTTCAGCCTTGACATTATCGGTTAGTGACAGCGAGCTGGTCCAACACGAGCACTGATCTTCTGGTTGGCCACCGGTTTGCTCTTCGCAACCAAATTTCATCGATCCACTCCTTGTCAAGTCCGAATTCATCCACCCTGTCGGATTAGCTTTGATGATCACACCGGGAAATTCCTTTAGGAAGAGTCTTGCGCTTGAAAATGAGCATCGGTGAATCGCCTCTCCAGAACCCATGCCTTCAGATCTTTCTCCACATCCGGCCATTTTGCCCTCAATCCTCGGAAAGCTCGATTATTTTTGGTGAAGTCATCAGTGCCGCTCAGCTTGTTTCCAGCGGTAAATCATCTGTTCGGCGACTTCAATTCGTCGCAGCCGCGTTCGTTCCAAATTTTCCGCAAATTTGACCGCTTCGGCTTCGTTTCGGCGGTGTACGACTTTCTCCTCATCGTATCTAATGAAAAAAGTTAGTAAAATAAAAATGAAAAAAACAAAAACAATAAAATTAAAGAAAGAAGAAAATTTTCCATCAGGCCCTTTAATGTAAATTACAGAAATTATACCGCGACTTTGGGTACAAAGATTTCGTACACATCTAGTGAAAAATTTCATTCGTAATCGGCTAGCCGTTAACGAATCATTCGTGCCCCCCCCCCACCCCCCCCACGCCCCCCCCCGCCAACGAACCCCCCGTAAACGGCCAGCCCCCAACGAACATCCGTAAACGGCTAGCGAAAAATTTCATTCGTTAGCGGCTAGCCGTTAACGAATCATTCGTTAGCGGCTGAATTTCGTTAGCGGCTACGACATATAGATAAGATAAGTAGCTAGCTTAGGTGATTGAAAAATCGAACTACCAAGCAGTTTCCAGAGTCGCTAGACGACACTTGCAACGACAAGAGGCGAAAGTCTCGCGGATACAGCTCTGGAAATCGGAGCTCGGTCGCCGCTTCACACAGTTGAGTCGATGGACGAACAATTTGAAAATATATCTGATCCCCTGGGAAGCGAAGATAAAAAGAATTGAAAGTGAGCAGAGCTTAGTTTCCTTTAATTCCTGTTTAAGGCCATTATGGATCGGTGGTTTCCTCGTATTTCACGTATCTTCGATGGATTCTCGGCATCAACGTGATGATGTCACTGATAATGGCACTTTTTGTGATCATTCCTGAGGTATGGCTTTTATAGTTGATAACTGGATCGTACTTTTGGGCAAATGGAAACACATAACGACTGCCATACGAAAAAGAATGTGCTCAAAGCAGCTAAAAGCAGCTCAAAGCAGCTAATAACAGCTCAAAGCAGCTAAAAGCAGCTCAAAGCGGCTAATAACAGCTCAAAGCAGCTAAAAGCAGCTCAAAGCAGCTAATAACAGCTCAAAGCAGCTAATAACAGCTCAAAGCAGCTCAAAGCAGCTCAAAGCAGCTCAAAGCAGCTAATAACAGCTCAAAGCAGCTAAAAGCAGCTCAAAGCAGCTAATAACAGCTCAAAGCAGCTAAAAGCAGCTCAAAGCAGCTAATAACAGCTCAAAGCAGCTAATAACAGCTCAAAGCAGCTAAAAGCAGCTCAAAGCAGCTAATAACAGCTCAAAGCAGCTAAAAGCAGCTAAAAGCAGCTCAAAGCAGCTAATAACAGCTCAAAGCAGCTAATAACAGCTCAAAGCAGCTAAAAACAGCCCAAAGCAACTCAAAACAGCTCAGAGCAACTCAAAACAGCTCAAAGCAACTCAAAGCAGCTCAAAGCAGCTCAAAGCAACTCAAAGCAGCTCAAAGCAGCTCAAAACAGCTCAAAGCAACTCAAAGCAGCTCAAAACAGCTTAAAGCAGCTAAAAGTCTTGTTCTAAAGCCTAGTATAGTGGAGTGAGTTAATTGTGTAGGTGACAAGGAAAAATCTGAAGATTGTTAGCCTAAAATTAGGCATAAAACATTGTTTTTAAAGCAAAAACAGTTATTGAAGATATTCTTGGTCAATTTGAACCAGATTTCAGCTATTTTAAGAAGCTAGGTATGGTAAAAAAAAATCAGAAAATCACATTTTAGTGGCTAGCCGATGCGCGGGCTCCAATTGGCAGCGCTCGATACAACAAAACAATGCATTTAAAGGTATACAATGGATTATTGTATTGGAAAATCATTGATGAACTTTTTTACTAGCTACTTTACTAGCTACTTTACTAGCTACTTATCATTTTTACTTATCATAGAAAAGACTAGCTAATTCAGGTGATGCCGGAGGATGTGCGCGAGCGCGCTGACGAGCTGATGACCATTTGGGACTTCGGGGTATGTTCGGAAAAAGACACGGATTCAGAATTTTGTACTTCTTTTTGTACGTTTTATTTTTTCAGGGTCATTTCCAATATTCACTTCTTTTTTACGGGTTTTATTCAAAAGAGACATACTTTGGAGACACCGTTCAATACCGGGTCCCCGTCGCCTATTTTCTCGTCAATTTGCTCATCCTCGCCTACTCGTTTTTCATCATACTACGGAAGTAAGGCATTTATTTTTCATTACTTTTTCATTATCCTGTTCTACTCAAGGCTTTTGACTGAAGAAATTTGAGCAATTAAGACAAAAATTTGTGTATTATCTTGGTTAAAATCTTGGTCACTTGTCAAATTTTGTGAAAATTGTAATGAATTGAATTTTCAATACTACAATTGAATCTTCAATACTACAGGATTGTCCAGGACCAAAGAACTTGAGGATTTAAAGACCACCATTAAAATGACAGCAAAACAGGAAAAATTGATTTTAATATAATATTAGGTTGGTGAATTGAAAACTGCGGGACTTTGAACTAAAATTTCTTCAACATAAAACTATCAATTCATTCCAAATGATTTCCATTATTATTGACGACTTCTGCCCATTTTAAAGGCAATTTACGGATTCCTCTTTCGAAGTAGGATTTTGGTTTATGTGTGAGACTCAAAAATGGAGGACTGGAGATGTCAGCTGTCAGCCCAGTTTGAGCACTTTCTTCAAAAGAAATCCATTTTGGTGTCAATAGAAAAGTTGTAGAGAATCAAAAATTAGACTTATAGCCAAATTTCCAAAAAGATACACTTAGTAGTTTCGCTTAAAATGCAAGTTTTGTTGCAAGTTTTGTCAAAATTCGTAAATTCGGCATTTCTAGAAAACCAGTTTTTGAATCGTTCTGAAAATTTGGATATAAGCTTGATTTTTGATTCTCTACAACTTTTCCATTGACACCAAAATGGGTTTCTTTTGAAGAAAGTGCTCAAATGACATATGACAATAGCCCGCAGTTTTCAATTCACCAACCCAATAGAATAGCTTGAAGCTTAAAAGTAAGTAATAATAAGCAACAATAAGCAACAATAAGTAACAATATGCAACAATAACGATACAATAAAAACAAAAATAACAAATCATGTAAAGAAAAATCGAAATGGCTTTGATGTTTTCAATTCACCAACCCAATATAAGCGTTCTTTTCGTCAGTCAGTGCTTATTTTGGTGATTTCTTCCCCCTAACATTAAGTGTAAGCTGAAGCGCGGACTAGCTCCACGCCCGATGCGTCAAAGGTCAAATCCCGGGCAAATCCCCTACTTCTTGGGCTTTGTCTATTTACTAAACAAAATCCAAAAGAGATTTTTGCGAGGAAGAGAGAAAACATCTCGGTACACTGATATCTTGGTCATTCTAAAGATCATTTTTCTCTAGAAAAAACAGCAAGTAAATAGTTGAATAAATAAAATAACCCAATAGAAAGACAAAAGCAATATATAAATTGTAAGCAAAAATTAAAAATCAATATTAAAGATACTCTAAATGCCGTACGAAAGCTATCAAAAAAAATACTAAACAAGATAAAAATGTTGTAGAATGTTGTAGAATGTTGTAGAATTGTTTGTAGAATGGCCGCTAATTCTCGAACGAGTAAGCTGTCATCTGGAAAAACCGAACAGTATGTGTTCAATTGGAAAAGCATGACTGGATGGGATTACACGATTGGAAACGCGGAGACAGCTGGCAATGTACACATGGCAAATGTGATCAAGTTTCGGGTTTGTTTTAAACTTTAATATCAAATCAAAAGAAATTTGCTATTGGAGATTGTTAGTAATGTACTTTAGTACTTGCTAATGTACTTTAGTACTTTCTAAGGTACTTTCGTACTTTCTAATGAACTTTAGTACCTTCTAATGTACTTTCGTACTTTCTAGTGTACTTTAGTACTTTCTAATGTACTTTAGTACTTTCTAAGGTACTTTAGTACTTTCTAATGTACTTACTTTTGCTTTCCAGGAAGCAATCGCCGAATTCAACGTCAAACTGAAAAACAAAGCTCATTTTCTGCAAATCATGCAACGAATACTGGCAAATTTGTTGATTCTTTGCCTTTTGGTCTTCTCAGGATGGGCGATTTGGTGGACGGGAAATATCGAACCGAAAGACACATTCATTAAACAAGTAAGTAATGAACTTTGACTAGATTAGACTTCATAGACGAGAGGTTTCATTCAATCTTTCTTGCAATAACAATTTGTTTTTCTTGTTGTAGAGAAAGATCAATTTGTTGAACGGGGCAAAAATCTGGGCCCCATGATTTAGTTCTAATCAAAAGCAAAAGCCAATTCGAAAACAGAATCAACGTTGTTATTTATCTCGTAAATCTTTGCAAAGTGTTCTATGTTCTATGTACTAAACTATGCAAAGCCATAGTTGGACTTGAATACTGAACTTTGGATTTGATTGGATTGGATTGGATTTGATTTGATTGGATTGGATTGGATTGGATTGGATTAGATTAGATTGGATTGGATTGGATTAGATTAGATTGGATTGGATTTGATTGGATTGGATTGGATTTGATCGGATTGGATTTGGATTAAATTGTATTTGATTGGACTTGAAAAAATCAAAAACTAACTTTAGAACGCGGTGCCCATTGTAGTGTCATTCATCACTCTGATCTTCCCAAACATTTTCGAAATCATCGGCAAAATGGAGAAACTTCACCCGAGGACGGCTTTGCGATTTCAACTTGTCAGGTATTACTTGAGAAATTCACTAGCCAAGGAACCTTTTGAAGTTCCATTGAAGACATTAAAAACATTAAAGAAGGAGAACCGAATTGGGATCGATTCTCACTAAATTTTCGGCAGTTGTAGTAATAATTTTTTGATTTTTTACATAGATCGATCGGTTTATCGGTTTATTAATAGTTTATCGGGTATTAAATCCGCTTTCGGGTTAGTTTTGGTTTAGTTGAGTATTTCAGCGAGTTTTGGTTTAGAGGAATGTAAAATTTGTTACAAAAATACAGCCAAATTTGGGGCAAAAATACAGCCAAATTTGGGGCAGAAATATAGCCAGATCTGGGGCAAAAATATAGCCAAATTTGGGGCAAAAATATAGCCAGATCTGGGGCAAAAATATAGCCAGATCTGGGGCAAAAATTGATCCCAAAAGTTTCAACATAGTGCCGATCAAAACGCCAAAAACCTCCAGTCGGTCTTCCCCCTTTACGGATTCAAAAAAAGGAAGCGTTTTATACCAGAGTCGTTTGCCAGATGGCAAGCGATTATGCGGCACAAAGCCCACCTCGCCAGTCATTTACAGGAATTTTCCTTTTGCTTTGTAGATGGTCTAAAAAGAGGATATTTAGCTGTACATTTGTAAGGGCTTTCGGGATCCAGGAATCAATCGGAGCTATTCATTTTCTTTTCCAGAGTCTCTGCTTTATACATCATCAACTTTTACACCTTCTTCTTGTCCCTTTTCCAATTGTTGAACAAAATCGACGCCGACCGGAGGGAATTGAGGGTAAAATTAGAGTTTTTTGCTTAATAGAAAACAAACTTTAGGACAAATACAAGGCAGAACAGGCTCGCTATGATGTCAGCCATTCAAGGTTTGTCTTTGGAAATGAATTTGGTTGGTTGGGAATTGGACTCAAGCTTGAAAACGGATCTGGCGATCTGGCGTAGTCATTAGACTTTGTATTCCTTTCCGTTTGGGCCCAATGTTTGGTATAATGGCTTGTATAATGGCTTGTAATTGACTACCGCATTCTCTCTAATAGTTTTGCACCTTGGGCGTCACCTAAATTCCTCTATATCTCGAGAACCGCTTATCAGAACCTATTGATGTGAAAAGATATTCAGGCAAGAAAAGAATTTGAGTGGAATTTGTACTTTTCCGTGGTCTTTTCGTTTCACATTTTCTTACTTTGGAACTACTTTGGAACCACGTAAATCTGTCATTTCGAATGTTTGAATTGAAGCGGCGGTGCTAGATATTTAGCACAAACATTAGGGTTGAGCTGGGAGCTAATCCACCAAAAAGGAATCGCCGTAAATACTGAAGGCCCTGTATAACAGTTGAGCCATTTGAGCATACAACGTCACTTGTTTGAAGCTAAATTCCTCCACTTAGATTTTATATTTTTTAGATACCGTATTTTCCATAATATTAGTGCACCCTAAGCATCACCTAAATTGCTCGAAATCTTGAGAACCGCTTATCAGAACCTATCGATGTGAGGTCGGAAAATGTAGCTGACGATGAGATCTAAGGGGGGATTAAAGTCTTGAGTCTCTGCAAAAGCTTGGAAACCGTAAAATCGTCATCAACTCGGCGAGAGCCACCAACCAACCGAGTGCAATACTATTAGGGAATGGTCTTTGTGAAAGCTAACACCGGACAACTTCAGATCTCTGCGTCAACTACTCGGTGTGAGCGATACAACAACCACTCCACTACCGCCATCACCATGGACTACAGTAATTCATAAATAAATATCATCAGAGCATAAAAATCTCAGGTTTTCTCTGATTTCGGTCCCTTTGGTGTGCAAAATCCTCGAGCTGCTATGTCGCATCCGGGACAATTGGCCAATCAAAATGTGACGGTTTTCATTTCACAGGTAGGGTTTTAGAAAAGAAAAGAGAAAAAAAGGATCCCCAATCTACAACATACAGTCTGGATTCAGGTCCTTGGCCCAAATCTCAACTTCAACGCTTCCGCACCGATCAAATTGAACTACACCGATCATTTCTCGACTTTCGCTCAGACAACCGTTCCCGCATTCCTCCAAAGTCAAATGGAAGATTTGTGCTGGGAAACGAAAATTGGACAAGTTTGGATTGAGATTTAATAAGATAAAGATAAAGATAAAGATAAATTAATGAGTTCAAACTAAAGACAATTTCATTCACTTTCAAGTTCTCTTCCCTTTTGGCGGGAAGAGTTAGTGCTTTTCTGAGTGTTCTCTCAGTTTTCTGTGCGCTCTCTGCAGCTCCCAATAATCGCATCTCTTTTGACAAAGGATCATTTGTTAAGTGTTTCCCTTTTCGATTCAAAATCGGTTTATACCCAGTACAACAAGGTACGCTTGGGAATCCGACCTGGAGTAAAATCTGGTGTTGGGAACCGATGAATTTTTGGATAAGTCTGTCTGGGGAATCCGGAAGGACGAAAAGGACGCTAGATTTTAGAGAACTTGTTTCTATGACTCTTTTTAGTGTAGTTTAGAACTGTAGAACCATCTAATTCCAATACAAAACCTATAAAGACTTGAGTGAATAAAAATGGATCAATTTTGGTTCAAAGTGAGCCAAGTTATCAGCTTTAGCCAGAATACGGAGAGTTCAATAGGAAAACCATTTCAAGCAAAAGAATCCTAAAACAAAAGAAAGCAAAAGAGTCTGTTTAGTTGCCAGAGTTGTAAACAAACCAGGGCTAGACCTGGGACCAAATCTCCAGACCAGGGCAAGCCAGGGCTTTTCATAGTTTATAGCCTGGTCTGACCTTCATCCTAAAGCCTAGAGCTGCTCAAAACAGCCTAGAGCCAGCCTAGAGCTGCTCAAAACAGCCTAGAGCTGCTCAAAACAATCCCTGACCAGTCACTTAATTTGAATCCGTTTCAGGAAATCACAAAAGTGGTGACAATGGACTTACTAATGACACTGCTTGCTATTCTCGTAATCGATTTTTTCCGTGGTCTCTTCATTCGATACACGAACACTTGGTGGTGTTGGAATCTCGAGAAAACTTTCGTGAGTGCTTTTAGAGTGTACTTTGTACTAAGAAACACTGACCCTCGATCATGTAAGAGTTTATTTTTGATTATTTTTTAAAATGATGTCCTTCAGCGCACCAGAAAGATACCTTTTGAGCACAAAGAGCACCATTTAAAAGTCTAGTCTAACATGAGAGCCTAAAATCTCTGAAATCATGTAAGATCTCGAGCTCATACAGAGAGCTTCTCTAAACAAAACAGGTGTTTGCAGTCAGAGAGAGGGATGGGAGAAAATTTGAGAAGTGAAAGAGATGCTTTTCGAAAAACATGTCTTAGAAAGCAATGACAAATTGGCCCCGTGCAAGGGGAAAGGGAAAGGATTCGATCGAATGGATACAACGATTAAAAGGGGGGACATTCTTATGACGATTGTAGTGAATAGTTGAAGAAGAGCCTTGTTTGATGAACTTTATATGACGGAAGAGATATCTATTATGGAAGAGAACTAACAATAGAGTCGAGTATGATTGTGACTCAGCTCAGCTAGACTATGACTCAGCCTAGCTAGGCTTAGACTGAGCTCAGCTAGACTATGACTGAGCTCAGCTAGACTATGACTGAGCTCAGCTAGACTATGACTCAGCCTAGCTAGGCTTAGACTGAGCTCAGCTAGACTATGACTGAGCTCAGCTAGACTATGACTGAGCTCAGCTAGACTATGACTGAGCTCAGCTAGACTATGACTGAGCTCAGCTAGACTATGACTGAGCTCAGCTAGACTATGACTGAGCTCAGCTAGACTATGACTGAGCTCAGCTAGACTATGACTGAGCTCAGCTAGACTATGACTGAGCTCAGCTAGACTATGACTGAGCTCAGCTAGACTATGACTGAGCTCAGCTAGACTATGACTGAGCTCAGCTAGACTATGACTGAGCTCAGCTAGACTATCAGGTTGGCAACTAAATAATGGCCCTTTTCAGTAAAAACAAAAAATTTATTAACAGGATGAACAAATATCAACATCAATCCAAAAGGTATTCTCCGTCATTCTTTATTACTTCTTTCCACTTTTGACGGAGCAACTGGATTCCTCTCTTGAAAAATTCTTCTGGTTGATCGTCAAAGAACTTCTGCACTGAAATTCGGACTTCGTCAAGGTCATTGAACTTTTTCTCGGCTAAAAAGTGTTGCATCGATCGAAAAAGATGGTAATCACTAGGCCCCATATCCGGGCTGTATGGCGCATGAGGAAGAACATTCCAGCCCAACTCCTCGATTTTCTCCATTGTAAGTTTTGCAGTGTGTGGTTTTGCGTTATCATAGAGAAAATGAATTGAAGAGGGTTCGAGTCCTTGAGAGCGAATTGCTTGATCTACACGATGTAGTTGAGACGAATAGAGTTCTGAATTAACCGTTTGCCGGCTTTTGAGAACCTCGAAATGCACCAACCCACGAGAACTCCACCACACACAGAGGAGAGTTTTCTTTGAGTGAATATCCGGCTTCGGAGTTGGTTTTGGGTCTTCGTTTGTGCTAAGCCACTGTCGTTTTCGCGTTCGATTATCATCAAAGATCCATTTTTCATCAGAAGTGACAATGGAATTCAAGAAGCTTCCCTTTTTCGCAAGTTTTAGTAGTATTCCAGCTGTGATAACACGAGTAGCCTTATTTTCTTCGCTCAATTCATGCGGAATCCACTTTCCACTGCGGTTACTTTTCCCCAATGCATGAAGTCGCTTTTCGATTGCAGTATGCGAAAAGCCCAATCGATCCCCTAGCTCGCGTGATGTTTGACTTGGATCCTCCTTTAAGGCTGCTTCCAAAATATCGTTCTGCAGAAGTTCGGGTCGTCCTTGGCGAGGCTCATCTTCAAGACTTTCATCCCCTTCCTTGAACCGTCGATACCATCTCTTACATTGTGTTTCGGAAAGAGCCTCATCACCAAAAACTCGCAATAAATCTCTGTGGGATTCGGCAGCTGTTTTGTCTTGTTTGTAGTCGTACCAGAGACAGACACGCATTCGATATTTGAGATCTTCCATTTCTAAACAAAATTATTTGAAAAGTATCAAATCAAGGAAAGTAAAAAACGTATAATAATGCACCAGAAATTCAGTAATATTCAATTAACAACAAGCGAGGGTAGATTAAACGCAAAGATTAAAAGATTTTATCAAAAAAGGGCGAGGGCCATTATTTAGTTGCCAACCTAATATGACTGAGCTCAGCTAGACTATGACTGAGCTCAGCTAGACTATGACTTAACTCAGCTAAACTAGACTCAGCTAGACTTATCTACACTAGAGTTGTTTCTTGGTATTTTCAAACGAAAGCTACTGTATGCTACAGAAGGCATAAGGCCCTGCCCTAGCGGGGAATGGGATATGTGTCGGTGTAACTTATTGGTAGAGCGTTCGCCTGGTAAGCGAGAGATCGCGGGCTCGAATCCCGGTCATTCTTTCTATACCCATAAACGGAAGTGTCCAACTTTAGAATCATTGGCAAGAACCAGCCGCAGTGATTCACCAATTCACCTAGCTAACCTTAACACCTAGTTGATTCAACTAAGACAACTTTTTGAATGATACACTTCCAAGCACTCATTGATCTATCCATAAAATTCATTCACCAAAAAGTTGTTTATATTAGTCTTTATCTTTATTGTCTTTATTTACACAATTTAAGCGTTTTTCTCTCATTTTCCATTTATTTTCCATCATTATGTCGAAATCAAAAATTTTGGCGGGAAGGGGAAAACACGATGTTTTTTTGAGTGTTCTCTCAATTTCTCTCAGTTTTCTGTGCGCTCTCTGCAGCTCCCAATAATCGCATCTCTTTTGGCAAAGGATCGTTTATTAAGCGTTTCCTTTTCACATTGAAAATCGGTTTATACCCAGTACAACAAGGTACGCTTGGGAATCCGACCTGGAGTAAAATCTGGTGTTGGGAACCGATGAATTTTTGGATAAGTCTGTCTGGGGAATCCGGAAGGACGAAAAGAACGCTAACTTTTAGAAAACTTGGTTCTATGACTCTTTTTATTGTAATGTAGAATTGTAGAACCATCCAATTCCAATACAAAACCGATAAAGACTTTGGTTCAAAGTGAGCCAAGTTATCAGCTTTAGCCAGAATACGGAGAGTTCAATAGGAAAGCCATTTGAAGCCAAAGAATTGCTAGAGTTGTAAACAAACCAGGGCTAGACCTGAGACCAAATCTCCAGACCAGGGCAAGCCAGGGCTTTCCATAGCCTGGTCTGACCTTCATCCTAAATTTTGTGGCTAGCCTAGAGCTGCTCAAAACAATCCCTGACCCATGAATCAATTTTGGTTCAAAGTGAGCCAAACTATGAGCTTTAGCCAGAATACGGAGAGTTCAAAGTGGCCGAGAATGTACTTCACCTTGTCAACAATCAGGGAATGATCTGGATGGGACTTTTCTTTGTACCAATGCTGCCATTCATCAACAATATCAAGGTTTTCCTCAAAGTCTTTTGTTTTACAAAAAGTTTAGCTAATCATTTTGATGTACATTCGAGCGTGGGCCTGTATGACATGCAATGTACCAGCAAGGCAGATATTCCGAGCATCTAGGTGGGTGTAACTTTAACCATTTAAATACTATTTCTTTTTTCTTATCTAGCTTTTAGGCATCGCATTGATTTCTTTAGAATGATATTTATCACAATCTGCCTTTCATTTGATTTACTTTCAGAGTTTCGACTCTGGAAGCATTTCTGAAACACATTTCTGAAACTAGAAGCATTAAAACCAGTACCTTTTTAGAGGAAACGCCTTTTCTTCTAATAATTTTTGCTTCTAATGCCTAAGCCTAAGCCTAAGCCTGAGCCTAAGCCTAAGCCTAAGCCTAAGCCTGAGCCTAAGCCTGAGCCTAAGCCTGAGCCTAAGCCTAAGCCTGAGCCTAAGCCTGAGCCTAAGCCTAAGCCTAAGCCTGAGCCTGAGCCTGAGCCTAAGCCTAAGCCTGAGCCTAAGCCTAAGCCTGAGCCTAAGCCTTTTACAACACTACACTTGGTAAACCATTCTCTGCGAATTTCAAGCTAACTTCTTATCTTTCTTAGTGGGGAACTGTCTCAACTTAGCATCGAGTTAAGCTACGAGACCTAGTGCATTGGATTCTACGCAAACTTCGGAGCAAAACCCAGTTTTAAAATCAACCCAATGAATCCTTTAATCTGTGTCAAAACACAGAAAATTGGGAGCGCGAAAAACAAGCATAGAAAAATAGCATATAATATAAGCATTTCCTCGTCCTATGTAAGCCTATGTAAAATACAGTAGTTTTGCTGCTTAATCTTAAAGTCATAATAAGGAAATCGAGTCCGTCTGATACTGGATTTTAGTGATAAAGCTAGATCATAAGCTGACAGGCTCACTAGAGCTCCCCCTGTTAACCAAATTGCATCAAAATAAATCTAAATGGATAAATCTTCAGATACTTAACTGAGCTCAATCAGCTCAATCAGCGTCAACCAAAGTCATAACCTTTAGATCTTCGAATTTCTATTTATTCCTTCTGCTGGTCATGCTATTCATTTGCACGGTACCAGTTGGATATGTAATTGCCTCAAAGCAACCGTCGAAGAATTGTGGACCTTTCAAGTGAGTCAATGAAATTAGCCTTGATTCAGCACAAAGATTGATTGATTTCAAAAGCTTGCAAGGCTCACCAAACACAGAGATTACCGGGAAGCTATTATATTTTGATGGTAGACGGTAACTTAGATAACTTATTGGTATCTAAACTTAACTATAAGCGCTTTAAGCTGTGCTCTAAATAAAAAGTCTTTTTGTTCAATTTCTCATCTTTTTAATGCAATTTCGGTTCACTTTCAAGCAAATTTCTTTGTTATTTTTCAACAAAAGTACGAAAAGGAACGAAAAGACTTTGTGGATAGTCTAAAAAATTAATCCACGTCCACCCAGTGCCATAAATTCCCTCATAGTCAGACCACCCAGCTTTCTCTTCTTGAGACGATTGAGAGGTGGATTTATCATCTTTTTCTTATTTTACTCAATGCCCTCAATAGATCAATCGCTAAATGGCTTTTGGGGATTGTGGGTAGGCGATTGGGCATTCAAAAGTTTACCGGGATCCAGTTTACCGGGATTTAAAGTTTACCCGGATTTAAAGTTTACCGGGATCCAGTCCCGTAGCCAGAAAAATTTTTTGGGAGAGGCAATTACAGGGCGGGTCGGACAAAACTCGGTCCGAAGCGCCAAAAAATTTTTAGGCGGGTCTAATTTATTGATGAAATATGTTTTTATAGAACAATTCGCGCGTAGCACTGAAAATGGTAAGGGTTTTCCACACGGTGATTTTCGGACCTTCATAAATTTGGAGAGGGGGACAATTTCGACTGAGGGGGACCCCACGCGGGGGAGGGGGGCCCTAGGCCGGGAAGGGGGGCCCTAGGCGGGGCAGGGGGGACCCCAGGCGGGGCAGAGGGTCCTACCTTGCCCCCGCCTGCCTAGGTACGGGCCTGTAGGGATCTAACAATAGCTATGTGACCCAAAGAAAAATTTTATACTAATAGAAATGGTTATCAGACATTTAATACGTGTCCCGCCCCTTTGCCATTGACAATCTAACTTTGAGCTCAAATATCTTGGTGTTGGGCTCTCTAATTTAAATATTCTTGATATAATTAGATGTACCAAGTCTTTCTCTATCGATTGGTACAAAAACGATTTCAATTGGCCCACCCAACACCAAGATATTTGAGCTCAAAGTTGGATTGCCAATGAGAAAGGAGGCAAATTGTTCCACAATCGATAGAAATTAATCCAAAGCACTTTCAGAGAATCCAAACACTTCTACAGCGTGATTCTCGATGTGCTGAATGACAACTTACCGCATAATGTTGTTGAAGCAATCCAGTACATGTCCTCTCCAGGCATCATCATACCAATTCTACTTCTGTTATTGTAAGTAGAGTCTGCTCTTCTTGATTTATACACGTTCTATCGGGAAACTATTCTAGAAAGCTAACTAAGAAAGCTAAGAGAACAGTAATCAAGCTAGTTTACAGCCGATTATCTAAATTTTTATATTATTCAATGAGATTTTTAGATTGATCATTTACTTTTTATTCGCTTTGGTCAGAGGATTGAAAGAAGCGAATCAGGATCTAACAAAGCAGCTTACACAGGTAAAAATATTAAAGAAAACTTGAGGATATTGTAATTTCATAGAATTGGGATTTGTTGAGGTTTGTTTTTGTTATCCTTTTTTTGTTATTTGTTTACAGAATAAAATTATTTTAGGAAAGAACAGAAGAAAAGAAGAAAATCTTCGAATTGGCTGGCGGGAAGAAACAACGGGATAAAATGTTAGAGAGACGAAAGAAGAATTTGGAGAAGAAAAATAATACGACGACAGCGAAGCAGTACAGCTCGGTGAAGATTCTGAGTCAAATTAGCAGTAATCTAACATGTGAAATGAGGGAATTAACACTAAATCAATGAACTGAGTTTATCCAAATTTCATTTCATTGTTATTCTTTATTTATTTTAGGACGAAGAATCTCATCGTATCTCAAAGATGTCCTCGACTTCAGGAAGACCATTTGTGCCGTCATTGGGGTTTGTTTGGAGAGGAAAATGGCTGGATAGATGAATTTTAAAGTCCTAAAGGGCAACTAAACTGTTTACTAGTATTAGTATTAGTACTAGTACTAGAACTAGTACTAATACTGGTACTAGTACTAGAACTATTACTAGTACTGGGACTAGTACTAGTACTGAGACTGGTACTGGTACTGGTACTAGTAGTGATACTAGTACTGGTACTGAGACTGGTACTGGTACTGGTACTAGTAGTGATACTAGTACTGGTACTGAGACTGGTACTAGTACTGGTACTAGTAGTGATACTAATACTGGTACTAGTACTGGTACTATTACTAGTACTAGTACTAGTACTGGTACTGGTACTAGTAATAGTACTGGTACTGGTACTAGTAATAGTACTGGTACTGGTACTAGTACTAGTACTAGTACTGGTACTGGTACTAGTACTAGTACTAGTACTGGTACTGGTACTAGTACTAGTACTGGTACTGGTACTAGTACTAATACTGGTACTAGTACTGGTACTATTACTAGTACTAGTACTGGTACTGGTACTAGTACTAATACTGGTACTAGTACTAGTACTAGTACTAGTACTGGTACTGGTACTAGTACTAGTACTGGTACTGGCACTAGTACTAATACTGGTACTAGTACTGGTACTATTACTAGTACTAGTACTGGTACTGGTACTAGTACTAATACTGGTACTAGTACTAGTACTAGTACTAGTACTGGTACTGGTACTAGTACTAGTACTGGTACTGGTACTAGTACTAGTACTGGTACTGGTACTAGTACTAATACTGGTACTAGTACTAGTAAACTAGTAAACAATTCATGTCTTCAAGCCGAGAAAATTCATGCTGAAGTTCATGCTTCATGCCTTTTTAAAAAAAAAAAAAAATTCATGCTCAGTTACCTTTAATCTCTTATTATCATTTTTAGAAGCGTTTCTGAGGTTGACGGCACTGATGGAGAAGATGAGTTCGAGAAAGAAGAGCAACGCGAGGAAATGGCCGCCCAACACACAGTGAAGCTCACTTGGAAACAGACATTCCTTGTCTGTATTGGATTGGCCGATCGGAGAGAGTACGCCCGAAAGCCCATCTTGTAACCATCTTTTTTGTTTTTCTTATTTTCATTCACAAAAACTTTGAGTTTTTTTGTCTCAGAGTTGACCAGTGGCAGTTGCCTGTCAGTGTTCAATTGTTGTCTCAGAATTCACCAATGGCAGTTGCCTGCCAGTGTTCAATTGTTGTCTCAGAATTCACCAATGGCAGTTGTCCAATTGATAAAAACAGTTTTTTTTAAGTCAAATACCAAAGCATTTCCCCAAACACTGAGACAAAAGAACAAAGAGATCAATAACTTTTTACTAAACAACACTTTAAACTTAAATATTAAAAGATTACAGTTACAGTTATGGTCCGAAAGAAGATGAAGAACACGATGAAGATGTGGAGAAGAGAAACTCGGAAAATTCTTTCTACACAACCCATGAAGAAGAAGAGGAACAAGAGATTGAAACGTAAATTTTCAATTTCAATTTCAATTTCAATCAATTCAATTTAATTTCAATGAAAATCCGTAAGGCTAAAAGTTTTGTTTAGTGATGGTGAGCTTAGAAACCTTTTACATCCGGAAAGATACGTGCATAATGGAAGAGTTCGCTCCGGTGGCACGCAGACGCACTCAGCTTCGAGGTGGGCAGGCATTGAGTTGAATTGTTTGTCCTATAACTGTAAATATATGCTGAAATGTCTACCGAACTGAAATATAAATAACTGAAATGAAACCTACCGTAAATACCGTAATCTACCGTAAATACTGTAATTGAAGCCCCCCTCTACCCCTCTAATAGAAGCCTTACTGTAATAGAAGCCCCTCTAAATACCCCTCTAATTGCAATTACCGTAAATACTATAATAGAAGCCCCTCGAATAGAGGGGCTTCTATTAAAGTATTTACGGTAATTGCTATTTTTCAGATCTCCCAAGCCGTCTCGATCGCCGAGATCTTCAAGATCGCCAGGACTGCTTGTGACGCAAAGAGATGACGATGATGATGTCAGGTAGTACAGTTGAACAAGTTAATTGCTATTGTATTAGAGGTTTTATAAGACTTGAATAGTACCTAGAGTCTGTAAGCCAGGCTAGGCTAGGCTAGGCTAGGTAAGGTCAAGGCCAAGGTCAAGGCCAAGGCCAAGGTCAAGGCCAAGGTCAATGCCAAGGGGAAGGCCAAGGTCAAGGCCAAGGTCATGGCCATGACCAAAAGCCAGGAAAGAAGCCCGGCCCAAACTTGGCTTCTGTACAGCTAGGCCAGGTTATGCAAAAAAAAGTCATGCAAAAAGTCAAAAACGGACCTTACTTGCATTGTCTGGCTTATTGTTGCTATTGTTAGTTCAGGCCTACTTCTACAATTTAGTGCCCGAGACGAGTCTTTCCAAACAGCTTCCAGAGGCTCCTCTAATCGCTTGCATCCAAATGATGGATCTGATACGTAAGTGTTCAATTTCTAGAATAGTTACAAGTGTAAAAAACACTCCAAAGTTAGCGAAAAAAATGAATAAAAAGCTTTAGAAGCTCGACCCCTCGTTCTGGCTCAAATCGGGATATCATGACGTGAGTTGAAATGTTTTTCAATCAATAAATGCTCTTTTTAGGCCGATTGCCGAGATCTCCGATTCTTATAAAGGATCACCAAAAGTGTAAGCAAGAGAGATTAAACTTTGGAATTTAAACTTCAAAGCTATAGATCGCCCCATCCAAGGATCACAGAGAACCCAGCCTACTACTACAATCGGTCATCACGAGAAGAATTTCCGAGAGATGACGCTGAGTCGAGAAGGTGAGCAAGGATCGTTTTGAAAATGAGCAATCGTTTCCAAAAGAATTTCCCCTTTTTTCAGCTCCGGTAGCTCATCAGTCTCCCAATCGCACTCACTGCCACCAGGTGTTGAGATTAGAGAAGGAATGCTTGCTGGTCCGTCCTCTCGAACATCATCTCGATCCGATACCAGCTATCAAAAAGCAGCTCATTCGTTGCTAGAGCCAGTACTAGCAAATGCTAGAAAAAGGTACAGGAATTGGAATAATGAATTGAAAATTGTATCCTAGTAGACATGGTTTTTGGATAGGATCGGATAAAATACAATGGACCACTGTTTCGGAGCTGATCTGACTAAAACCTCATCCCAAACCATGTCTATATCCTAGTCAGTTAAAGAACCAGCTTGTCAAACATTTAGCTAAACCCAATAGGCTTAAGTTTAACACATTCCTTTTGCAACGTCTCTCCATGGCTTGAGTCTAGCTGCTGCATTTGTGCAATGAACTCTTAACAGGGAATATCAACTGGGTGTTAACCAAATGGCATGTGTCACTGGTTATTTGATGCAGAATTCAATGCCGATTCCGAATCTGCTTTCCGTTTCTGCTATGGAGCACTTTGTCAAAAGTTATACGCGCGCAAAGTTTTGTATGGGATGGAATCGGAAACTGAAAGCAGCTTTGGAATCGGCGTTGAATTCTGCGTCGAATAACCCGTGGCACATGTCATTTTGGCCACCACATCCAGTTGACATTCCCTTGTAAGTTAAGCTTTGAGATCTAGACCATTCTTGTTCGATTTTTATGGGCTTTCCGAATCTTTTTTCAAAGAGACGAACTGCATAACTGTTTTGCCCAGAGATTCCAGAGAACCAGAGATTCCAGAGAACCAGAGATTCCAGAGAACCAGAGATTCTCTGGCTCGAGTCCGCCTTTGCCACCACACCAGTTGACACCCAGTTGACATTCCCCTTGTTAGTGTAATGGATTTGCTTAGTGTAATGGATTTGTTTCCTTACAAACCAAGAGAAAAGTGACAAACTTTTCTATTTGAGAAGTGACGAGGAGTACCTGCCTCGTCAACCCGACTTCTACAGTTTTGACGAACCGTCACCGGCTCGAGAACGAATGCAAACACCATTGGTTCAATTGTATGCAAATCCGCATAACAGGTTTTGAACTATTTCTTTGCCACTCAAATCTCTTTAGCTACACATCGGCTATGATGAGTCCAATTATGGCTGATTACTCTTTACTTGGTGGAGTGACCACAGAAGATAGTGAATCGAATGATGAGCACACGCATTTACTCCCAATGACGTGGGTTGATCAAAAAGTGTTATATTATCTGACTTGAGAATCTGAAATCATGTAGAAATGGGAATTTTAGAACAAGCAGTGGCAGCTCTGGAAAGAATCGAATGAAGACATCGACCTCGTCCGGCATGAGACCGCCAAGATTCCGTATCTCGACATCGCCTCCGAGAAAGCGCTTGGAAGAGGTAGTCTTTTGAAGTAAATTCTAGAAATATCTTCGAACGTTAATCAAGGCTTTAACTGGCAAACAAGTATTCAATTGGTGAATTGAAAACTGCGGGACTTTGAATTGAAAACTTTGAACCAAAATTTATTCAACTAAAACCATCAATTCATTCCAAATAATTTCCATTATTATTGACGACTTCTGCCCATTTTAAAGGCAATTTGCGGATTCCTCTTTCGTAGTAGGATTTTGGTTTGTGTGTGAGACAAGTGTGAGACTCAAAAATGGAGGACTGGAGATGTCCCAGTTTGAGCTTTCTTCAATAGAGCTAGAATGTGAAAGGATTGAGTAAAATGAGCCAAGATTTGTTAGAAACATGAAAGCAACGATTTAACTATTTTAACTTGTATTTAAGACTGAATTAACAGTGAGGAAATGAACAAATTTAAACAATCTCTAAAAAGGTTGGGGAAAAGGTAAGACACGAGACAACAATTGAGCAAAAATTAGTACTTTAGTCGTTTCACGTTTCACATTTCACGTTTTCTTACTTTGAAACTATTTTTGAATGTAAATTCGTAATGTTGAATGTGATTTTTGTAATCTTGAATGTAAATCTATTGGGTTGGCGAGTTGAAAACTGCCGAAATTTGAACTAAAATTTATTCAACATAAAACCATTCCACATATTCATTTTGCAGAAAGTTCTCGGCAACTTTGTACTAGTTTTCAAGAAGAGATTCAAGGCTATCGAATGTGCTATAATAGTTTCGTTTATCTTTAAATCTGTCAATTGAATTGTCAATTGAACTATCTGTCACTAAATTATCGATAAAACAGTTGGCGACTACGCGATTGTACGCCCAAAATATTGGGTTGGTAAGTTGAAAACTGCCGGTTTTTGAACTAAAATTTATTCAACTAAAACCATGAATTCATTCTAAATAATTTCCATTATTATTGACGACTTCTGCCCATTTTACAGGCAATTTGCGGATTCCTCTTTCGTAGTAGGATTTTGGTTTGTGTGTGAGACAAGTGTGAGACTCAAGAATCGAGGACTGGAGATGTCAGCTGTCAGCCCAGTTTGAGCACCTTCTTCAAAAGAAACCCATTTTGGTGTTAATGGAAAAGTTGTAGAGAATCAAAAATTAAGCTTATAGCCAAATTTCCAAAAAGATATACTTAGTAGTTTCGCTTAAAATGCAAGTTTTGTTGCAAATTTTGTGAAAATTCGTAAATTTGGCATTTCTTGAAAGCCAGTTTTTGAATCGTTCTGAAAATTTGGATATAAGCTTAATTTTTGATTCTCTACAACTTTTCCATTGACACCAAAATGGGTTTCTTTTGAAGAAAGTGCTCAAACTGTCACATATGACAATAGCCGGCAGTTTTCAATTCACCAACCCAATACATCCTACTTTCTATGAAAAGTTTTTTCCGTGTCAAGTATTTTCCAAAAAATAGTCTCTGTAATTGTTGAATACTCGGTAGTTATCATAAAATTCCAGGATTCCGACAGCTCAGCGCGACGCTTCGAGATGCGAATAGACGAGGAGGGTGCAGGGAGAAAGCAGAGTCGATCCGGTGAAGAGAGACGAACATCGAGGGGACGAAGTACACAAGATCGATCACCGATGTCACCCGAAAGAAGTCCCGCCACGAGTGGTTCTCCAACAAAACGAAACGTCACTCATACGATTGTTTAAACGTTCAACGAATTCCTCTTAGTTTGTTTTTTTATATGCAAATTCTATCACTCACATTCCATTTCTAGTCCCCTTCTGAAAATGTTTATCGTAAGATTTATATTTGCTCCGGTGAAATTGTGCCTTATTATGGCTAGAAAGAGAACTTATTATCGTTTTCTTTCCTTTTTTAAAGTGCTTTTTCGTTCAAATTTGCCTGCCGTCTTTCTTTTAGTGTTTTTGGATTGCTTGAATAAAATTTTGCAATAAAAAAACAATGAATTTTGCTAGCTGACGTCATTCAGAAGATTCGGAGTTTCATCAAAGTCAAAATGAACAAATAAAATAAATATTGTAGTCAAAGCGAATGAGGAACGGATTCGTTCTACACCTTGACTTGAACCAGAGCCCTGATCTGGGTTTAGATGCAACTTTGGATCTGGATCAAGGATCTAGAGAAGATCTAGAGGTCTAGAGAAGATCTAGAGGTCTAGAGAAGATCTAGAGGTCTAGAGAAGATCTAGAGGTCTAGAGAAGATCTAGAGGTCTAGAGAAGATCTAGAGGTCTAGAGAAGATCTAGAGGTCTAGAGAAGATCTAGAGGTCTAGAGAAAATCTAGAGGCCTAGAGAAGATCTAGAGGTCTAGAGAAGATCTAGAGGTCTAGAGAAGATCTAGAGGTCTAGAGAAAATCTAGAGGTCTAGAGAAGATCTAGAGAAGGACTAGAGAAGATCTAGAGAAGGACTAGAGAAGATCTAGAGAAGTACTAGAGAAGGTCTAGAGAAGATCTAGGGGCCTAGAGAAGGACTAGAGAAGGACAGGCCAAAAAATGTTAAACGAACAAGCTCTAGATTGAATTTTAATGTTTTAGCAACTTCTCATTATGTCAGTGTAAAGGATTTTCATCAAAAGACAACCTAAAAATAATAGGCAATAAAGTTTTTTGAAAGCAAAGTCCTCCAAAGATTGTCTATTCTATCAGCACCAATTCCCTTTGTCTTTCAGCAAAGTTGAAGAAAGTTGGGTATGATTACCATATTTATTCTAATAGAAAAACATGGTCCTCGATTTTTCAACAATCTCCCTGTAAGAACTATATTTATACTTTGATCTTTGATTTACTTTGATCTTTATAATTTCTTGTGTTTCTTGTCGGTGTGGTTCAATGGTAGATGTCTTGAAAAAGCACAATTTATCAAAACTTTCCTTTATTAAATAGTAATGGTTTCAATATGATTCCAATACGGTTCAAATAAGGTTCGAATAAGGTTCCTTCCAATATGGTTCCAATATGGTTCCAATATGGTTCGAATAAGGTTCCTTCCAATATGGTTCCAATATGGTTCCAATGTGGTTCGAATAAGGTTCCTTCCAATATGGTTCCAATATGGTTCGAATAAGGTTCCTTCCAATATGGTTCCAATATGGTTCGAATAAGGTTCCTTCCAATATGGTTCCAATATGGTTCGAATAAGGTTCCTTCCAATATGGTTCCAATATGGTTCGAATAAGGTTCCTTCCAATATGGTTCCAATATGGTTCCAATGTGGTTCCAATATAGTTCCAATATGGTTCCAATATGGTTCCAATATGGTTCCAAATAAGGGCAAACTTCGCTCAAACCGGAGCAACCTGGTACTATCACAACTTCTTCAACACTTGCGTGTGAATAGAATAGAATAGAATCGAATAGAAGGGATGAATAGAAAAGGGAGCCCACAACTGACTCAAAACAAAGCTTAAATAATGGGTTTCTAAGTACACAAGCTACGGCAAACGGACAACTGAATATCGTCTAGTGGCTGATTACGGTAGTTTATCCATAAACTTTGAATTTTAACTTGTGCATTGAATTTTGACTAACTGCAGAGCAGTGGCAATTCGCAACAGCGTGGGTGTTGTTCTCTTGAGAATCTTCTTCAAGCAGAAAATCTCTTTGTTCAAGTATTACTTTCTTTTTTGTATAACTAGACACGAAAAAGCAAGGATAAGAATGAAAAGCTCAAAAAAAAACGAATACCTAATCACGTCGTCTCATCTCTTCGATCATCATACCCTAAAAGCTGACTCTTCTCGATTCTTTCTTCTTTTTTTCTATTTCCCTAGTAGAATTATTCCTTTTTCGTAATCGCGTTCTCTTTTTGATCCTTTTTGGCCTCTTTTTACCCCCTTTTGGCCTCTCTTTGGCCTCTCTTTGGCCTCTCTTTGGCCTCTCTTTGGCCTCAAATCGATCCTCTTTCGTATAGAGAACACCTCTTTTCTTTTTGAATATCCTGAATCCTCTCCAAATTTGCCAATCCTTTCTCCTGATTCTCTAGAAATCCTTCTTATCTACTCTTTTCTTTCTCTCTTTTGATTCTTTCAGTTTCTAAGATTGTTTTTTTAAAATTCGACTGCTTTCCTGCTTTCCAAGACAATAAATCTACAGTCAAACGAGAGTTTGCATGGATCAGGAGAGGAGTCAGGTGGTGGCCTTCTATTAGAGACTGGGCTTTTATTAGAGACTGGGCTTTTATTAGAGACTGACTTCTATTAGAGATATTAGAGACTGGGCTTCTATTAGAGACTGTGGTAAAAACAATACAAAAGCACAATCCCAAAGCCCTAAATGCAGGAACGAAAAAAAAAGTCTATATATTCGCGAAAAAGGATCAATAATCTAGCCGGCGGGATTGAACTCTTGGCCTCCAGACTAACTGCCGACTGAGATAAAGAGCTCTCAACCCGGCCATGGTCGGCCATGCCGGCCAATCCAGCTATGACAGAAAAACCCGGTTTCCTCTTGCATCAAATCGGTTTTCTCCCTCAAATTGATCGGATTTACGATTCTAAATACAGATTTTACTAATTTTACTAATTCTAATTTTATAATTTTACTAATTTACTCATTTAATAGTAGTTTTTCAATGCTAGTTTTACAAAATGCAAATTCAGGAGGCATCACAGGATTCAATGGGCAATCTAAACGACTAGTACCGACTATTTTGATACACAAAGTACACCTAGAAATGCGAGTACAGTTAGTTTTAGTGTTTCGAAAGAAGATCAGTGATCCATATCAGAGTTGAGACTCATTTTAATCTTTGCAGGCCGTGCCGGTCTTTTTATTACTGAATATACAAAACAAATCCTACTTTTCTACAACCAAATTTAATGAGGATTCTTTTAAAAGCAATTACAAGTCGATTCAACTTCTATACCTCGAGCTATAGACCGTCAAATTTGATCAACTCTTTCTCAATTAAAAAATTTCGTTTCTTCTTGCATCAAATCGGTCTTCTCCCTCAAATTGATCGGATTTACGATTCTAAATACAGATTTTACCAATTTTACTAATTCTATACTAATTTACTCATTTAATAGTAGTTTTTCAATGCTAGTTTTACAAAATGCAAATTCAGGAGGCATCACAGGATTCAATGGGCAATCTAAACGACTAGTACCGACTATTTTGATACACAAAGTACACCTAGAAATGTAAGTACACTCAGTTTTAGTGTTTCGAAAGAAGATCAGTGATCCATATCAGAGTTGAGACTCATTTTAATCTTTCTAAAATTGTCTCCACTACAACGCAGAGTGACCAACATCAATTCCCCTTTTTTCAGCAATTCTTTTTCGAAAGTCGAGAAAACCGAGTACAAAAAATGTGCCCGCCCAGGTGTTTTTTGCGATTTTTGCACGCAGAGTTTCGAAATTGTCTCTTTTTCATCGTTTTTTCGTGATTTTCCCTATTTTTCACAGCACTTATCACCTTGATTTCCGCTCTCAACTTTGAACTTTGAAAGAAAGGAAAAGAGTGAATGAAATATCAAAAAACGATCGAATTTTGCTATAAATAACCTTGAAAATCTTCAAAATCAAGTAATTTTTTCAATTTTTACTTTTCTTTATATTGATATTGATATAATAGGTTGATGCATAAGTGTTTTTGTTCCTTTTCGTCTGCCGTTTCAAGCCAACAAATGCACCAATTAAACTACGGTTGATTTCATTAGAAAAAGCAATTATTTTTCTGCAAAATAACATTAAAACGGGTTTAAAAATATTTTATGCCTGGATTTTCTTGAGAGTATGAAGTCGGGTAGTCAAAAAGGGCTAACTCGATGATGCGGCTTAGACACCTTAGCTAAAGAAAACCTATCTTCGTGTCAATAGATAAAAGAATAGAGAAAAAAACGTTTGATATTTCGCCAAAATTTCAGAGAAATTCATTCAGCCAATTTTTCCGTAGAGTTTTTTATAGATTTTTACGAAAAAGGCGTTTTTCACTCTCGAATTTGCTTGAAAGTGAACCGAAATTCATTTAAAAAGATGCAAATTGAACAAAAAAACACTTTTTTTATAGAGCAAACTATAGATTAATTGGTGAATTTGTTACTTTTTAACAGAAGTACGAAAAAAACGAAAAGACTTATGCATCAACCTAATAGTTAAAACAGCGCCATAATAGAAAACGCTTAAAACAGCGCCGTCAAATTTCTAACAATCCAAAAAACCAAGCCGGATCAAGTCTTATATCAAAAAATTCTTTGCGTTCTTGGTTATCTTTCCATTGCTTTACGATCTTCTGGACGGTCCTCAGAGCCACCCCAAGCCTCGATGCGATCGACGAGTTCTTCATGCCGCTCGTCGCCAGCTGTGCGATTGCGTCCCGACTAGCGCACGTCTTTGTCATGACCTAGAAAACAACTTTTTTAACAAAAAATTATTAGACCACGATAAAAAGAATATTAAAACACAAAAAGATGAGTAGTAATGCTTTATACATTGTTTAAAACTATGATGATGATGCTGCGCGCACGTAATTGTCAGCCACCCTGTATATAGGAAATGCTTTATTATCTACGTTCGCCCGATCCTCGAGTATGCTTCCTTAATTTGGTCACCTATTTCTAAATCCCTAATCGACAAAATTGAAAAGGTTCAGAAAAACTTTACTCGAATAGCACTATTCAAAATTGATTTTGCTAACTACTCATCCGTCAGATATAAAGATAGATTGAAAGCTTTTAGAAA